AAATCTTTTCCATACTCATAAGAAATCTATGCTGAAAGCAGAATCTACTGTACGATTCCGACTTCTTCAGAAGCGTGTTTATTTCGTGTCATTGAATCATTATCAAATAGAGATGAAAGTTACCATATTTTTGCCAAAAGGTGAGCTCATCTTGTAATGTAGGTCTTGGACAACTTTGAAACCCACGAGCAAGGGTATATTGTTGACGAACTTAGAAACATAATCATGATTTCAAACCCACGTTAATAGATTTCTGGCACACCTAAAGGAGCATCTCTACACAGCGAACTGCAGTGCCTTAGACAATGTACTATCATTTGACATTGGCAACGTTTAAAGGGGTTCTTTGAGGTTATATTACCCTTTCTGCGGTTTAATACTGTTCGTCATTTGTCATGTCACGCAGCATCCAGGTTAAACAACCGATTCGTTAACATGAAGATTGCACCCAGTGATCAGCAGGTGATGCAAGCTTAAGTTGATGGCGAAAACAAAAAAATGGTTTGTCGTCGGTACACAATCGTCCAGGGCCCCGATCCACAAAGCCTTTTTAACTTACACATACCGTAAGAGTTTACGATTGAAATTAAGATAATTTTACTGATATTTACGACCGATCCATAAAGCACTCTTAATCCGTTCGTAAATTCATTGTCTTACGATCATTGTCGCAAATTATGATCGTCGCTCTCCTGTGATGGAGGTAAGAAAGTAGGGGATTTCCCAATGACGTCATTAATTTACAGGGGAATACCTTTACTCTGTTAGCAGACGACGCCAGCGGTATTATTATCACCCGATCATGGATTCTAGTCAGCCATCGACAGTAAAACGCCCAAGGAGTAAGAACTGGACTCAGAATGCTAGCCCTCTTAATAGAGGGTGTTCAGTCAAAAACGAACGTGTTGTTTTCGTTGTTCAGCAACAATTTGACGAACAGCATGAAGAAGAAAGGACATTTCTCAGAGGTGAGTTAAATAAAGACTACCAGGATCCTCCCATGTCTTGTGACAAATGGTGACAAATCTGACCCCGAGGCTGAGGAAACATACATTCAATAGGCAGCTATTTCCCACAAGAAATAAGTGGATGTGACCATACACAAAGCCGTCACCACACCTCCGCCGTCAATGTCTGGCCATACAATTCTGATATACCACAAAGAACATCGTGATATTCAGCAGCTAATATTCTGTTCTTTATATTTCTGACATTCACCAAGGAACGTGATGATATTCAACAGCTAATGTGTTGATTAGAATAATGCAACGAACAGGCCAGATATACCACAGGGAACCTGACGATAATGCAATGTTCTATTCAACAAATGTTCTATTCAACAAAGTTTTGATATACCACAGGATACATGACGATATTCAGCTAGTGTTCTGTTCTTGTCAGTTCTGATACAGCTGTCACTAATGACAATAGAGATGTGACAATTGTTCACGGTTAACACCTGCATTACCGTAATGTTCCCCTTTCATACATAACCTTCCACATCCTCCCTCGGGTTCCAGTCAAGCCCAATCTTAATGGTATATCTATTTTTATTCTTCCCCGCCCTGAAGGCGGGGAAATATACGGGAACCGTTAATTTTGCCTCCGTACACAACTGTAAGAAACTATCATACAACAAAGATATTTTAGATGAGATATGTATTGCGTAACATTCAATGAAGAAACAGTTGCAATATTACACTATGACAAACTACAAGATACATGCACAATAAACGACAATTAAAAAACAAAGGTATATTCAACATACAAAGGAGGTACATTATAACAAATTTATTTCAAAACAAGTGTATTATGATGATATGGAAACAATATGAGAATTGAGCAAAACTATGGCAATGTTGTACATATAAGGAATTTGTTTGTAATTGTTGATATGATAACAGAACTTGGAAGTTGTTTCTGGTTAACTGTTGGTTAAATTATTAAGAACTGTTCCTTTTAACGGATTGTACCAAATTCTTTATCATTATTGAGGATTATTTGTGATTCTCTTTCTTGGCTATATTTTATACAAGACAGTGCGTAATGTTGCTCATCTTCTGAGACATCGCATGTTTCACAGAGACGTTGTTCCAATGGGGTTGGTGTTTTTATTATCTACTAATTTTTTCAATTTTTAGTTTGTGATTACTTAAACGAAGTTTTGAGAAAAGTGACCTATGACCTTTGTTTTTACAATATTAGTCTATATGTAAGATAATTCTGAATATTAATAGATGACTTGACCAAACTGTGTGTTCTTAACTTGCTGTTAGATAAAAAGGAATCCCATAATAATATGCGTGAATTTTTACATTTAAACTGAAGTTTATTCATTACATTTTTTTATTGGTACTAATAGTGGCTATATATCAAGTTCTGCCTGACAGGCCCAGTTTTCTTGCCTAGCGTTTCCTTGTGCTGACCATTTAAAGACACTGTTTCTTTTATTGTGCTTTCCAAAGATAACTACATTAATAACAACCAATTTGTATTTTGCACCAATTCTCTCCTCCCATAGCTTACACTTCCTCCCTCTGCACATAACATTATATTGCGGGGAGCTATTGATGCTCTCCAGCAATCTCTACTTGTAATCTTTTTGTAAGTGTACACACAGAGAGCGAACACATTTAGATGAAAAGCTTCAGACTGTCGACGAGACAGTGTGAATTATACATGTTCATGTTAGAGAAATTGTCCCAAGAGACAGCCGCGTTGTCAAACATTACCTTTTGATGGCAGCCATTTGAAATAAATTCCTGATGTTGTCAATGTCTCGTCAGCACCAAACTGCAAAATATTTAATTAAAACAAAAAAGACAACAGACATGGAATCGACATTCGTTCTCATGTGAAATACATCCGAAACTGAGGATTTTTTATATTTCTTCTATGGATCAGCGCCAGTGATAAGTGTGATCAATATCCATTGATAACACCCGTAAGTGTGTTCTACCGTAAGTGAGTTTCATACTGTTTTCAATGTATATCTAGTGTACAAAATAAAATGTATTTTGAGCCACACGTGGCGGTTGCAATGATAGATTTAACGCCGTCAATGTACAGGTAGCATAGGTCGATACTATAAAATACGGTATGTGCATCTCCATTCTACTATGTTAAAATTAAACGCGATCTCTGAAGTGTTAGCAAAAATAGTGCGAGTAAAGGGCACGGGTGGAGGCTAATGCTTTGAGTGGGGTGCAAATTAGAAATAACACTGAAACTACCATTTAAGAACATGTATGGCTGTGGCGATACCTGGCACACATAGCACTGACCACATTGCACCACGCATTACCGCTGGGACAAAGATTATAGTAGGATATTATATTGATAATCAAACGGTGTCAGCCAGTGCAGCCAGTGCAGCCAAAATCAAGTTCGACAGCATTACAGCGTGTGTGACCTTTTGGAAGCATTGCAATGTTTGTATGACCGCTTGACAGCATTGCAATGTGTGTATCCCGTTTGGCAGCATTGCAATGTGTGTATCCCGTTTGGCAGCATTGCAATGTGTGTATCCCGTTTGACAGCATTGCAATGTGTGTATCCCGTTTGACAGCATTGCAATGTGTGTATCCCGTTTGGCAGCATTGCAATGTGTGTATCCCGTTTGACAGCATTGCAATGTGTGTATCCCGTTTGACAGCATTACAATGTGTGTATCCCGTTTTACAGCATTGCAATGTGTGTATCCCGTTTGACAGCATTGCAATGTGTGTATCGCGTTTGACAGCATTCCAATGTGTGTATCCCGTTTTACAGCATTGCAATGTGTGTGTCTCGTTTGACAGCATTCCAATGTGTGTATCCCGTTTGGCAGCATTGCAATGTGTGTATCCCGTTTGACAGCATTACAATGTGTGTATCCCGTTTGGCAGCATTGCAATGTGTGTATCCCGTTTGACAGCATTGCAATGTGTGTATGACCGCTTGACAACATTCCAATGTGTGTATGACCGCTTGACAACATTGCAATGTGTGTATCCCGTTTGACAGCATTACAATGTGTGTATGACCGTTGACAGCATTGTAATGTGTGTATCCCGTTTGACAGCATTGTAATGTGTGTATCCCGTTTGACAGCATTACAATGTGTGTATCGCGTTTGACAGCATTACAATGTGTGTATCGCGTTTGACAGCATTCCAATGTGTGTATCCCGTTTTACAGCATTGCAATGTGTGTGTCTCGTTTGACAGCATTCCAATGTGTGTATCCCGTTTGACAGCATTCCAATGTGTGTATGACCGTTGACAGCATTCCAATGTGTGTATGACCGTTGACAGCATTAAAATTTGTGTATGCATTACGTTGACAGCATTACGGATTTAAATAATGTCCTTCACATTTGTATTTCACGTCTTTGAGGGCAAAGTTAATATGCGTCCAGCGAAGCATAGCCAAGGACTGCAGAGTCATTGCCAACCCCTGCTTTGTCTAATAAGTAAAAACGACAAAATCATTTTTACAATCCTAAGAAATATCCATTTTCCATTATATTATTCGGACTATATCATGATCATGGGCTTTATGAATTACTTGAAAGTGAGCGTATCCTGCCTCAAGGTGACGCTAACCTTTTTGCGGTATCGACCCATTACATTTCCAAGACCCGTTCTGGGATTCGATCCACGACCTTCTGATCCCAGATGGAACGCCAAAGAGGCACGCTCACAGAGTAAGGAAGTCATCTGTGGGATGGCTCAACGTCCTGCTACAGACCCCCACCCCACCTCGTCACCCCCATGTGGATGCTGTCAAACGGTCATACTGTCTAGAACAGTATTTAACATGTGACCAGAGCTTCAATACTTTGCTGCCACTGACAGTCACTACAAATAAAATTACAACCATATCTTCTGTCACATAACTTCATTCCACGGCCAATTGCCAAAGTCTTTGCCATCTGAGGGTTGACTCCAAGCCCTGCCACACAGAGAAAAACAAACAAAATAATTGCATTTTTGGCAGGAACAAATGTTTTATTCTACAACAATTTTTACAAAAATGTGATACAAAAAACGCCAAATAAAATGTTGCTATAACCACAAAATTTCACTTTTTTAAAAATTGACATACAGTTAGACATCCCTTTTATCACATAACTCTATTCCATGGCCAATTGACAAAGTATTTGCCATCTGAGGGTTGATTCCAAGCCCTGGCACACATACAAAACCAAACAAAATAATTGCATTGTTTTGCAGGAAACAATGTTATATTCTAAAATAACTTTAACAAAAATGTTGTACAAATAACGCCAAAATAAAATATTTCGAAAACCACAAAATATCACGTTTCTAAAACTGACATACAGTTAGACATCCCGATTTTCCAATCGTTTGTTGCTTTTAGTATTGAACTTCTACCTAACACGTTACTTTAGTTCGTACAGTTATGAATGACGATGGTAACTAAAAACTATGAAAGTGTCTCAGCTTATTTTGGCTAATGGTGGTACTTCATCCTGGACGCGTCCTTCTACAATGTTGCTGGAAGGGGATCAAACGACGACTGATACAAAATCAACAATGAAAAAAAAACTGAACGCCGCAATCAACACTCCGTCAGCTATACCACAACCAATAGCTTATGACACGATGACTCAGTCATCGGGCTTCGAGCGATGAAATGCAATCAGTGACGTCACAATTTGTGACCACCCGATCCTCATCTTTGTCGTCTCTTAAGACAAGCCTAGGATAATGTGGATCTATTCTGACAAGATTCCATACGGAAAAATAACACAAAAGAAACAATACACCATCGCCAAACTACAAATATAATGTTGACAACATTCGCAGATCGACAACAGATTAAATGTTGTCCCTTTTTATGTACATCAGTAAAAAGACCAAGTCTTTAGGGATTCAACCTTTCATGTTATTCTGGGCACGGGATGTTAATTTTGGCGACTTCTTCAAAGCAGGCTTTTTAATCTGTGAGAGGGGAGCCGAACATGTCCAACATGAAAAGCGAACAATTATCTTAATTGGGTAAAAAATAAGGACAGATTAACACCCGAGCACTTGTTATTAGTTAAAGATTTTGCGAGCGCGTCTGGTACAGCCGATATCGCCCTCTGTTTGAAAACAGCGACATGTGTAAGGGTATTTAATAGTGTGAACGCCACCCTCGACATCATTGTTCCGAAAGCCTTTCATCAATGGTCACTGTTCTTTGAATTCAGCGACGTCATCATCTGACTCAGTTTTGTAAGAAGATACAAAAATCGAAGTATGAATGCGGACTTAAGTTGTTGGTGTATATTATCCCGAGACAAATGTTGTCGTCCATGCATCGTAATGCACACACCTCCACAGGATACTCCTTGAACCCTTTGTAGATAACAAGGTCGCTGATTTCATGTCGGAAATAGGACAGTCCAGCTGCTTGAACTGAAAACAGGAAACATCACGCCTGAGCTATGTTATGTATCGAACGTGAGTTTGTTTTCACGCCGCTTTGAACAATATTTCAAATTTGTCGCTGTTTCATCTTAATGTGTGAGGGAAGCCTAAAGTGTCTCAGGGGTGTGGCGGTGACAGACTTGGATTCGAACCCACTATAATTGGGTCCTGTCATGCCTCAGCCAATTGTGTGATCTAAAGACCTCCTGGTCTCCGTATCCCAGCCCACGCAGGGCATTGTAAATTTACATTTTTCAAACATTTTAACAAATGAGGGGACGAGATTAATTCAGTTGTTAGAGAGTCAGCTTGTACTGTACAACGACCGGGTTCGAATCCCCGCTTGATTACAAATTTACAAACAATGTTGCGTCTACCTGATGTGTCTGCCATAATGGTACAGGATTCAGATCTGCCCGATCAGGATACTTGTTCACGTCACTTTGACTATTCTCCTGTATGCCATATTACAGATAGTTTACTCTTTCCACATATTCTCTTTCACAAGAGATATAAAAAAATGTTTTAATTTGTAGGTCTGCACAAAATCCATACATGTATGCAATGAAAAAAACATGCCATTACCTGGATCGTATGTGTTGAGCATGGCTGAATCTGTTTTCAGAAAACTTCCAAAAGTGATGTGATTTGGAAGGACTATCCCAAGATCAGGATCGTTAGGATCTGAAACATAAGATGAAGCTTGACTTTGGCAATGCAAATACTTTGTATCTTCAACCAATGTCTATGTTGTTGTTCATCTCTGACGTACCATGTCAGCTTAATTCACGCGGCTTGTGACGGATATAGTAATTCACATGCATCAGTCTGTCTGTCTGTCCGTCTGTCTGTAATGTATCTATCTATCTAGTATTGCAAGGCGATGGCGTAGCCTTGTTGTTTAAGCGTTTGGTCAACAAACCGAGGCTCTACTTCTACTGCTACTACTACTACGACTACGACTACGACTACGACGACCACTACTACTACAACTACTACTACTACTACTACTACTACTACTACTACTACTACTACTACTACTGCTACTACTACAACTACTACTACTACTACTACTACTACTACTACAGAAACCTATGATCGAGTGTTCGAATCCCGGATCCCCCGATTATGTTTCTTGGTTTGTCCGCACCATATCTGTGCGCGTGAGTTTTTCCAAAGTGGTAAACGTCTGAGGCCAGCATCAACTCTTAGATTAAGGAGACACGCCTTGATAGAACTGGAATTTTGTTCATAAAGGCGTTAAACCAACTCACTCAATCACTGCTCCTACTCCTACTACTACTACCACAACAGCTTCTACTGCTGTTTGTACTATCGCTACTACAACTACTATAACCACTACTTGATTGGTTCGACCCGTGAAGATCCCGGGGTAGAATAGGTCTTTAGCAACCCATACTTGCCGTAAAAGGCAACTATCCTTGTCGTAAAAGGCGACTAACGGGATCGGGTGGTCAGGCTCGCTGACTTGGTTGATACATGTCATCGATCCCAATTGCGTGGGTCGATGCTCATGATGTCAATCAGTGGATTGTCTGGTCCAGACTCGATTATTTTGCAGACCGCCGTCATATAGCTGGAATATTGCTGAGTGCGGCGTTAAACAACAAACAAACAAAACAAACAAACTTGATTGGTTCATACATTCCAACCACGAAATAATACACGACTCGGATCATGGCATGGAGATTATCGTGTTTGTGGATATATATGGTCGTATACGAAGCATACCATACCATTGTTACGTCAGAATGATCTCCATAAATGAATTACGTTACAACGCCCAGTCTAAATCTCTCAAATATTTATTGCTTCATACTCACGCCCACTCTCACAGACGAAAGGACTGCCTTTTTCACAGTCCACAGATTTCCACTGTCCGTGTTTTGGAGACTGTCCACTGTACTGGACAACGCACTGGTCAGCGGCAGGTAGTTTCGGTTGCCCCGCTTCCCAATTCGTTGTCAAGGTATTAGCTAAATTGAAAACCACATTAATTTAAGCCACAATGTATTTTCTTGTTTCTCAGAGCAGCCAGATAATACAATATTAGGGTAGCAAGAAAAGGATACATGTAAGTGTTGAAATCTATATGCCATGAAAGTTTGATCGACATCAACCCAAAACCAAGCCAAACCCTGAACCTTGAATTCTGGATAATACAGTGTACAACATCTCCATTATGTTATGATAAATACACAGGACCCATTCCCCGACATTGCTTCGTTTTTATTCTTATTCGAGGCTGATGTCATCCTTCCATTCAAATCACATCCATGAGCGAGAGAGAATCTGCAAAGTTACTCATCAGCCCAATGGAAATGATGATGTCACTTTCCAAATGAGACTTGGCAGCAATGGGTCCAGGGTTCTTATGAAATATAATGGAGATAAGTACACGAAGTGATCGAGGATAGTGATCATCTCACTTAATACTATTTTGTCGCGTAGGCGGCACGTGCTAGCGAGTGGATGACTGAAAAGGCCTTGGAATGCACACAGGGTCACCAATAACATCCAACATGTATACTATTGAACAGACTTCAAATACTCCTCCTTAGTCAATTGGGTCATGTGATCCAATCTGTGAGGGTTAGGTCCCTTTGGAGTGCCAAGATCCAAAGATCGTAGGTTCGAATCTCAGATTCACCCTGATTGTGGTCCTTGGTTTGTACAAAATGGTAAATGTCCTACGTCAAGGACCGCCTCCGTGGTCTAGTGGTAGAGCGTCCGCCAGGGGAGCGGAAGGTCCGGGGTTCGATCCCCGGCCGCGTCATACCAAAAAACGTTAAAAGATGTTACTTGTTGTTACCCTGTCTGGCGCTCGGCATTAGGGGACTAAAACAAGAACTGGTCGGCTCGGAGTCAGTATACTGTGTCTGAGTGGGGTATTCATGTTAAACTGCGGCATGGTATCTCAGTGAGCTAGCACCATAAATCGGCATCAGTCCGGACTAGTACAAGCAGCCACACAAACACACATATGCGTACATGCATGTCGCTATATAAGTTCAATATTCTTGGACGCGACGTTAAACCCCATTTCATCTCACCTCACCTACGTTAAGCTGGCATGCCCTGACGTTACTGAAATACCAAAATCACGAACTCACTTACTGCAGGGACACTCCCATCTTAATAATTAAACCGGTCCTCACAATGACATGGATCCCTCGACAAAGGCCTGTTTAAATGTATGTACATGTATGTATTTGAAGTGTGGAGGGGTTAAATGGCCTTTAACTAAGATTATTTCACTTACATGACGACGTACATGTGTGTGAGGCCTTCTCGTAGTGGTTCGTACTGATTCCTGTTTGATAGTGCGAGCACACTGAGATTCCATGCCGCATTTTCACATGACATGGATGCCACTCCGACGTCTTTCAGTATGAGGCGGCTAGCAGTTCGAACCACCGATCCTCAGCTCTACGGACAGATGCTATATCACCGTGTGTATTTGAATTATACCTACCTGTACCATCAGGCCAGAGGTGGGTGGTCGTGGACTCGTTATATCGGAGGCTGATGAAGAACTTGGCGGACAAGACCCTGAAATAGAAGACGTCAGGACGTTAATTGTGTTTTGTCTACGAAAATGAGGATCAAACGCTCACAATATTTATAATGACTGATTGCGTGCCATTAGACCTTATAACGTTGATCGTTGGTGAACTGAGATCAAATGTGGTTTAGCGAAACGTTCAAGATTATTGCGTACGCGCGTGAACTAGTTCACGTTCAGATTTAGGTTCAGGGTTATTTATAAAAAATCGAAGCAAATGTCATCTTAAGTTTATTGTGAACAGAATATGCTGAATTACCTCATTGATAATATGTGTAACATTTGGGGTGGGATATTTAGGCAAGAAGTAGGCATCCTGTCTTGCTGATATGTTTCTTATGCAAATGTATCTGAATTTCTGCTCGGATTGGCAAATTCAAAACAAGGCAATTTGGCAAAGAAGTTTAATTTAAGCTTCGGGTTTTGTTTTTATTGTTGTCTAGCTCCGCACTCAGAAATACGATGTATAATATAATTCCAGCTACATGATGGCGGTGTTTTAAATAATCGAGGATGAACCAGACAATCTGTGATTGACATCATGAGCATCGATACAACCAACTGGGAAACGATCATGTGCATCAATCAAGCACAGGAGTCTGTATCTAAAAATAGACGCCCTCATGCATATTCATGACCATCTCCACACGCGGGCTCGCGTGTGGAGATGGTCATGAATATGCATGAGGGCGTCTATTTTTAGATACAGTCTTTCTGTGAATCAAGTCAGCAACCCTGACCACCCGATCCCGTTATTCGCCTCTTACGACAAGAATAGTCGCCTCTTACGACAAGAATAGTCGCCTCTTACGACAAGAATAGTCGCCTTTTTGGCAAACGTAGGTTGCTGAAGACCTGTTCCCTCCCGGATCTTCACGGTATATCGAACGGATATAGTTGAATAATTATCAAATAGCCAATTCCCGTCCACTAATTTACCCACCTGAACTAGAAATAAAAGAGGCAAGTGAAACCGCCTCAACTGTTTAATATTTAAATCTACGCCTAAAGATTAAGAGTGACCAAAACTATCCGCAAGACTGTATGACAAGAGGCATGACAAGAGGGATGACTTCAACTTTCAAATAATCGACATTCACTTTATGTCGAGCAATATTCCAATCAGTTCCAGCCTTTGGTGTCTACATTTCACAACTTTTGACATACAATTGTGCATGCTCTTCTTCCTCAGAAGATTTTGAGGAGCGTTAGAAGAATCTTACTCAAAAGTTGTTTGATCAAGGTTTAACTTACAACATTGAATGCCTCAGTAAATCTTTCAAAATGCTTTGTGGTTGACATGTTTAGACTTTTCCAAGCCCGTAATGCCGAGCGTCAGACAGGGTAACAACAAATACCATCTTTTAACGTCTTTTGGTATGACGCAGTCAGGGATCTAACCTATTGGAAAAGAGACTTTTTATTCATTATTATTATTATCTATTCACACGAATGTCGAGTTACGTAACTCTCAGGTGTTAATTGGTGGCAGACTTTATTTGCTGTCAATGCAGCCTGTCAAAGTGTTGTTTCAGCTGATCTCATTTTATTATTGTTATACAGTTGCTTAGCTAATTAGCTTGTGTATTCGCTCAAATTTAATATTATATGGTGACCTATTGATACAGTTAGCTGAGAGTAATAAACCTGCGAACCTGTTACCACGTTTTCATTATTGTTTTATTCGAGTTAAATGGCACCCTGGTCTCTGGAACAAAGCTCCGTGACAGTTGCCTAGTGTTAAAAGGGGTTGCTCTTTACGCCAGCATGGGTACAATATGTGAAGGCGACATATTGCTTGAATATTGCTAAAAGCGGCGTAAAACCATAATCACCCCACTCTTCATGACATAAAAATAACGAAGGAACGAACATGAAAACAAATTCCAACTTACAAGCCACGTCGTTTGTTGTGCTAGTTTCTCTTTGATAATTACTGTCATTAATTTTCAATCACCATGGTCATATATTATGCTCTTTGCGCAAGTGCTCTAGTCCTCCTGGAACAACACACGCATTAATCATGCTTGCTGATGACCCATGGGAACTTTATACCTTCAAAATAGGGACATTGTCATATGTTTTTCTCACTCACCGGTACACTGCATAAGCACTTGGTCACAACACAGTATTAAACAGTCTATTTCATGGTCTGAAGCTCCGGGTTTAAATACTAGTAGGTCTTCAACTATGCTTGCCGTAAACGCCTGTCGTAGGAGGCTTGCTTCAAATTCAAATGTTTATTGTATGATAAGCCAGAGGCCAAAATACACGAAGTTGATACAATACAGTACAGGATAATTTTACAAGTAGAATCACATGTTTCATTTCTGTACATTTCTGGTCTTGAAGGCATATTTGAAATATAACATAACCGATTATCTTATATCGTTCAATAACGCCCAAAATGGAAATTCCCTTCCGCTCATTTACCACCTGAACTAGAAATAAAAGGGACCAGAGGGTCCGCCTCATCCGTTTCAGCTTGTATTAATTTTTGTAACAATTAAATCATGTTCAGTTTCAAGGTATTTCTTCAAGAGTCTTAGTGACATTTGCATATTTTCTGAATGCAGTTTAACAATTGCATGTCTGGCTTGGTTTTTCTGAAAACTGTCTAATTTAACAACCTTACATGGTTTTGATATGTTCCCCACCTGGTTCGTCGACGGACAACATTTTTAGGAGACATAAAAAGACCGGTTCTTTAGAAGCTCGTTTCAACTATTAACTAATGGAATTAAATGGTTTTCCTAGTATTTTTTTCACATTGAAAGAAATCATTCACCTTAATAATCAACTGTTTCACATCAGCTGAGCTTAACGGTTGTCAGTCAACAACGACGTATACTATTCAGCACGTGCCGTACGTGTTTGCGCTGTTCCTCCTAGAGTTGTGCCCCCTCCGTTCAATATGTCAACTCTGTGAGTGAGTGAATGAGTTTGATTTTACGCCGCTTTTAGCAATATTCCAGCAATATCACGGCGGGGGACACCAGAAATGGGCTTCATACATTGTACTCATGTCGGGAATCGAACCCGGGTTTTCAGCGTGACGAGCGAATGCTTTAACCACTAGGCTACCCGACCGCCCCTGTCAACTCTGTACGCACAACAACATGTGTTGTTCCATTGATGGGAATAAGCATACCAAACAGCGGATATTGTTGGGTACGGGGCATTCATTGCCGTGTACCATATTGACATTTAATATACTAATCCCGAATTTGAGTTATTTTGCAATTCACCGTTCTCATTTGGATCCCGACGGACTCTGTATGAAAAAACTGGGGAACTGTACGTACCGCCCTTCGTATGAAAATATAATTACATAGGAACTTAGTGTTAATTTCTCAGGTGAACGTGAGGATCTAACTGTCAATGGAATATTAATAAAACACGCTCTAACTTACAACTTGTCTTTTCTTGACCCAACAATGCTTGCGTTAAATTTTAAAACCTGGGCGAACCTAAGTTAATTATCGAACAACGCACGCGTTTGTCATTTCCAGTCATTTGTGGACAAGCCAGGCGTCAGGTTAGGGTGTCCTTTCACGTGCCATAACGTGCGTTCAATTATTCAAATTTGAGTCAACTTGAGTGTTAATAAAGCATAACGTAGGACAGAACCAGAAATAAAACGCATATATTGCAACCTCAGATATAAAAGAAAATAGTTGTCAGCAGAAGAAGAAACACAACAGCCTTTTGTATTCCCGTAACACTCAACTATAAGAGGTGACAAGTGTTTCACTGCTTGACAATCTATTTTAAAAAAGTCCAAAATAACGTATAAGCATCAGAGATGCCAAATTATCACCAACGTTGCATTATTGAGGATAAAGCATTTACATCGACAATCGAAAGTTTCCTTATCCTGATTCTTATCAGAATACATATTTACTGTCAGCACCTAGTTAATTATATTCATAAAGTGCTTATATTCATGATTGAATGAATAATATGATAGATGATGTTACATGTAGGCTGCTTAGTACGGCATCTCAAGGGTTCAGTAGTTTCGGGCAACTTAGGGCAACCGAAGTATGAGGTCAATAAATTAACATGTGCAAACATTTGTCAACCAAGGTTTTCTTGGATTATACCTTGGCCAACACGGTTCACCTGCGCCAATTCGCCGCCCTATTTACTCGACAGAACAACAATGTAAAATGCATATTTACGTAAAATCTTTCACGCCCTCTGTAAACTGCATGACTTGTTGTCGTTTTGCTTCACTGTCGACTCTCAAAAGTCGAAGATTATGTCCTCGACACACCTCGTATGCTCGTTCGTACAATAAGTAATGGTGGAAGTATATGAATCCACTCCGAACTGAAACTGAAAACACAAAGGCTTTTTTATTTTCCAAACTCAGAGAGGACACAGCTGGCCAGTCAACACTAAGAAGCCGCAATTCGCTGTAGATGTCCGTCCGTTAGGGTTGCGAGAAACCGGCAATCATGGGTTCGAATCCTATATTCGCCCTCACTGTGTTTCCAAGTTTGTCAGCACTATACCCGTGCTCATGGCTTTCACCAAAGAGATAAACGTCTAAAACCTGCATCACCCGACTCTTTCCTCCCACATTAAGCTGACACACCGTAAAATAACTGAAATATTTTTCAAAGTGGCGTTAAACCAATCTCACTCCAACCCTAGAGGGGACCATCGACAGCATGTTTGCTACTGTTTTTTAAAGAATTTAAACTATTGCAGTAGTAATGTGGATGCTTGATAAATACTTCTATGTTGACAATGTCTAAAATGTTCGCCAAATCCTTGATTCAGCTTATTGCTTTACACAGTTGTCAGTGAGATGAGGCAGCTACCACTGACAATATAAAAGTTATATATAAAGCAATTTTACATGGTAAGACAGAACAGATGCTCAAATTACTATCATAGCACTATCAATTCCATTCAGTTCTTTTTTCTTAAGGTTGTACAACAGCATATAAAGTTACACAACAAATAAATACATTATCTTTTTCATTATACATATAATTTGCAATATATTTAGATGAAGATTTTACAAAGGGGTTACATTTAAATAGATACTGGAATTAGCAACAGCAATAGCTGACCAATCACCGAGACAAGTTACACAATTCCCCTAATAGTAATAGCTTCTTGTCAAATTCAATACTTTAATACATGTACGAATAATTTAATACTTACCAATGTACCCTGCAATCTGGAGCACGAAGAAGAATACCCGACTAGTATGACGGCAGTCCATCACGGAATAGAGGACTTAATGGATCAATGCTACAAATCAATACACTACTATACCTTCAGTCGTTAACGACGGCTTGCACCACTAGAGTTCTTCACAGACGTTCTGGATTTCTATTGGGAGACGTCAAAGTACAAACATTACGTATTCCTTTTAACCCCACTACCAGTTGTCCTGGATGGCTTTTCAGTCAGTCAATCAAACCACCAACAAATCAGTCAATTAATCAACCAAACCAATTAATCAATTTTGAATGAAATGGTAGGTCGAGTTATTTCGAGGTTCAGGAGTGTCTTAAGGTTTTATTTCTATTTATGTTCAGTTTAACCCAATCACATTAATATCAGATCTTTGTTCTCTCTACCGCTAAACCAAGATCTGAGGACATCCAGACATCAGAGCGGTCGTTCACCTGACCATTCAGAACGTCGCTTACCAGATCGGGAATGTGTTTTGTAACCATGCAACCAAGAAAGTTTAACACGCTGTATTCCGTTACGGGCTGTACGACTGATTCGATCAAAATCATCGTCAATCTACCTCTCCAATTGGCAATTGGACAAGCATTTGAAACGGGGAAGTGCTGCCATTTCAATTTTCTAATTTTGAATCGATATTCAAAGTTTCAAAGAGCAGTCAGAAATGGAAGTCGCCATTTTGAAGCTAGTGCCGTTAAGCTTGAGAAATCTGCTTTCTGATTGGCTACTATCCGCTTCTTGTTAGTCATTTTATTGCTCGGTCAAACCTTTTTTCTTTGAAAATATCAGGCTCATAGTTTTAGGTGAAAACAATTCTGGTTTTGTAGCTGATACAAAGTCCCAGGACCCCACCAGAATATCAAATGATCGGTCCCTCAGGCGTGATGATGATGGTTTAGCGCTTAAAAAGCCACACGTGAAGGGGTTGGTTATTGGTTATAGTTAACCCCAGGAATATATCACGACCAAGATGCCAAGCTTGGTTGGGGTTACTGACATCAAAAGTACACTCGCACCTGGCAACTTAGTCACGAAGCGTAACATACTATTCGACTTTGTGATGTACACATATACATGTGATAATTACAGGGTAATAATAGTTTGACTCATTTGCTGTCCCATGGTACGACCCGGAATATGTAGAAAGCGTCATGGAAAATGATAAATACAAAATTATTTGGAAAAGGTCCATTTACAGCCTTAGACGTATCCAGGCCAACAAACCTATTCTTGTCCTTTTTGATAAATCCAGTGAAATCATTTATATTATTGAATTTTCTGTCCCCTTAGACACGTATGTGATTGACAAGATTGAGGAAAAACATGGCAAATGTGCGGACCTTGCTTTCGAAATGTCACGCTTGCATCCCAAGTTGTCCGACTCCCCATTGTTCTCGGTGCCTTAGGTTTGGTACCTCCCAATCTGTTGACTGACATTGGGAGAGTAGCCGGGTTTGCTACCAGGAATACAGATTCTGACAATCTGGGTAATGCAGAAGGCTGCAATGTTGGGGAGTCTTCACATTCTCCGGAAAGTTTTGAGTGGGTTTGACAAGGCAGCCCTTCTAATGATTCGTGCATATTGCTATGCAGAGTGACGTCCTTAAGGCTTGCAAGTAACATTTGATCGTGGGTTCAAATTCCAGATTAGTTTTATGGATCTTTCGCATCATGTCAGTGCTCACGGGTTTAACCAAAGACGTAAACGCCTTAGACTTGCATCAATGGGGGTTTTCATCCCACATCAAACTGACTCGCTCTTATATAACTGAAATAGCGTTGAAAGATGCGTTAAAATAAACCCACTCACTCACTCAGTATAACGTTATAAATCGTTCGACGCTGAAGGCGACGTTAAGCCCTGACATTAAGGATGACCAACTGCTGTGTCTTCAGTTACCGTAGTACACGACATTTGAAGTTCAAGGACAGACAGCAGTCGACATGATCCCGTATCCCCAGTGAAAACATTCAGTGAACGACTTCGTTGTTGTGAACGTGGTGTCAGATATTGATTGTCATTATATATATCCTTGTGATCTATGGAACGTTCTCTCTTATGTAATGGTATGTTTGACATTGTTGAACGATGAAGTGACATAGCAGCACTATTGGAATTGTCGTTTTGATCATGAACCCAGTTGCGAACACCAGCTATATGTTACGATAACCAACTACATGTTACGACTACCAGCTACATGTTACGACAACCAACTACGTGTTACGAACATCAACTACTTGTTACGAACAGCAGCTACATTTTACGAACACCATCTACATGTTACGAACATGAACCACACGTTGCGAACATCAACTACATGTTGTGAACATCAACTGCATGCGACCACCAACTACATGTTACGACAACCAACTCATGTTGCGAACATTAACTACATGTTACGACAACCAACAACATGTTACGAACACCACCTACATGTTACGAACATCAACTACATGTTACGAACATCAACTACATGTTGCGAACATCAGCTAAATATTGCGAACACCTAATACATGTTACGAACACCAAATACATGTTACGAACATCAACCACATGTTACGAACACCAAATACATGTTACGAACATCAACTACATGTTACGAACACCAAATACATGTTTCGAACACCATCTACATGCTACGAACATCAACTACATGATGCGAGCACCAACTACACGCGAACATCAACTACATGACTGTGAAATAATGCAGATAATATACCAGTCAGGTGTATGACAGGTGTTAACGTTGTGTTGTGTTATGCAGATAATGTACACGTCAGGCGTATGACAGGTGTCAACGTTGTGTTGTGTTATGCAGATAATGTACACGTCAGGCGTATGACAGGTGTTAACGTTGTGTTGTGTTATGCAGATAATGTACACGTCAGGCGTATGACAGGTGTTAACGTTGTGTTGTGTTATGCAGATAATGTACCAGTCAGGTGTGAGACAGGTGTTAACGTTCTGTGATATAATGTAGATAATAAACACGTCAGGCGTATGACAGGTGTTAACGTTGTGTTGTGTTATGCAGATAATGTACACGTCAGGCGTATGACAGGTGTTAACTTTGTGTTGTGTTATGCAGATAATGTACACGTCAGGCGTATGACAGGTGTTAACGTTGTGTTGTGTTATGCAGATAATGTACACGTCAGGCGTATGACAGGTGTTAACGTTGTGTTGTGTTATGCAGATAATGTACACGTCAGGCGTATGACAGGTGTTAACGTTGTGTTGTGTTATGCAGATAATGTATACGTCAGGCGTATGACAGGTGTTAACGTTGTGTTGTGTTATGCAGATAATGTACCAGTCAGGTGTAAGACAGGTGTAAACGTTCTGTGATATAATGCAGATAATGTACCAGTCAGGTGAATGACAGGAGGTAACGTTCTGGGATGTAATGCAGATAATGTACCATTTATGTATATGACAGGTGTTCACGTTCTGTGATATAATGCAGATAGTGTACTAGTCAGGTGTATGAAAGGTGTTCACGTTCTGTGAAGTAATGCAGATAATGTACTTGTCAGGTGTATGCCCGAAGTTAACGTTCTGGGATATAAAGAAGATAATGTACTAGTCAGGTGTATGACAGGATGTAACGTTCAGTGATATAATGCAGATAATGTACCAGTCAGGTGTATGACAGGAGGTAACGCTCTGTGATATAATGTAGATAATGTACCAGTCAGTTGTATGACAGGAGGTAACGTTCTACGATATAATGCAGATAATATACCAGTGATCAGGTGTATGACAGGAGGTAACGTTCTGTGATATAATGCAGATAATGTACCAGTCAGGTGTATGACAGGAGGTAACGTTCAGTGATATAATGCAGATAATGTACCAGTCAGGTGTATGACAGAAGGTAACGTTCTGCGATATAATGCAGATAATATACCAGTGATCAGGTGTATGACAGGAGGTAACGTTCTGTGATATAATGCAGATAATGCATCAGTTAGATGTATGACAGGAGGTAACGTTCTGCGATATAATGCAGATATTGTACCAGTCAGGTGTATGACAGGAGGTAACGTTCTGTGATATAATGCAGATAATGTACCAGTCAGTTGTATGACAGGAGGTAACGTTCCGTGATATAATGCAGATAATGTACCAGTCAGGTGTATGACAGGAGGTAACGTTCTGTGATATAATGCAGATAATGTACCAGTCAGTTGTATGACAGGAGGTAACGTTCCGTGATATAATGCAGATAATGTACCAGTGATCAGATGTATGACAGGAGGTAACGTTCAATGATATAATGCAGATAATGTACCAGACAGGTGTACGACAGGAGGTAACGTTCTGCGATATAACGCAGATAATATACCAGTGATCAGGTGTATGACAGGATGTAACGTTCAGTGATATAATGCAGATAATGTACCAGTGATCAGATGTATGACAGGAGGTAACGTTCAATGATATAATGCAGATAATGTACCAGACAGGTGTACGACAGGAGGTAACGTTCTGCGATATAACGCAGATAATATACCAGTGATCAGGTGTATGACAGGATGTAACGTTCAGTGATATAATGCAGATAATGTACCAATCAGGTGTATGACAGGATGTAACGTTCAGTGATATAATGCAGATAATGTACCAGTCAGGTGTATGACAGGAGGTTACGTTCTGTGATATTATGCAGATAATGCATCAGTTAGATGTATGACAGGAGGTAACGTTCAGTGATATAATGCAGAAAATGTACCAGTCAGGTGTATGACAGGATGTAACGTTCTGTGATATAATGCAGATAATATACCAGTCAGTTGTATGACAGGAGGTAACGTTCTGTGATATAATGCAGATAATATCCCAGTTAGGTGTATGACAGGAGGTAACGTTCTGGGATATAAAGAAGATAATGTACCAGTCAGGTGTATGACAGGATGTAACGTTCAGTGATATAATGCAGATAATGTACCAGTCAGTTGTATGACAGGAGGTAACGTTCTGTGATATAATGCAGGGTCATCTACCAGTCAGGTGTTTGTTCATAAGTAGACATTTAAAAATCAGGTTATAACGTTACTAACGTCAGAAGTCATGATAGGTTGCTGGTACACGATCATTAGATGAATGAAGATGAGCTATAAGGCACTTTCTGATAACAACAATGCCCCGAACTAAAAGGATTGACTTACCGTCCACTCCAAAACTATATACGCTGTCTCTCAAGGTTTTTTTTATGGAACTCACAGGCCAGTAGTGAGAAACAGATAAATCGACATATGCTTGTTTTGTTCTAACCGATGGATAAGACACGGACATACTGGTATTGCTGGCAAGATGTCTTCCTGTAATATTATCATACATAAGATTATGACATCTTTTAACGTATAGTTTAACAGTGCATATAAGTGTTTATTGCCAATAGGTTTAGAAAAAAGCTGAGTTAATAAAAATCGTATGTGCACCAGTGCACATATCATTTCACGTGTACCAGTGTAGTATTTCTGTCACTCGGGCAGCATTGTTGTCGTCATTCGAATCTTACTGTGACGTAAGGTCGGAATGACGTCACACTAGAAACGAGGCCATATCTGAAAATTGTTGACATAATTCGACAATTGTGGTTTTCTGACACAGCGGTCGTGATCAGTGCACTTTTCTAAAGGGGAACTCCAAAAGTTAAAGCAATAATTAAATCAAGAACTAATCATACTCGCATGCATGTCATACTGATTTTACGAAACTCTCCCTCAATATTATATTGTAAAAGCGAGATGGATAATATTTTACGGCGCTTCTTGTTATATTGCAGCAAGGCAATGTCAGCATTGTTCAATCAGGCCGGAAACCATGGTTCTGTTTCACGCACATTTCCGAAGTGAACTGAGTGTGCAGATTTCATTAGTACTGCATCCCACACATCCCCGACACAAACACCGTTTAACTCTAGCTTCTCATTTAGTCACATAAGTGTATGCCGAACGAGGTAAAGCACTCTTACCGCTGTGCTAGCTTGCACGCCATTCTTGTGTTGAAAGCAAGCTCCACAAACTTGTCTTCAGCATAGACCGGTGACTGGATGGCCACAATGGATACATTGTCGTGGGCTGATAACATGAGCAGCAGACTTTTCTATGTGTGAAATCCATTCTTAGTGTCACATAATGTCATGCATATGATTTTAATATTGCCCAAAACGGCCATTTACCAAACTTGTTCAATCGCTTATGAAATCCTGATCAGACTAAACCAGCGGTTGATAGTATGAGCGACGATCCAGAATATTTGGGTATTTGACGACTAGTAAGGTGAGTGAGTGAGTGAGTATGGTTTTACGCCGCTTTTAGCAATATTCCAGCAATATTACGGCGGGGGACACCAGCAATGGGCTTCACACATTGTACCCATGTCGGGAATCGAACCCGGGTCTTCTGCGTGACGAGCGAACGCTTTAACCACTAGGCTACCCGACCGCCCCCGACAAGTAAGGGGTAGCCAATGACATATTTCTATCTTTGAAAGAGCTTTATCTGCCGTAATTCGCAAACAATGAAACTCTTTGTCACTCTGTACTCCACATAAAAACAGAGAAACTCGAAGGTTAATTGCACTGCTGTCTTTATTTATTACATTGAGTTATCAGTATACACAAGCAAGTCCGATTCCTGGGTGTGTGAGCGTGCTTCTGTAACAAAAATCATATTTGATTACATAACATCACGCAAATATATATATATATATATAGTTAAATTTGTGTGTGTGTGTGTGTGTGTGTGTGTGTGTGTGTGTGTGTGTGTGTGTGTGTGTGTGTGTGTGTGTGTGTGTGTGTGTGTGTGTGTGTGTGCGTGCGTGCGTGTGTGTGTGTTTATACATAGTTAAATCGACGCCCTACCAATAGTTAGCTCACTTTAAATGGTGCGGTTGCGGTCAACAGTAAGAATAACTCGTCGCTACGGTGGCGGTCAATAAAATGCTAAAATCAAGTGGTACAGTTCGGGTCAAAAGAAGGCCTATCGCAAGTGCTACGTTGTTGATCGATGGAAGGCATGTCTCAAGATCTACATCGTTGGGTGATACAAAGTCTATCGATAATGCTACATTAGTGAGATTGATGGTCGATAGAAGGCCTGTCTCAAGTGAAAAAATATTGGGTCATAGAAGAGGTGAGATTATCTCATGTACGACAAACCCGTGAAGATCCGGGATAGACTAGGTCTTCAGCAACCCAATCATGCTTGTCGTAAAAGGCGATTATGCTTGTCGTAAGAGGCGACTAACAGGATCGGGTGGTCAGGCTCGCTGACTTGATTGATGCATGTCATCGTGTCCCAGGTGGGCAGATTAATGTTCATGATATTAATCACTGGATTGTCTGGTCCAGACTCGATTATTTACAGACCGCCGTAATATAGCTGAAATATTGTTGAGTGCGGCGTTAAACAACAGGCAAACAAAACAGATTGTATTTCACAAATGAAAGTGTCTACAGATGCAGATTGTGGCATTGAAAAACGCATTTCTTATCCATTTTTGAGTTTGTCGCCTCTTGGGTTGTTTAAGACCAATTCTTACTCGGATCCCTCACGGGTCTGTGAAATACAGATGTATGTTCAGGTTCATTGTCCTGAAGCAGTAGCGCACCTGAACATAATGTTTTCCATGATAGCTTCTCAACTGACGTAGTTATGTGGCATGGTATTGCCATTGATAGTCTGACCTTTTTGCAGATAGTCAGTCATGATCATCTTGACTGATGTCGCCCGTTTGTACTTATTTGTTGGGTGAAGCAAATGATTCCACTGCTCTAAAGTTCTGATTCAGGATCACTGTGATGGTCACATGTCTCATCCTGGGTTTAAATTCGCATCAAGCATTTATCAGAATAACTGGTCAAACGATTTTCAATATTCTGGGTACCCAGCATGCGTACGGCATGCTCATGTGAAGTGTAACCCCAAACTGCTCTTAACAGTGTCAGTGACATCCTCACTTGTAACACGTTGGTAAGCCAGACCCTTGCTGTGTACATCCCCCAGTTTCAGGTGTGGCGTCTTCAGGGCGACCAGACATGGTCACATCTGTACTTATTTTGTCTCACTTAAATTCATCAATCCATTTCAAGAGTTGTGATGGGCAGTCCCACCAAAGAGTGTTTTTCAAATCTTCATGCATTTTCCTTGGTGACATGCTCTTTGTATGAATGTATATACTCACAGTTCGTTTCTCAGTTCGTTGATTCTGACACCCACGTCAACGTGTCAAGTTGTCTTCTCGGAAACAGATACAGTTATCAGTCTGTAATATGGGGTTATGTTTTCCAAGGGATGATATTCTTCAAACACGCGTTGAAACCTCACATTACACAAAGCAATGCCTAAGAGCCCACGAACCTTTAGACTTACGCTCGTATCTTGAGTGCTGAAGTTACGGTTGACAATAAACATACCTGGCTTTCGGGGGCGCGCCATTAACCAGATGTTTTGCTCAGCGCTGAAAACCCGTGATTTGCCGTTTCACCAAATTCTGCAACAGTTATGTTTGTAATGAACGATAATTTCATGCAATTAAAGCACATGATGTTTGTTTGTTGTTTCAGGATTTGTTCAAATAACGACCCTTCAATGCTAATTCGAAAATAGTCATCACTATTATGATATCATTACTTTTTCTGACAGCATAGTTCTCGAACGTCCTGGTGTGAAGGAATTATCTGTTCTATATGTAGGAACAAAAATACATCATGGCGAAGATTTTCCTTCAAGGTGAATTTTCTTGGAGGTTCATTTGTTGCAAGGAACGAAAAGTGATTCACCGATTATTTCGGCCTAATGATATATAACACAAGGCATTACTTAAACAATAATCAGAGGAGTAAGGGAGATCAAATAGAGCAGGGGTCACCATGATGTGTACTGAGAAGTACAGCACCAATCATCTGATGATCTGAGTAGTAGTCTGGAATGCTACAGCACTGGCATGATCAGTAAACAAGAAGTCCAGCGTAGCTCCAAGACAGTGACTTGGTGAGTGAATGAGTTGAGTCATTGTCCTCACATTAAAGAAATCTTCATATTTCAGTGTTTCACTCAGATCACAGTTGAAATCCCCAGTATCTAGGACATGTTCACATTCATGCTGCTTGGAGAGATCCTGAAGTTTCTGCATGAATTCAGTAAGTGAATGCGACATGACACTTTTGGAGGAACATACACACAAGCAATGCAGAATTTGCCAACAAGAAAGGAAATGTATTCAATACAGCGAGATGACATTACATCACATAGCTGGACACTGTTCTTGAAACTTGTTGAAACATACACAGCAATACCATGTGTTAAGTCTCCTAGATAGACTTGATATCCTGGCAGGTCTCTTTCACTGTAATCATTGATGTGTGTTTCTGTGAAACACAAAACATCAAGCACACCAACAAACTTATCCTTCTTCACATCTTCGAAATGAGAACTGATGGATCGAACATTCAAGTGAGCCACCTTGAGTTTATCGCCATGACGGTTCTCTACAGGGTGTGTCCAGGTGAACAGTCTTTCATTCCGCAATTTAGTCATCTCATCCAATGCTTTTTTTGTTTACTACAATTTTGTGTTCAGCAAACCTACAAGTTTTAGGCCTTTCCTCGATTTGACCCCACTGAGCCTCCTATACACTTGAGCAGGCTGGGCTTTCAATTTACATCCTTGTGTAATTGTCATGTTCCCAATTATCTGCTCACAGGTGCTACCTTGAGACTTGTGGATTGTGAGACCCCATGCTAAAGTTCCTGGATACTGTTTTCTTTTATGACAGAATATTGTACGGTTTTCAAGATCTGCTCCGGAATAAAGCATTACCCCAATTTTCAGTCTAAGTCAAAGTCGTTGCCAGTGAAACTCGATTTTTTTAAAAATCTCAAAGTATCAAAAGGCACCAGTTTTTCCCTAGGCCTATTTATGTGCCAAGTTTGGTGAAGATATATTGTACGGTTTTCAAGATCTGCTCCGGAAATAAGCACTCCCACCATTTTCAGTTTAAGTTAAAGTCGTTGCCATGGAAACTCGAAAAATATTTATTTAAAAAATCCCAAACTATAAAAGGCACCAGTCATGTGCCAAGTTTGGTGAAAAATATTGTGCGGTTTTCAAGATCTGCCCTGGAAACGAGTCCTTATATTAAAAAAGACATCATTAGGTTAATAATCATAAACGGTAATGCAATTGATCAAATATGTGGCTGCAGCAATATATGATAGGCCCTATTTAAAAAATCAGCTCAGATGTTTACCACTTCTGTGAAACCCACGAGCACGGGTATGGTGCTGACAAACCTAGAAACATAATCGGGGCGAACCGGGATTCGAACCCACAATCATAGGTTTCTGGCGTGCCTAAGGGATGCAACTCTGCACATCGAATCGCGGCGCCTTAGACGACTGGGCCACCTGTGCTCCATTGGTACTTTGACTGAATGCGCGTCAACTTGCACTGATGTCGAAGATGGTGATATCCCATGAGTTACTCGTCCCATTTGTCACACACCTCTCTTATCCCAGTTGAACCAGTTGTACAACCAAGAAATTGTTCAACACGATCAAGCAACTATTGCTCTGCTGCCCTCCTTTTTCCAGTATGAGCAGTTCACTATACAGGCATCATCAGAAGACCATTCTTGTGCTGCCACAAAACAGAGCTGAGGTGAATCTGACTGAGGATTGGACACAGACCATGGACGGCCAGCCCTACCTTCTGTTTGGCGACGGGGAAGACAATAAATTTCTAGCGTTCTCAACACAACGTCAACTGGAGGCACTTCAGTCAGCCGAGACAATCTACAGGGATGGAACATTCAGTTCCTGTCCTGCACTCTGGGATCAAGTCTATATCATGCATGCCAGACGTGGAACTGTCAGCTACCCTCTTGTGTTTACCCTGTTACCAGATCGACAGATGATAACATACCAGAGATTATTCAGTCACCTAAAGACACTCGTCCAGGAGAGACTCCAGCGAGAACTTTCTCCCGCCAGAACCCAGACCGACTTTGAACTAGCTGCAATTCGTGCTGTTCAAGCTGAGTTCCCAGCTACTGAAGTCAAAGGCTGCTACTTTCACTTCAGCCAAGCAGTGTGGAGGAAGACACTTGGCTAAGCTGTCCCCAACAAAGAAGATCCCCACGTGAAACGATGGATACGGCGAGCTGCGGCACTACCACACCTCCCTCCAAGACAAGTGCAAGACACCTGGTTAGATGCCATGGAGGATATATCTGAAGTTCCCCGTGCTGAGAGCTTCAATGATTATATTGTGATGAAATGGGTTGACTTTGAAGCTAGATTTCCCCTTCATCTTTGGAACAATCACCAGACAACAGGACCACGCACAAACAACGATCATCAAATTACCACTGGCGTATCACCAAAACTGAACAAGGTTTAAGGCAGTTTCTCAAAACGAAAGCTTTAAACCGTTAAAAAACGACCACAACAATAAAAAAAACAACAACAATGGCATTATATTTGTTTGCTGGCATTTGAAAGTAATTGAAACGATAGACTTATTTGTATTTGTTTCCAGAGACATTTTGCAACTCAAGAAACCATGTAGAGTTTGCCTCATCCAAGCGAAGGACTCACACACTGCACATAAACTCGATGCAGAGAGGAGAAAGCCTCTCCTCGAAAAACTGAGTCTGGGCCGACTTAATATGGCACTACGTTTGGTTAACACTTATTTTAACCACCAACAAAATCAACACTGACATTGAGATTATGTCCCACATACTTAGCTCGTTTACGAAAACTGTGGAATGCCTTGTTTTCATCACTAGTATTGACATGCTTCACAAGAGGATCATCAGACAAATAAATGTGTGTAGAAGTGAACAAAACAATTCCAGCATGAAGAATCCCAAAGAATGAACCACGTCCTCCAATTATGATTGGTAAATATAAACGATTGAGGGAAGAGCGAGGTTGGTGGGATCTATTGTCTCACATGATTCTTCGTGTGAGGGTGTCAATACCCTGCATTTCTTGTTTCGTACAATCAACAACACCAAAAGAATACGAAAAAAGGGGACAGCATAAGAATTTGTGGTTTTAGCTTTTTTGCGAGTGTTCAGCTCTAAGCTCCAGCTCATTCTTTACTTGGGTCTTCATGTGTCTCAACATTACCACAGGCATTATCATTAACACTGTGATGAGCAATTTATATTTCACAGAATTTCTTTGGGAATTGCGTGTTTGAATTGGTCCCCAGTAACCTGTTCTTGTTTTAAGAGTCGACTGAAAAGGATTAGGTGGTCAGATTCAGTGATTTCATGTGGTGGCACGTGGTCACAAATGAGGAGAAGTTAAACACCGTGGGTCGCGGAGAGCCCTTGGAAGGATGGCCGTGTTCTGCAGTCCGACAGTTTGGCCATCATTCTTATTCTTATTATTCTTATTATTTACAGATTAAAATTAAAAAATGCAGCTAAGAATGTTTTGGTAATTCTGGCACAGTCAGGCTGGTTAGGATCATCATCAACTCAGGGTCCTTGCCCCCTCTACACGCAGCCCAGGCAGGAATGGGACTTCTCCCAGGAAGCGCTGCCTAGTCAAACCCAACCAGAACTCTTCTGAGAATGTGAAAACTCCCCAACACTGCAGCCTTCTGCATTACCCAGATTGTCAGAAGGGCTGTATTCCTGGTAGCAAACCCGCGTACTCTCCCAATGTCAGTCAACAGATTGGGAGGTACCAAACCTAAGGCACCGAAAACAATGGGGAGAGGGACAACTTAGTACTTGGGATGCGAGCGTGACATTTCGAAAGCGAGGTCCGCATATTTGCCATGTTTTTCTCAATCGTTTCAATCACATTAGTGTCAAAAGGGACAGAAAATTCAATAATATAAATGATTTCATTGGATTTATCAAAAAAGGACAAGATCAGGTTTGTTGGCCCGGATACGCTTGAGGCTGTATACGGGACTGTTCCAAAGAATGTTGTGTTGAATTGATCATTTTCCATGACCCCCTTTACACATTCCGGGTCGTACCATGGATGGACCTCTGTGTCAAAACCACAAGCATGTCAAAGACGGTAACAACTTGTTCAAGCCACTCCATCGTGTCGCTTAAGATACTGTAATTGTGCCAAAGCTGAGCATTCACTGACAATGTGTTGGACAGTCTCATTAAATTCATTGCATAATCTATATTTCATATTTACATTTTGATGCAAAAGCACACATTGACGGTTTTTAATTGGAAGTGACTGGTCCTGAGCAGCAAACAGAGAGCCTTCTGTTTCACTTTTCAGGCCAGCCGACTTCATCCAAGCGAAGGACTCACACACTGCACATAAACTCGATGCAGAGAGGTGAAAGTCTCTCCTCGAAAAACTGAATCTGGGCCTACTTAGTATGGCACTTCGTTTGGTTATCACTCATTTCTGTACCGTCCAGCTATACAGAACCATCAACAAAATCAACACTGGCATTGATATTATGTCCCACATACTTAGCTCGTTTACGAAAACTGTGGAATGCCTTGTTTTCATCACGAGTCTTGACATGCTTCACAAGAGGATCATCAGACAAATAAATGTGTGCAGAAGTGCACAAAACAATTCCAGCATGAAGAATCCCAAAGATAATCAAACCACGCCCTTCGTATTATGATTGGTAAATATAAACGATTGAGGGAAGAGCGAGGTTGGTGGGATCTATTGTCTGTGATGATTCTTCGTGTGAGGGTGTCAATACCCTGCATTTCTTGTTTCGTACAATCAACAACACCAAAAGAATACGAAAAGAAAGGGGACAGCATAAGAATTTGTGGTTTTAGCTTTTTTGCGAGTGTTCAGCTCTAAACTCCAGCTCATTCTTTACTTGGGTCTTCATGTGTCTCAACATTACCACAGGCATTATCATTAACACTGTGATGAGCAATGCTAATGTCAACTTTTGCTTATTTTGCTTATTGTCGATTTGTTGTCGAAACGAAAACTTTCAAACGGACAATATCACTTAGGTACCAGCGTTACATTTCAATTTCACGCCGATAGGTTTGACTTAACAATGTGTACTTATCCAAATGATATCAAGTCTGACACACATCATGATGGCAATGAAGAGTTATCTTCATGTATCCTTTTCTGCCACAGAAAAGATTCAATAAACTGTGAAAAACCCTTGCAATGTGTAGAAATGCAGACACAAGAAAAAAAGATTTTAGTTTTTTTCAATGGTACAAGAAAAACAGTGATGGGACATATTAAGTAGCACATCAGTAGCTTACCACTTCTGTTATTCTTTCTCTCTTCCTTTCCTTTTTGCAACCTTTCCCTTCTCTCTGCAACAAACACAATAACACATAAGGTGATTTTGTTCTATTGCCCTAGTAGAACGGGATATGGTTATATTTCACAGAGTTTCTTTGGGAATTGCGTGTTTGAATTGGTCCCCAGTAGCCTGTTCTTGTTTTAAGAGTCGACTGAAAAGGATTAGGTGGTCAGATTCAGTGATTCCATGTGGTGGCATGTGGTCACACATGAGGAGAAATTAAGCAACTTAGGTCGCGGAGAGCCCTTGGAAGGATGGCCGTGTTCTGCAGTCCGACAGTTTGGCCATCATTCTTATTCTTCTTATTCTTCTTATTTACAGATTAAAATTAAAAAAATGCAGCAAAGAAGGTTTGGGTGATCCTGGCACAGTCAGGCTGGTTATGATCATCATCAACTCAGGGTCCTTGCCCCCTCAACACGCAGCCCAGACAGGAATGGGACTTCTCCCAGGAAGCGCTGCCTTGTCAAACCCACCCAGAACTCTTCTGAGAATGTGAAAACTCCCCAACACTGCAGCCTTCTGCATTACCCAGATTGTCAGAAGGGCTGTATTCCTGGTAGCAAACCCGGGTACTCTCCCAATGTCAGTCAACAGATTGGGAGGTACCAAACCTAAGGCACCGAGAACAATGGGGAGTGGGACGACTTGGTACTTGGTATGCGAGCGTGACATTTCGAAAGTGAGGTCCGCATATTTGCCATGTTTTTCTCAATCACAAGAGGATCATCAGACAAATAAATATGTGCAGAAGTGCAGAAACAATTCCAGCATGAAGAATCCCAAAGATAATCAAACCACGCCCTTCGTATTATGAATGGTAAATATAAACGATTGAGGGAAGAGCAAGGTTGGTAGAATCTATTGTCTGTGATGATTCTTCGTGTGAGGGTGTCAATACCCTGCATTTCTTGTTTCGTACAATCAACAACACCAAAAGAATACGAAAAGAAAGGTGACAGCATAAGAATTTGTGGTTTTAGCTTTTTTGCGAGTGTTCAGCTCTACACTCCAGCTCATTCTTTACTTGGGTCTTCATGTGTCTCAACATTACCACGGGCATTATCATTAACACTGTGATGAGCAATGTTAATGTCAACTTTTGCTTATTTTGCTTATTGTCGATTTGTTGTCGAAACGAAAACTTTCAAACGGACAATATCACTTAGGTACCAGCGTTACATTTCAATTTCACGCCGATAGGTTTGACTTAACAATGTGTACTTATCCAAATGATATCACGTCTGACACACATCATGATGGCAATGAAGAGTTATCTTCATGTATCCTTTTCTGCCACAGAAAAGATTCAATAAACTGTGAAAAACCCTTGCAATGTGTAGAAATGCAGACACAAGAAAAAAAGATTTTAGTTTTTTTCAATGGTACAAGAAAAACAGTGATGGGACATATTAAGTAGCACATCAGTAGCTTACCACTTCTGTTATTCTTTCTCTCTTCCTTTCCTTTTTGCAACCTTTCCCTTCTCTCTGCAACAAACACAATAACACGTAAGGTGATTTTGTTCTATTGCCCTAGTAGAACGGGATATGGTTATATTTCACAGAGTTTCTTTGGGAATTGCGTGTTTGAATTGGTCCCCAGTAGCCTGTTCTTGTTTTAAGAGTCGACTGAAAAGGATTAGGTGGTCAGATTCAGTGATTCCATGTGGTGGCATGTGGTCACACATGAGGAGAAATTAAGCAACTTAGGTCGCGGAGAGCCCTTGGAAGGATGGCCGTGTTCTGCAGTCCGACAGTTTGGCCATCATTCTTATTCTTCTTATTCTTCTTATTTACAGATTAAAATTAAAAAAATGCAGCAAAGAAGGTTTGGGTGATCCTGGCACAGTCAGGTTGGTTAGGATCATCATCAACTCAGGGTCCTTGCCCCCTCAACACGCAGCCCAGACAGGAATGGGACTTCTCCCAGGAAGCGCTGCCTTGTCAAACCCACCCAGAACTCTTCTGAGAATGTGAAAACTCCCCAACACTGCAGCCTTCTGCATTACCCAGATTATCAGAAGGGCTGTATTCCTGGTAGCAAACCCGGGTACTCTCCCAATGTCAGTCAACAGATTGGGAGGTACCAAACCTAAGGCACCGAGAACAATGGGGAGTGGGACGACTTGGTACTTGGTATGCGAGCGTGACATTTCGAAAGCGAGGTCCGCATATTTGCCATGTTTTTCTCAATCGTGTCAATCACATAAGTGTCAAAAGGGACAGAAAATTCAATAATATAAATGATTTCATTGGATTTATCAAAAAAGGACAAGATCAGGTTTGTTGGCCCGGATACGCTTGAGGCTGTGTACCGGCCTGTTCCAAAGAACGTTGTGTTGAATTGATCATTTTCCATGACCCCCTTTACACATTCCGGGTCGTACCATGGATGGACCTCTGTGTCAAAACCACAAGCATGTCAAAGACGGTAACAACTTGTTCAAGCCACTCCATCGTGTCGCTTAAGATACTGTGTTTGTGCCAAAGCTGGGCATCCACTGACAATGTGTTGGACAGTCTCATTAAATTCATTGCATAATCTATATTTCATATTTACATTTTGATGCAAAAGCACACATTGACGGTTTTTAGTGGGAAGTGACTGGTCCTGAGCAGCAAACAGAAAGCCTTCTGTTTCACTTTTCAGGCCAGCCGACTTCATCCAAGCATAGGACTCACACACTGCACATAAACTCGATGCAGAGAGGTGAAAGCCTCTCCTCGAAAAACTGAATCTGGGCCTACTAAATATGGCACTTCGTTTGGTTAACACTCATTTCTGTACCGTCCAGCTATACAGAACCATCAACAAAATCAACACTGGCATTGATATTATGTCCCACATACTTAGCTCGTTTACGAAAACTGTGGAATGCCTTGTTTTCATCACGAGTCTTGACATGCTTCACAAGAGGATCATCAGACAAATAAATATGTGCAGAAGTGCAGAAACAATTCCAGCATGAAGAATCCCAAAGATAATCAAACCACGCCCTTCGTATTATGAATGGTAAATATAAACGATTGAGGGAAGAGCAAGGTTGGTAGAATCTATTGTCTGTGATGATTCTTCGTGTGAGGGTGTCAATACCCTGCATTTCTTGTTTCGTACAATCAACAACACCAAAAGAATACGAAAAGAAAGGGGACAGCATAAGAATGTGTGGTTTTAGCTTTTTTGCGAGTGTTCAGCTCTAAACTCCAGCTCATTCTTTACTTGGGTCTTCATGTGTCTCAACATTACCACGGGCATTATCATTAACACTGTGATGAGCAATGCTAATGTCAACTTTTGCTTATTTTGCTTATTGTCGATTTGTTGTCGAAACGAAAACTTTCAAACGGACAATATCACTTAGGTACCAGCGTTACATTTCAATTTCACGCCGATAGGTTCGACTTAACAATGTGTACTTATCCAAATGATATCACGTCTGACACACATCATGATGGCAATGAAGAGTTATCTTCATGTATCCTTTTCTGCCACAGAAAAGATTCAATAAACTGTGAAAAACCCTTGCAATGTGTAGAAATGCAGACACAAGAAAAAAAGATTTTAGTTTTTTTCAATGGTACAAGAAAAACAGTGATGGGACATATTAAGTAGCACATCAGTAGCTTACCACTTCTGTTATTCTTTCTCTCTTCCTTTCCTTTTTGCAACCTTTCCCTTCTCTCTGCAACAAACACAATAACACGTAAGGTGATTTTGTTCTATTGCCCTAGTAGAACGGGATATGGTTATATTTCACAGAGTTTCTTTGGGAATTGCGTGTTTGAATTGGTCCCCAGTAGCCTGTTCTTGTTTTAAGAGTCGACTGAAAAGGATTAGGTGGTCAGATTCAGTGATTCCATGTGGTGGCATGTGGTCACACATGAGGAGAAATTAAGCAACTTAGGTCGCGGAGAGCCCTTGGAAGGATGGCCGTGTTCTGCAGTCCGACAGTTTGGCCATCATTCTTATTCTTCTTATTCTTCTTATTTACAGATTAAAATTAAAAAAATGCAGCAAAGAAGGTTTGGGTGATCCTGGCACAGTCAGGCTGGTTAGGATCATCATCAACTCAGGGTCCTTGCCCCCTCAACACGCAGCCCAGACAGGAATGGGACTTCTCCCAGGAAGCGCTGCCTTGTCAAACCCACCCAGAACTCTTCTGAGAATGTGAAAACTCCCCAACACTGCAGCCTTCTGCATTACCCAGATTGTCAGAAGGGCTGTATTCCTGGTAGCAAACCCGGGTACTCTCCAAATGTCAGTCAACAGATTGGGAGGTACCAAACCTAAGGCACCGAGAACAATGGGGAGTGGGACGACTTGGTACTTGGTATGCGAGCGTGACATTTCGAAAGCGAGGTCCGCATATTTGCCATGTTTTTCTCAATCGTGTCAACCACATAAGTGTCAAAAGGGACAGAAAATTCAATAATATAAATGATTTCATTGGATTTATCAAAAAAGGACAAGATCAGGTTTGTTGGCCCGGATACGCTTGAGGCTGTGTACCGGCCTGTTCCAAAGAACGTTGTGTTGAATTGATCATTTTCCATGACCCCCTTTACACATTCCGGGTCGTACCATGGATGGACCTCTGTGTCAAAACCACAAGCATGTCAAAGACGGTAACAACTTGTTCAAGCCACTCCATCGTGTCGCTTAAGATACTGTGTTTGTGCCAAAGCTGGGCATCCACTGACAATGTGTTGGACAGTCTCATTAAATTCATTGCATAATCTATATTTCATATTTACATTTTGATGCAAAAGCACACATTGACGGTTTTTAGTGGGAAGTGACTGGTCCTGAGCAGCAAACAGAAAGCCTTCTGTTTCACTTTTCAGGCCAGCCGACTTCATCCAAGCATAGGACTCACACACTGCACATAAACTCGATGCAGAGAGGTGAAAGCCTCTCCTCGAAAAACTGAATCTGGGCCTACTAAATATGGCACTTCGTTTGGTTAACACTCATTTCTGTACCGTCCAGCTATACAGAACCATCAACAAAATCAACACTGGCATTGATATTATGTCCCACATACTTAGCTCGTTTACGAAAACTGTGGAATGCCTTGTTTTCATCACGAGTCTTGACATGCTTCACAAGAGGATCATCAGACAAATAAATATGTGCAGAAGTGCAGAAACAATTCCAGCATGAAGAATCCCAAAGATAATCAAACCACGCCCTTCGTATTATGAATGGTAAATATAAACGATTGAGGGAAGAGCAAGGTTGGTAGAATCTATTGTCTGTGATGATTCTTCGTGTGAGGGTGTCAATACCCTGCATTTCTTGTTTCGTACAATCAACAACACCAAAAGAATACGAAAAGAAAGGGGACAGCATAAGAATTTGTGGTTTTAGCTTTTTTGCGAGTGTTCAGCTCTAAACTCCAGCTCATTCTTTACTTGGGTCTTCATGTGTCTCAACATTACCACAGGCATTATCATTAACACTGTGATGAGCAATGCTAATGTCAACTTTTGCTTATTTTGCTTATTGTCGATTTGTTGTCGAAACGAAAACTTTCAAACGGACAATATCACTTAGGTACCAGCGTTACATTTCAATTTCACGCCGATAGGTTCGACTTAACAATGTGTACTTATCCAAATGATATCAAGTCTGACACACATCATGATGGCAATGAAGAGTTATCTTCGTGTATCCTTTTCTGCCACAGAAAAGATTCAATAAACTATGAAAAACCCTTGCAATGTGTAGAAATGCAGACACAAAAAAAAAGATTTTAGTTTTTTTCAATGGTACAAGAAAAACAGTGATGGGACATATTAAGTAGCACATCAGTAGCTTACCACTTCTGTTATTCTTTCTCTCTTCCTTTCCTTTTTGCAACCTTTCCCTTCTCTCTGCAACAAACACAATAACACGTAAGGTGATTTTGTTCTATTGCCCTAGTAGAACGGGATATGGTTATATTTCACAGAGTTTCTTTGGGAATTGCGTGTTTGAATTGGTCCCCAGTAGCCTGTTCTTGTTTTAAGAGTCGACTGAAAAGGATTAGGGGGTCAGATTCAGTGATTCCATGTGGTGGCATGTGGTCACACATGAGGAGAAATTAAGCAACTAAGGTCGCGGAGAGCCCTTGGAAGGATGGCCGTGTTCTGCAGTCCGACAGTTTGGCCATCATTATTATTCTTATTATTCTTATTATTTACAGATTAAATTTTTTTTAAAATGCAGCAAAGAAGGTTTGGTGATCCTGGCACAGTCAGGCTGGTTAGGATCATCATCAACTCAGGGTCCTTGCCCCTCCCCCCACCCCCAACACGCAGCCCAGACAGGAATGGGACTTCTCCCAGGAAGCTGCCTTGTCAAACCCACCCAGAACTCTTCTGAGAATGTGAAGACTCCCCAACACTGCAGCCTTCTGCATTACCCAGATTGTCAGAAGGGCTGTATTCCTGAGCAGCAAACAGAAAGCCTTCTGTTTCACTTTTCAGGCCAGCCGACTTCATCCAAGCGAAGGACTCACACACTGCACATAAACTTGATGCAGAGAGGTGAAAGCCTCTCCTCGAAAAACTGAATCTGGGCCTACTTAATATTGCACTTCGTGTGGTTAACACTTATTTCTGTACCGTCCAGCTATACAAGAACAACCCTGACACTGAGATTATGTCCCACATACTTAGCTCGTTTACGAAAACTGTGGAATGCCTTGTTTTCATCACGAGTCTTGACATGCTACACAAGAGGATCATCAGACAAATAAATGTGTGCAGAAGTGTACAAAACAATTCCAGCATGAAGAATCCCAAAGATAATCAAACCACGCCCTTCGTATTATGAATGGTAAATATAAACGATTGAGGGAGGAGCGAGGTTGGTGGGATCTATTGTCTGTGATGATTCTTCGTGTGAGGGTGTCAATACCCTGCATTTCTTGTTTCGTCCAATCAACAACACCAAAAGAATACGAAAAGAGAGGGGACAGCATAAGAATTTGTGGTTTTAACGTTATTGCGAGTGTTCAGCTCTACACTCCAGCTCATTCTTTACTTGGGTCTTCATGTGTCTCAACATTACCACGGGCATTATCATTAACACTGTGATGAGCAATGTTAATGTCAACTTTTGCTTACTGTCGATTTGTTGTCGAAACGGATAATATCACTTAGGTACCAGCGTTACATTTCAATTCCACGCTGATAGGTTCGACTTGACAATGTGTACTTATCCAAATGATATCAAGCCTGACACACATCATGATGGCAATGAAGAGTTATCTTCATGTATCCTTTTCTGCCACAGAAAAGATTCAATAAACTATGAAAAACCCTTGCAATGTGTAGAAATGGACAGACACAAGAAAAAAAGATTTTAGCTTTTGTCAATGGTACAAGGAAAACAGTGATGGGACATAATTAATAGCACATCAGTAGCTCACCACTTCTCTTAGCCTTTCTCGCTTCCTTTCTTTTTTGCATTCTTGCCCTTATCCCTGCAACAAAGACAGCATACATGTATGATGATTTGACCAATCACCCGAGTTTAAGAGGATATATGATAGAGAGGATCTTTGGCAATTGTGTGTTTGAATTGGTCCCCAGTAACCTGTCCTTGTTTTGGAGCCTGCTAAAATGGATCAGGTGCTTTGAATCAGTGTTTTGACTGAGTCAGTGTTAACATGACCTGGTGTGGTGGATCATGTGTGCCAAAAATGTAAACTGTCATCATAACTTATACTGTAAGTGGCAATGTTCAGGTCAGTCTTAACATGAATGTAACAGTCACTGATTTCACTTATTTCGATCACAACGAAAACAACAACAATGTAATATATTTGTGTATTAGCAATTGACAGTAAGTGATACGAGGGACCTGTGTTGTGTCTGTGAAACACCATGGCAAGATTTTGACTGAACATTGCAAGGTGAATACAACTGAGTATGGACAGGTATGTTCATTGTCCACAGGGAATACTGTGGACGATATACAGAAGATATAGTACGGTATATGACGTAATGTTGCCAGCAGAGGAAGGAGAGTGTAGGCAGACTGAGCTGGAGAATGTGTGCTTTATTTTCACGAGTTAGTTTTATCTATTTGGCTCCTCTGTGTTATCAGAAACGTCGTGTATTGGGACTAACAGTTGAGGATTTAACATTATCAATAATACAAGACACAAGTTTACTTACGACTAAATATGCCTTGCTCCTTTTTCTGATTTCTGTCCACATCCCCGCCGTCATCCCCAGCGCCTGGATGAGAAAAGTAACCAAAAGTTATATTGCGACGAGGTTTCTCAGTCTGTATGGATGTTTTATGGCGATATAACAGTGTAACAATACAATATCAAATTATAACTTTTGCCCTTGACCTAAGGCGATATGGTTAAATGTGCTAAACACGCATGCCCGACATGTGAATGACCATCGAATGGCTATCAAATGTTGACATATAAAGATAATCATTTGTTGCTTTTGTCGTGACTGAAATAGGTGAAATCCAAAACTGTTTAATTCATTCGTTTTAGTGTGCGTGTGCGTGCGTGCGTGCGTGCGTGTGTGTGTGTGTGTGTGTGTGTGTGTGTGTGTGCGTGAATTTGTGCGTGCGTTTGTGCGTGCGCGCGTGTGTGTGTTTGTGTGTTAATTGCCTGTTATTATTTGATTGCGTGCGCCTCAACATCACTGATAGCATGGATCATTGTTCATTCTCTACTTTGACCTTCATGTGTCTTAACATGACTACTGACATTATCACTAAAACTGATGATCAATGCTAATGTCAGTTATTGCTTTTTGTCGATTTGTTCTCCAAACGAAACCTTTGAAACGAATATTATCACTTAGGTACCAACGTTACATTTCAATTTCACGCTGATAGGTTCGACTAAACAATGTTTACTTATCCAAATGATATCAAGTCTGACACACGTCATGATGGCAGTCAGAGTTATCAAGTCTCAGTGCGTGATCAGCTCGTTCAATCTTCAAAAGGTATTAAGCACAGTTAGTTCTGTTAGAGACATGCAGAGGTTTCGCTGACCTAATCACTCGTCGCGAAATGCTGACTGTGAGAGCAAGGAGGTCCAGTCTACCGACGCAGTTCACAGAGAAATGCAGACAATGACAGACGATATATGTGAGTGAGTGAGTTGGGTTTAACGCCGCTTTTAACATTATTCCAGTCATATCGCGGCGTGTCAGCTTAATGTGGGAGGAAAGCCTGAAGTGATGCAGGTTTTAGACGTTTACCACTTCGGTGAAACCCACGAGCACGGTTATGGTGCTGACAAACCTAGAAACATAATTGGGGCGAACCGGGATTTGAACCCATAATCATAGGTTTCTGGCATGCCCAAGGGACGCAACTCTGCACAGCGAATCGCGGCGCCTTATACGACTGGGCCACCTGTGCCCCCGACAGACGATAAAAACAAGATATGGTCAAATGCAATACCGAAGAAAAGATAAATCATTTTCTGCCAGGGAAAAGTATCAATACATCATGAAAAACCCTTGCAACGTGTAAAAATGCAGAGACACAAGAAAAAAAGATTTTAGCTTTTATTAATGGTACAAGGAAAACAGTGATGGGACATATTAAATAGCACATCAGTAGCTCACCACTTCTCTTAGCCTTTCTCGCTTCCTTTCTTTTTTGCATTCTTGCCCTTATCCCTGCAACAAACACAGCATACGCCTATAATGATTTGTTCTATCCCCCGAGTAGAAGAGGATATGGTTATATGATAGAGAGGATCTTTGAGAATTGCGTGTTTGAAATGGACCCCAGTAGCTTGACCTTGTTTTGGAGCCTGCTAAAATGGATCAGGTGCTTTGAATCAGTGTTTTGACTGAGTCAGTGTTAACATGACAAGGTGTGGTGGATCATATGTGCCAAAATTGCAAACTGTCATCATCACTTAAACTGTAATGGGCAATGTTAAGGTCAGTCTGATAGTTTGTATTTTTGTCGATATGGTCTTGAAAAGAAAACTTCCAATGGTTCAGTCAGGAAATGCTTGTCACACGAACATGAATGTAACAGTTACTGATTTCACTTATTTCGGTCACAACAACGAACACAACAAAGGATTATATTTGTATGTTAGCAATTGAAAGTAAGAGATACGAGGGACCTGTGTTGTATCTGTGAAACACAATGACAAGATGTTGACTGAACATTGCAAGGTGCATATAACTGAGTATGGACGGGTATGTTCATTGTCAACGGGGAATACTGTGGACGATATACAGAAGATATCGTACGGTATATGACGTAATGTTGCCAGCAGAGGAAGGAGAGTGTAGGCAGACTGAGCTGGAGAATGTGTGCTTTATTTTCACGAGTTAGTTTTATCTATTTGGCTCCTCTGTGTTATCAGAAACGTCGTGTATTGGGACTAACAGTTGAGGATTTAACATTATCAATAATACAAGACACAAGTTTACTTACGACTAAATATGCCTTGCTCCTTTTTCTGATTTTTGTCCACATCCCCGCCGTCATCCCCAGCGCCTGGATGAGAAAAGTAACCAAAAGTTATATTGCGACGAGGTTTCTCAGTCTGTATGGATGTTTTATGGCGATATAACAGTGTAACAATACAATATCAAATTATAACTTTTGCCCTTGATCTAAGGCGATATGGTTAAATGTGCTAAACACGCATGCCCGACATATGAATGACCATCGAATGACTATCAAATGTTGACATATAAAGATAATCATTTGTTGATTTTGCCGTGACTGAAATAGGTGAAATCCAAAACTGTTAAATTCATTCGTTTTAGTGTGTGTGTGTGCGTGTGCGTGTGCGTGTGCGTGTGTGTGTGTGTGTGTGTGTGTGTGTGTGTGTGTGTGTGTGTGTGTGTACGTGCGTGCGCGTGGGTGTGTGCGCGTGGGTGCGTGTGTATGTGTGCGCATGCGTGTGTGTGTTTGTGTGTAAATTGCCTACATCACTGATAGCATGGATCATTGTTCATTCTCTACTTTGACCTTCATGTGTCTTAACATGACCACTGACATTATCACTAAAACTGATAATCAATGCTAATGTCAGTTATTGCTTTTTGTCGATTTGTTCTCCAAACGATAACTTTGAAACGAATTTTATCACTTAGGTACCAGCGTTACATTTCAATTTCAAGCTGATAGGTTCGACTTAACAATGTGTACATATCCAAATGATATCAAGTCTGACACACATCATGATGGCAAGGAAGAGTAATCAAGTCTCAGTGCGTGATCAGCTCGTTCAATCTCCAAAAGGTATTAAGCACAGTTAGTTCTGTTAGAGACATGCAGAGGTTTCGCTGACCTAACAACTCGTCCCGAAATGCTGACTGTGAGTGCAATGAGGTCCAGTCTACCGACGCAGTTCACAGAGAAATGCAGACAATGACAGACGATATAAACAAGATATGGTCAAATGTAATACCGAAGAAAAGATAAATCATTTTCTGCCAGGGAAAAGTATCAATACATCATGAAAAACCCTTGCAACGTGTAAAAATGCAGAGACACAAGAAAAAAAGATTTTAGCTTTTATTAATGGTACAAGGAAAACAGTGATGGGACATATTAAATAGCACATCAGTAGCTCACCACTTCTCTTAGCCTTTCTCGCTTCCTTTCTTTTTTGCATTCTTGCCCTTATCCCTGCAACAAACACAGCATACGCCTATAATGATTTGTTCTATCCCCCGAGGAGAAGAGGATATGGTTATATGATAGAGAGGATCTTTGAGAATTGCGTGTTTGAATTGGACCCCAGGAGCTTGACCTTGTTTTGGAGCCTGCTAAAATGGATCAGGTGCTTAGAATCAGTGTTTTGACTGAGTCAGTGTTAACATGACCTGGTGTGGTGGATCATATGTGCCAAAATTGCAAACTGTCATCATCACTTAAACTGTAATGGACAATGTTAAGGTCAATCTTAACATGAATGCAACAGTCACTGATTTCACTTATTTCGATCACAACGAAAACAACAACAATGTAATATATTTGTGTGTTAGCAATTGAAAGTAAGTGATACGAGGGACCTGTGTTGTTTCTGTGAAACACAATGACAAGATGTTGACTGAACATTGCAAGGTGCATATAACTGAGTATGGACAGGTATGTTCATTGTCAACGGGGAATACTGTGGACGATATACAGAAGATATCGTACGGTATATGACGTAATGTTGCCAGCACAGGAAGGAGAGTGTGGGCAGACTGAGCTGGAGAATGTGTGCTTTATTTTCACGAGTTAGTTTTATCTATTTGGCTCCTCTGTGTTATCAGAAACGTCGTGTATTGGGACTAACAGTTGAGGATTTAACATTATCAATAATACAAGACACAAGTTTACTTACGACTAAATATGCCTTGCTCCTTTTTCTGATTTGTGTCCACATCCCCGCCGTCATCCCCAGCGCCTGGATGAGAAAAGTAACCAAAAGTTATATTGCGACGAGGTTTCTCAGTCTGTATGGATGTTTTATGGCGATATAACAGTGTAACAATACAATATCAAATTATCACTTTTGCCCTTGACCTAAGGCGACATGGTTAAATGTGCTAAACACGCATGCCCGACATATGAATGACCATCGAATGACTATCAAATGTTGACATAAAAAAGATAATCATTTGTTGCTTTTGTCGTGACTGAAATAGATGAAATCCAAAACTGTTTAATTCATTCGTTTTAGTGTGTGTGTGCGTGTGCGTGTGTGAATGTGTGTGTGTGTGTGTGTGTACGTGCGTGCGCGTGTGTGCGTGTGTATGTGTGCGCATGCGCGTGTGTGTGTTTGTGTGTAAATTGCCTATTTGTATTTGATTGCGTGCGCCTCAACATCACTGATAGCATGGATCATTGTTCATTCTCTACTTTGACCTTCATGTGTCTTAACATGACTACTGACATTATCACTAAAACTGATGATCAATGCTAATGTCAGTTATTGCTTTTTGTCGATTTGTTCTCCAAACGAAAACTTTGAAACGAATTTTATCACTTAGGTACCAACGTTACATTTCAATTTCACGCTGATAGGTTCGACTTAACAATGTGTACATATCCAAATGATATCAAGTCTGACACACATTATGATGGCAAGGAAGAGTTATCAAGTCTCAGTGCGTGATCAGCTCGTTCAATCTCAATCAAGGTTTTGACAGTTTGGACAGTGAATGTGTATTGGAAACAGTAGTCAACTCTGAAGCTCACATGCAACATGGGCTTACTTAATTCGAAAATATCACTGTCATGATCTGCACACAGTTTACAATAAAGACGTCACAAACGCCTTTTACGGCAAGCGCGGGTTTGGTGAAGACCTATTCTACCCCGGATCTTCACGGGTGCGGTCTATCGGTAGTGAAGTCAGCGTTTTTTTTATTATTTTGAGTAACGTCGGGGTATGCTAATACAAGCATAACGACTCGATTCAATTAAATGATCGCATCTTATGGTTTTGCAATAGAATGTGGGGCGCGAATTCTAACTATGGTTCCCACCGGTTCTTGAACTTTAAAGTCAATGTTTGCATATATAATGTCTCTCAGTGTATCATTCGGTAGGAATTTCTACGCTTGCTTGAAATTGTTGCTGTAGTGTACATTGTTTGATAGTGGTTTCGCCTTTTCGCGAACACCTGGTATCATCATTTGCTTTTGATCATTCATAAACACTTTCTTCTGAAATTGTCGTAATCGTACAACGGACAGACATTTCTTATGAGTATAGAAATTGTTCAGTCGCTTTCATTCAGACATAATACTGTTTGGAAATAAATATTTTGTTCATTAAAATACTGGAAAAAATTAAATAATTTTCCTCAATTTATAAAACACAAAACTATCCGAGGCTGCACATGCTTGATGCCCTGTGTTGTGCAAAGGAAAAAACGTTCAGCTTCTCCTGTCAGAGTAAAACAATGAAATGTCGTCTTGATCATGAAGCAGTGACGCAAAACATATTCCGTCTTTAACAATTCAGCGGAATGTTGTTAAAAACATAGAAAACGAAACAATGAACCATTTTTAAATGATTTGGTGTCAGGGGAGGCTTACCATTGGTTGTTCCTAAAGGATTTATCTGTCTTGCATAGTTTCCGGCGCCTGTCTTTCCTGAAACAAACGTTAGACATAGAAGTTGCCACAAAGTGTGGATACCATATGTGTTTATCAGATACAGGCGCAACAGAAAACTGTTTTATCTCTGCGTGTAGGCTTAATGTTCGAGTAAAACTTGAAGTGATACATGTCTTAGACGATTACCACTTCGGTGAAATGTGAGGTAAGGAGAGGTGAAGTGGTGTGTGTGTGTGTGTGTGTGTGTGTGTGTGTGTGTGTGTGTGTGTGTGTGTGTGTGTGTGTGTGTGTGTGTGTGTGTGTGTGTGTGTGTGTGTGTGTGTGTGTGTGTGTGTGTGTGTGTGTGTGTGTGTGTGTGTGTGTGTGTGTGTGTCTGTTTGTCTGTGTGTGTGTGTGTAATAACAAGTACGTGTCAGCTTGATGTGGAAAGAAACCTCGAAGTGATGCGGGTCTTAGACGTTTACCACTTCGGTGAAACCCACGAGCACGGGTATGGTGCTGACAAACCTAGTAACATATATAATCGGGACGAACCGGGATTCGCTAAATAAGTAAGAGTCATTGCAACTGATATTATGTTGACCGTTAAAACCATATTTACATTTATTTAAATTAAATTCATGCAATAGTTGATAACGTTTGCAGTTTACAAAGTGAAAATGAAACTTGGATGAAGAAAGACCACGGCCTTCATGCTTACCTTCATGTGTGTTTTCCTCATGAGGTGTTCCTAGCTGAGCCAGGAGGGCCACCATCATAACAAGAACACCCACCCGTGCCATAGTGATGTCCACTATTCTACTGAAGGGTTGGCATTAATATTCCAACGTATAAGCAGTTGTTCTCACAGGTGATCTGATCGACTGCGCAAGTCTTGCAATGTTTTATCGTTCACAAACCTATTTCCTGTAAGTCATGATTATGATGTAGTTAGTGTCAGAGTTTTAACCTTGAAATCTCTAATAAAACGAAATGTGGAAGTGTAATGACGTTCCACTAACACCCAGTATCCAATGTTAATGCGGATAAGGCATGCCACAGTACAAGACGTGTGCAATAAATGTCAGGAATAGAATAGATTTACAATATGGAGAATGTGTGTAGGTTTACCTTACCGAGTGTGAGGAATTGTTCAAATATCAACTGACATGAACCCTTTGTTTGAAAATACCAATTGCCACCACGGAATTCATGTATAACATTTGTCCTCAGTGAACTACATGCTTGTAAGAGGCCATTAAAATGATTCACGTAGTTAGTTTCGGTAACTTGGTTCATTGCGAGTTATCATGCTCGGGCTGTGAGGGAGGATGTTCATTTTATCAACCACCGGTTTGTCCGGCCGAGACTCAACTATGTTCATACCGCCGTGATACAACAAGACTATTTCTGTCTGCGGCGTAAAACAACAAACAATCAATCCAATTGTGTTGTATATGAACGTAAACGAGTTTTCAGAAAAAGGTAATGACGGTTTGATGAAGGGGATGAAGGGGCCCAGTCGTCTAAGGCGTCGCAATTCGTAGTGCAGAGTTGTGTCCCTTAGCTATGCCAGAAACCTGTGAACTTGGGTTTGAATCCATGATATATATATATATGAGACCTTCATCACTTCAAAGGGGCGGTCGGGTAGCCTGGTGGTTAAAGCGTTCGCTCGTCACGCCGAAGACCCGGGTTCGATTCCCGACATGGGTACAATGTGTGAAGCCCATTTCTGGTGTCCCCCGCCGTGATATTGCTGGAATATTGCTAAAAGCGGCTAAAACCATACTCACTCACTCATCACTTCAAGCTTTCTTCACAAAGCTGAAGATCGCTTCTCGGCCTTTTGGCTAAGATCAAAGTGTAGTATCTTGGCCAAAATCCAGTAGCGATCCTCTCCATTGGAGTCTCTCATGTGATTACTTCATTTTGTGCTTTTCCTGTGCTGATCATTGACATTTCCTTTTACCAGGTCTACGTAAGGCATCAACTCCTTGTAGTTGTGTGACCTTTAGTGGTCTCCTTACCTTTCACCATGGCGTACACAGCCGCTGTTGATCATGGGCCCATCCCTGATCAGTACGTGGACCTCGATTCAGCGAACAGGACGGTTCGTATCTATTACACAGGAAAAGTCTCATCTATGGAGGATTTTATGGATGTGTTAAAGGCTTCAGTTCCGGGTTTCAAAGTCAGTGCCTGTCATGGTATTTGGAGGACAGAACACTTTGGGCATGTATATCTTACTATGAAGACTGCAGCGGATAGAGACTCTCTCCTAGATCTCAAGTGTGTGCCTTGTGGTGAGAATAAGCTCTACTTTTATTCCTATGGGAAGTATATGGTTGTACTTCGGGTACACTGGCTCCATGCCACCATACGGAGTGTTTTTCTCCAGGACTTCTTTGGCAAGTAAGGCAAAGTTATTGAAGTATTGAGGGAATATCACGTGATAGATGGAGAGGATGTCTTCACTGGTGTACGCCTAGTCAAGATGGAACTCTCCGGGTCTGAGAAGGAGGCCTTGCCTCACATTGTACGATTCGGTGACAAGCAGTCTATGCTGATCACGGCTCCGGGCAGACTTCCCATATGTTTGAAGTGCCACCAGCACGGTCATGTTCGAGCCAAGTGCCCAAAGACAAAAGACAACGTTCTGGAGATACCACAGCTTCCAGCTACAGACAGTGTTTCCGAGAAGGAGGTCTCAGCGGATCCTGTTCCCCCGACAGGGAGAGGGAAGGGAAAGAGGAAACAGACAGAGTCAGTCAAGAGTAGTGACAGGGAAGGCAAGAAAGGAAAGACTACTGATGTGGCACCTACAGTTGAGACAGACTCATCTTCCCAGATGGATCAAGTTATCGCGGCCATGGACATACCTGGGGAGACTGATGAGATATTGGATGACTCTCCACAGATATCAGCCAACAAAGCATCCCCGCCGAGTTGGGCAGAACAGTCTTCGCAGATGGATACCGTTCTCTCAGAATTACCTGACAACCTGATGGACCAGACCTCAACAAGTGATATCTGTCTGACATGTCAGAGCAGGAGATTGTTTCAGAATTAGGACAGCAAGGTGTAACTGCCGTCAAAAGGTTTACCAGGAAGCAAGATGGAGATGTTGTTCAAACAAATACCTATCTTTTTACCTTTTCGAGACCTACTCTTCCTACATCGATCAAAGCTGGCTACATGAATATTGGAGTGGAGGTGTATGTCCCCTCTCCACTCCGGTGCTTCAAATGCCAAAAGTTCGGCCATGGATCGAAATATTGCACTAGATCCCCAGTTTGTCAGCTCAGACTGCAGCGAGGACCTTAAGTGTAAAAATTGTGATGGTCATCACATGGCCTCTTCAAAATCTTGCCCTGTTTGGATTTTAGAATCTAAAATCCTTAAATTAAAACATACAAACAACATCACTTATCATGATGCACGAAAGCTGGTTGTTCCCACGCTTCCAACAACTACATCAAACTTATCTTATTCTGCTGCAGTATCCCGTTCCACTCCAACTAATTCTATCACATGTCAGACAGATCTTACTTGGGTCCACTCTGATCAGCCCCTTAAAATGGCATCCATGAGTCAGAATAAAGGAACATCTACATCATCATCTGACACAGATATTCAGCCTCCAAGCGAGCCTGCACAGCAGCCTGCCAGTCAGTCTACACGTCAGCCTGCACAAAGTACTGAACATGCAAATATTCAAAAAAAGGAAAGGAAAAGACAAAACAAAAAACAAACTCAAAGAAGCGCAACTCCTCCTGAGGTACCTCTTACTAACTCGTTTGGACCTCTGGATATGGAGGTGACCCTGTCTTCCGAAGACAGAGGTAGAAATCCTTCTTCCTCACGACCACGTGAGAGGTCACCTATTGAACCACCGTGACTCCATCCAATAACCTAATCCAATGGAATTGCAGAGGACTTAGAAATAATTTTAATGACATTCAATTATTGATACAGGATTTTAAACCGTCTGCTTTATGTCTACAGGAGACATACCTTAAAAGTACTGACAAATTTGATATTAGGCAGTATAACTGTCATCATTCATATTCTCCCCCAGGCGACAAAGCAACTGGAGGGTCATCTATTTTGGTGAGACAGGGCGTGATTCACAGCCCTGTTTCTATCAATTCAAATCTTCAAGCTGTTGCTGTTCGTTTAACTTTGAACGTTGTCTTTACTCTGTGTTCCTTGTATATTCCTCCATCCACTATGCTTCGACAAACAGATCTTCAAAATCTATATGATCAGCTACCCAAGCCATGCATCATCGTGGGTGATTTGAATGGGCACAACCCTTTATGGGGAAGTGTTACCACAAACAATAAAGGGAAAATCCTTGAGGAATTCATTTCAGATAATAATTTATGTATCTGTAATGATGATTCAAACACTTATTTACATCCTGCCACTGGATCGTACTCATCTCTTGATCTGTCTCTCACAGATTCAAATCTATTCAATGAATTTGACTGGTCGGTCCATGATGACCTCTGCGGAAGTGATCACTTTCCCACTATTCTTAAAGCTGTGAAGCCGAATCCTGAAAACTCGACATCCAGGTGGAATTTTAAGAAGGCCGATTGGTCATTATATGAAATATTGTGCACTGCAAAAATAACCCCTCATCATTTTCAAAACGTTGAAGATCCGATTCAATTGTTTTCAGATCAGCTCAATGAAATAGCTGATCAAACAATTCCTAAGTCCTCTGCAATTCCTCATATTCGCAAACCATGGTTTACCTACGAATGTAAACAGGCACGGAAGTGTAGGAAGAAAGCGGAAAAGTACTTCCGCCGACATCCCACAGTTCATAATTTAGATCAAGTAAAAATTACAAATGCAAAAGCCAGGCGGGCTTATAAACAAAATAAGCGTCAATCTTGGAGGACCTACGTCTCCAAAATAAATTCCCGTACTCCTATATCCAAAGTATGGAACATGATACAAAAAATTAAACGCAAAGGATCAAAATCTTCTGTTCACCATTTGAAGGAAGGTGATCAGTTATTAACTGATAAATCAGACATTGCCAATAAACTTGGTGAAACATTGGCAAAACATTCGTCATCGTCTAATTATGCCCCTGAATTCATAAAATATCAGAAACAACAGGAAAAGAAACATGTTAATTTTAACTCTGATAACGGGGAAGACTATAATGAAGTATTTTCCTTCCATGAGCTACATACAGCCCTAGGGCAAGCTCATGATACAGCGGCTGGTGCTGATAATATTCACTATCAGCTCCTGAAACATTTGCCTGATTCATGTCTAGAAACACTATTAGATATATTTGACCACATATGGACGTCGGGGAATTTTCCTCCTTCTTGGCATAATGCCATTGTAGTCCCTATCCCAAAGCCGGGTCGGGATCATACAGATCCATCCAATTACCGTCCTATATCTTTAACCAGTTGTGTCTGTAAAACGATGGAGCGAATGGTAAATAATAGATTGGTTTGGTTCTTAGAAACCAATAACCTACTAACAAATATCCAATGTGGTTTTCGCAATAATCGAAGTACTATAGATCATTTAGTACGATTGGAATCGTTTGTTAAAAATGCTATTGTTAACAAACAACATGCTGTGTCAATTTTTTTCGATCTTGAGAAAGCTTACGACACTACCTGGAAACATGGCATTTTAAAAGATTTACACGACTTTGGTCTGAGAGGCCGCTTACCACATTTTATATCACAGTTTTTAGCGGGCAGGCAATTTCAAGTCCGAGTGGGTTCAACCCTGTCTGACCATTATAATCAGGATCAGGGTGTCCCACAAGGAAGTATATTGTCAGTTACTCTATTTAGTGTTAAAATCAATAGTCTTTCAAAGGTTTTAAGTGATGCAGTGGATGGGTCACTTTTCGTAGATGATTTTAATATATCTTGTCGTGGTAAAAATATGCACACTATTGAAAGACAGCTACAATTATGCCTTAATAAAATACATAAATGGTGTCTAGAGAATGGGTTCAAGTTCTCTAAAGTCAAAACAAACTGTATCCATTTTTGCCGCAAATATAAACCGCATACGGACCCTGAACTGTTTTTGGCTGGTTTTCCTATTAAAGTTGTCAAGGAAGCCAAGTTCTTGGGTATTATATTTGATAATCATCTAACATTTTTACCACATATAAGATATCTGAAGACTAAATGTCTGAAGGCAATTGACTTGTTGAAAGTTGTTTCTCATTCAAAATGGGGAGGGGATCGGACAACTCTCCTTCATTTATATCGTTCTCTCATCCGTTCCAAACTCGATTATGGCTCCATCATTTATGGTGGTGCCTGTAAAAGCAACTTAAAATTATTAGATTCAGTACATCATCAAGGCCTGAGGCTATGTCTTGGTGCCTTTAGAACTTCACCAGTTGACAGTTTATATGTAGAGGCAGACGAGCCATCTCTTAAACACCGTCGAATTAAACTTTCATTGCAATATGTGACTAAATTATACTCACATCCGTCGAATCCAGCATACGACTGTGTGTTTAATCCCATGTATGAAAATCTATTTCAATCAAAACCAAAGCTTGTTCCCCCTCTAGGGTTCAGAATTAAGCCACATATTACCGCAGCTACTATTGATCTTTCTACTATCTCACCATACCGGTTACTGTCTACACCTCCTTGGCAACTAGTCAAACCAGAGGTAGACCTGACACTAACTACCCTTAAAAAAGCTGATACAAACCAGTTGATTTATCAACAAGAATATGCCCAGTTGCGGTCAAAATATGATACCCATCGCTCTATTTTTACTGATGGCTCCAGGGATGGTGGCAAGGTTTCAAGTGCTACTGTCATTGGATCTAAAAGGGTGTCTTCTAGAATCCCAGATAATAGCTCTATTTTTACAGCTGAGGCCAATGCTATTCTTATAGCTTTGGACTTCATTCAAAACCAATCATCTCAACAGTTCATCATCTTTTCTGATTCCTTGTCATGCCTTCAGGCAATACATAGTTGTTCTTCAAATCATCCGTTAATACTTGACATTTTAGAATTGAATAATGTTCTCGCCACTGCCCAATACGACATCGTCTTTTGCTGGTTGCCCAGTCATGTTGGCATCGCTGGTAACACTATGGCTGATACTGCTGCAAAGGCAGCCCTCTCCAAATCAGTAACGCCACTACTTTTACCATACAGTGATTACAAGCCAGTAATTAGATGCTACATCAATGATCTGATGCAAAAGAAGTGGAACACCCAAGTGGGTATCAACAAACTTAATGTTATAAAACCATCAATAGGGTATACCTACTTGGGTTGCCCTTCAAGACATGATGAAGTTGTTTTGCAACGATGTCGTATTGGACACAGTCGATATACCCACGAGTATCTTTTAAAAGGTGAGGATCCCCCGTTCTGTGTCCCTTGTGATGAGAGAATCACAGTCAAGCATGTTTTGCTTGACTGTGTTGATTTTTCTCTCACAAGGGATAAATATTATCATTCAACATCTTTAACGGATCTTTTTTATAATATCAGTGCTCATTTAATTCTCGGTTTTTTAAAAGAAATACTAATATTTGATAAATTTTGAATTGTTTTAGAATAGTTGGATATTTTTGTCAACTGAGATGTATGTAGGCAGTGCCACTGTGGGGGTTAAAGCAGTGTAAAATTATTGTCCCCTGACAGTGGCACGTGAGTCCATATATATTGAAGTAATTAATATCAACTAGTGTTTTAATTCCTTTATTGTGTTTTGTTTTTTAATATTGGTTAATATTTCATACAACCACTCGTGACCAAAGTGATGGCATAAATCCTGCTGGGAATCATGCAGGAAGCAAAAGCACTGTAAGTCCCCATGATCCCCAGTTAGGTGGTCTAGCTTTAGTCGCCAGTGCACTCTAGCCAGGTTTTACTTTCTAATAACTGTATTGAAAACGTCTTTGTTTTACTATTGCTCAGGTAAGTTTTATGTCTCCACTGTGATAATTACCTTACTGTTTTACTGTCCTTTGACGACAGAAATTTTAATATAATCAATTTGTTCTCATCGCGATATGGCTGCAATATTGCCGATGCGATGTAAAATTATAACTCACTCACTCACTCACAAAGCTGAAACGCAAGTAGTATTATTGTACCTTGTCTTCTGCCTCCGTGGTTCAGTGGATAGAAGTCTGTTCGGAGAGCGAAAGTTCGGTGGTTCGATCCCCTGACTGCGTCATACCAGTTGTACTTCTTGTTACCCTGCCTGACACTCGCCATTAAGAGGTTCGGAGCCCGGAAGGGACACAATTTTTATCAAGAGGTTTGTTGTGTATTATTGGCTGAAATTGTCCTGTGCACGTCTTGACATCGCCTTTATATGCAAAGGTTCATGTCCAGCATGTGACTGTTCTGTGGCGTTTCCTTGAATGCGCGTGAGAGAGTGTGTGAATGAGTGAGTAAATATATTGTGCTACACTCCAATATTTTAGCTATATTAGGGGGCACGGATGGCCCAGTTGTCAAAAGCGCCACGATTCGCTGTGCAGAGTTGCGTCCCGTGGGCACGCCAGAAACCTATGATTGTGGGTTCGAATCCCTGTTCGCCCCGATTATGTTTCTAGGTTAGTCAGCACCATACCCGTGCTCGTGGGTTTCACCGAAGAGGTAAACGTCTGAAACCTGCATCACTTCGGGCTTTCCTCCCACATTAAGCTGACACGCCGTGATATAACTGGAATACTGTTAAAAGCGGCGTTAAACCCAACTCTCTCTCTTAGCTATATTACACAGTGAATTATGGAACCTACACCAGGGAAACCATAGGCTGATGGTGGGATTCCGAGGAAGAGTAAGTCCGCAGTTTCCCCATGATTGTCATAAGAGTCGACTAAAGGGGGTCGGTGGTGAGACTCAGACACTTGATTATTGTCCATGCGCTCAGTCACTTATTTGTCTGACACACACTCGACTATTTACAGACGATTTGATATAGCTGAAATAGTTCTGACTGTGCCGTTAAACCATCCATCACGAAGTCATTCACGACAAAAGGACAGAACATATCGAAGTTCATTGCATCACTGCCTTTATTAATTAATCAACACTTGTTTCATTAACGACGACGTATCCCGCTGTGTGTCCTGAAACCAGAAGGAACAGGAACGATTACAAAGCAGCATGTACAACTATTACTTATGAGAATCATGTGCTCTTGAAACTGAGTGAGTGAGTAAGTGACATTTTACACCGCTTTCAGCAATGTTCAAGCAAAGTCACGGCGGTGGACACCAGAAATTGGCTTCACACATTGTACCCTTGTCGGGAATCGAACCCGGGTCTTCGGCGTGACGAGCGAAAGCTTCAACCACTAGGCTACCCGACCGCCCCTCTTGAAACTGAGTTCCAGTCGTGATCAGTTGAATAATTGAATGCCGTTATTTCAAAGTAAGTGTTCATTGGCGTTCATTAAGGGAGCTTTCATTAAATATTCTGGTCAATATACATGGAGAAAAGCAATTTTGCGGACCCATAGCTACATTATGTTTCAGGGCAGCCAGCAACTAAGTCCGGAGGACAAATGATTTTTTCCAGGATTTTCACGAACATTATTATTTTCTTCAATATTACTTGGTGTGTTCTGTTGACACTAAAACCCACCTGGTGTGCTATAGTTCTGTTGACAGTAAACATTTCTGATGTGCTACAGATCTGTTGACAGTAAACCTACCTGGTGTGCTATAGTTCTGTTGACAGTAAACCCACCTGATGTGCTACATCTCTATTGACAGTAAACCCACCTGGTGTGCTACACATCTGTTGACAGTAACCCACCTGGTGTGCTACACCTTCTATTGACAGTAAACCCACCTGGTGAGCTACGGTTCTGTTGACAGCAAACCCAACTGGTGTGCTACACATCTGTTGACAGTACACCCACCTGGTGTGATACAGTTCTGTTGACAGCAAACCCAACTGGTGTACTACACATCTGTTGACAGTAAACCCACCTGGTGTGTTATAGATCTGTTGACAGTAAACCCACCTGGTGTGTTATAGATCTGTTGACAGTAAACCCCCCTGGTGTGCTATAGTTCTGTTGACAGTAAACCCACATGTGTGCTACACATCTGTTGACAGTAACCCACCTGGTGTGCTACACCTTCTATTGACAGTAAACCCACCTGGTGAGCTACGGTTCTGTTGACAGCTAACCCAACTGGTGTGCTACACATCTGTTGACAATTAACCCACCTGGTGTGATACAGTTCTGTTGACAGCAAACCCAACTGGTGTACTACACATCTGTTGACAGTAAACCCACCTGGTGTGTTATAGATCTGTTGACAGTAAACCTACCTGGTGTGCTATAGTTCTGTTGACAGTAAACCCACCTGGTGTGCTACATCTCTATTGACAGTAAACCCACCTGGTGTGCTACACATATGTTGACAGTAACCCACCTGGTGTGCCACACCTTCTATTGACAGTAAACCCACCTTTTGTGCTACGGTTCTGTTGACAACAAACCCAACTGGTGTGCTACACATCTGTTGACAGTAAACCTACCTTGTGTGATACAGTTCTGTTGACAGTTAACCCACCTGGTGTGCTCCAGATCTGTTGACAGTAAACCCACATTGTGTGCTCCAGTTCTGTTGACAGTAAACTCACCTGGTGTGCTCGAGATCTGTTGACAGTAAACCCACCTGGTGTGCTACATCACTACTGACAGTAAACCCACCTGGTGTGCTCCAGTTCTGTTGACAGCAAACCCGCCTGGTGTGATACAGTTCTGTTGACAGTAAACCCACCTGGTGTGCTACATCTCTGTTGACAGTAAACCAACCTGGTGTGCTCCAGATCTGTTGACAGTAAACCTACCTGGTGTGTTATAGTTCTGTTGACAGTAAACCCACCTGGTGTGCTACATCTCTATTGACAGTAAACCAACTTTGTGTGTTATAGTTCTATTGACAGTAAACTCACCTTGTGTGCTCCAGATCTGTTGACAGTAATCCTACCTGGTATGATACATCTCTGTTGACAGTAAACCCACCTGGTGTGCTACATCTCTGTTGACAGTAAACCCGCCTGGTGTGATACAGTTCTGTTGACAGTAAACTCACCTTGTGTGCTCTAGATCTGTTGACAGTAAACCTACCTGGTGTGCTACATCTCTGTTGACAGTAAACCCACCTGGTGTGCTATAGTTCTGTTGACAGTAAACTCACCTTGTGTGCTCCAGATCTGTTGACAGTAAACCTATCTGGTATGCTACATCTCTGTTGACAGTAAACCCACCTGGTGTGCTACATCTCTGTTGACAGTAAACTCACCTGGTATGCTATAGTTCTGTTGACAGTAAACTCACCTGGTGTGCTACATCTCTATAGACAGTAAACCCACCTGGTGTGATGCAGTTCTGTAGACAGTTAACCCACCTGGTGTGCTACATCTCTATAGACAGTAAACCCACCTGGTGTGCTACATCTCTGTAGACAGTTAACTCACCTGGTGTGCTACATCTCTATAGACAGTTAACCCACCTGGTGTGATGCAGTTCTGTAGACAGTTAACCCACCTGGTGTGCTACATCTCTATAGACAGTAAACCCACCTGGTGTGCTACATCTCTGTTGACAGTAAACCCACCTGGTATGCTACATCTCTGTTGACAGTAAACCCACCTGGTGTGATACAGTTCTGTAGACAGTTAACTCACCTGGTATGTTACATCTCTGTAGACAGTTAACTCACCTGGTATGCTACATCTCTGTTGACAGTAAACCCACCTGGTGTGATGCAGTTCTGTAGACAGTTAACCCACCTGGTGTGCTACATCTCTGTTGACAGTTAACCCGCCTGGTGTGCTACATCTCTGTTGACAGTAAACCCACCTGGTGTGATACAGTTCTGTTGACAGTAACCCACCTGGTGTGATACATCTCTGTTGACAGTAAACCCACCTGGTATGCTACATCTCTGTTGACAGTAACCCACCTGGTATGCTCCAGTTCTGTTGACAGTAAACCCACCTGGTGTGCTACATCTCTATTGACAGTAAACCCACCTGGTGTGCCATAGTTCTGTTGACAGTAAACCCACCTGGTATGCTCCAGTTCTGTTGACTGTAAACCCACCTGGTGTGCTACATCTCTATTGACAGTAAACCCACCTGGTGTGCTACATCTCTGTTGACAGTAACCCACCTGGTATGCTCCAGTTCTGTTGACAGTAAACCCACCTGGTGTGCTACATCTCTATTGACAGTAAACCCACCTGGTGTGCCATAGTTCTGTTGACAGTAAACCCACCTGGTATGCTCCAGTTCTGTTGACTGTAAACCCACCTGGTGTGCTACATCTCTATTGACAGTAAACCCACCTGGTATGCTACACATCTTTTGACAGTAAACTCACCTTGTGTGCTACATCTCTATTGACAGTAAACCCACCTGGTATGCTCCATCTCTGTTGACAGTAAACCCACCTGGTATGCTACATCTCTGTTGACTGTAAACCCACCTGGTGTGCTCCAGTTCTGTTGACAGTAAACCCGCCTGGTGCGCTATAGTTCTGTTGACAGTAAACCAACCTGGTGTGCTCCAGTTCTGTTGACAGTAAACCCGCCTGGTGTGCTATAGTTCTGTTGACAGTAAACTCACCTTGTGTGCTCCAGATCTGTTGACAGTAAACCCACCTGGTATGCTACATCTCTGTTGACAGTAAACCTACCTGGTGTGCTATAGTTCTGTTGACAGTAAACTCACCTTGTGTGCTACATCTCTGTTGACAGTAAACCCGCCTGGTGTGCTACATCTCTGTTGACAGTAAACCCACCTGGTGTGCTACATCTCTTTTGACAGTAAACCCACCTGGTGTGCTACATCTCTGTTGACAGTAAACTCACCTGGTGTGCTACATCTCTGTTGACAGTAAACCCCCTGGTGTGCTACATCTCTGTTGACAGTAAACCCACCTGGTGTGCTACATCTCTGTTGACAGTAAACCCACCTGGTGTGATACAGTTCTGTTGACTGTAAACCCACCTGGTGTGATAAAGTTCTGTTGACTGTAAACCCACCTGGTGTGCTCCAGATCTGTTGACTGTAAACCCACCTGGTGTGCTACATCTCTGTTGACAGTAAACCCGCCTGGTGTGCTACATCTCTGTTGACAGTAAACCCGCCTGGTGTGATACAGTTCTGTTGACAGTAACCCACCTGGTGTGATACATCTCTGTTGACAGTAAACCCACTTGGTGTGCTACATCTCTGTTGACAGTAAACCCGACTGGTGTGATACAACCCTGTTGACAGTAAACCCACCTGGTGTGCTACATCTCTGTTGATAGTATACCCACCTGGTGTGATACAGTTCTGTTGACAGTAAACTCACCTTGTTTGCTCCAGATCTGTTGACAGTAAACCCACCTGGTGTGCTACATCTCTGTTGACAGTAAACCCACCTGGTGTGCTATAGTTCTGTTGACAGTAAACCTACCTGGTGTGCTACATCTCTGTTGACAGTAAACCCACCTGGTGTGCTACATCTCTGTTGACAGTAAACTCACCTGGTATGCTATAGTTCTGTTGACAGTAAACTCACCTGGTGTGCTACATCTCTATAGACAGTAAACCCACCTGGTGTGATGCAGTTCTGTAGACAGTTAACCCACCTGGTGTGCTACATCTCTATAGACAGTAAACCCACCTGGTGTGCTACATCTCTGTTGACAGTTAACTCACCTGGTGTGCTACATCTCTATAGACAGTTAACCCACCTGGTGTGATGCAGTTCTGTAGACAGTTAACCCACCTTGTGTGCTACATCTCTATACACAGTAAACCCACCTGGTGTGCTACATCTCTGTTGACAGTAAACCCACCTGGTGTGATACAGTTCTGTAGACAGTTAACTCACCTGGTATGCTACATCTCTGTTGACAGTAAACCCACCTGGTGTGATACAGTTCTGTAGACAGTTAACTCACCTGGTATGCTACATCTCTGTAGACAGTTAACTCACCTGGTATGCTACATCTCTGTTGACAGTAAACCCACCTGGTGTGATGCAGTTCTGTAGACAGTTAACCCACCTGGTGTGCTACATCTCTGTTGACAGTTAACCCGCCTGGTGTGCTACAATGTACATCTCTGTTGACAGTAAACCCACCTGGTGTGATACAGTTCTGTTGACAGTAACCCACCTGGTGTGATACATCTCTGTTGACAGTAAACCCACCTGGTATGCTACATCTCTGTTGACAGTAACCCACCTGGTATGCTCCAGTTCTGTTGACTGTAAACCCACCTGGTGTGCTACATCTCTATTGACAGTAAACCCACCTGGTGTGCCATAGTTCTGTTGACAGTAAACCCACCTGGTATGCTCCAGTTCTGTTGACTGTAAACCCACCTGGTGTGCTACATCTCTATTGACAGTAAACCCACCTGGTGTGCTACATCTCTGTTGACAGTAAACCCACCTGGTATGCTCCAGTTCTGTTGACAGTAAACCCACCTGGTGTGCTACATCTCTATTGACAGTAAACCCACCTGGTGTGCCATAGTTCTGTTGACAGTAAACCCACCTGGTATGCTCCAGTTCTGTTGACTGTAAACCCACCTGGTGTGCTACATCTCTATTGACAGTAAACCCACCTGGTATGCTACACATCTTTTGACAGTAAACTCACCCTATGTGCTACATCTCTATTGACAGTAAACCCACCTGGTATGCTCCATCTCTGTTGACAGTAAACCCACCTGGTATGCTACATCTCTGTTGACTGTAAACCCACCTGGTGTGCTCCAGTTCTGTTGACAGTAAACCCGCCTGGTGTGCTATAGTTCTGTTGACAGTAAACCCACCTGGTGTGCTCCAGTTCTGTTGACAGTAAACCCGCCTGGTGTGCTATAGTTCTGTTGACAGTAAACTCACCTTGTGTGCTCCAGATCTGTTGACAGTAAACCCACCTTGTATGCTACATCTCTGTTGACAGTAAACCTACCTGGTGTGCTATAGTTCTGTTGACAGTAAACTCACCTTGTGTGCTCCAGATCTGTTGACAGTAAACCCACCTGGTGTGCGCCAGTTCTGTTGACTGTAAACCCACCTGGTGTGCTACATCTCTGTTGACAGTAAACCCGCCTGGTGTGCTACATCTCTGTTGACAGTAAACCCACCTGGTGTGCTACATCTCTTTTGACAGTAAACCCACCTGGTGTGCTACATCTCTGTTGACAGTAAACTCACCTGGTGTGCTACATCTCTGTTGACAGTAAACCCCCTGGTGTGCTACATCTCTGTTGACAGTAAACCCACCTGGTGTGCTACATCTCTGTTGACAGTAAACCCACCTGGTGTGCTACATCTCTGTTGACAGTAAACCCACCTGGTGTGATACAGTTCTGTTGACAGTAACCCACCTGGTGTGATACATCTCTATTGACAGTAAACCCACCTGGTGTGCTACATCTCTGTTGACAGTAAACCCGCCTGGTGTGATACAACCCTGTTGACAGTAAACCCACCTGGTGTGCTACATCTCTGTTGATAGTATACCCACCTGGTGTGATACAGTTCTGTTGACAGTAAACTCACCTTGTTTGCTCCAGATCTGTTGACAGTAAACCCACCTGGTGTGCTACATCTCTGTTGACAGTAAACCCACCTGGTGTGATACAGTTCTGTTGACTGTAAACCCACCTGGTATGCTACATCTCTGTTGACTGTAAACCACCTGGTGTGCTACATCTCTGTTGACAGTAAACCCACCTGGTGTGATACAGTTCTGTTGACTGTAAACCCACCTGGTGTGCTCCAGATCTGTTGACTGTAAACCCACCTGGTGTGCTACATCTCTGTTGACAGTAAACCCGCCTGGTGTGCTACATCTCTGTTGACAGTAAACCCACCTGGTGTGATACAGTTCTGTTGACAGTAACCCACCTGGTGTGATACATCTCTGTTGACAGTAAACCCACCTGGTGTGCTACATCTCTGTTGACAGTAAACCCGCCTGGTGTGATACAACCCTGTTGACAGTAAACCCACCTGGTGTGCTACATCTCTGTTGATAGTATACCCACCTGGTGTGATACAGTTCTGTTGACAGTAAACTCACCTTGTTTGCTCCAGATCTGTTGACAGTAAACCCACCTGGTGTGCTACATCTCTGTTGACAGTAAACCCACCTGGTGTGCTATAGTTCTGTTGACAGTAAACTCACCTTGTGTGCTCCAGATCTGTTGACAATAAACCCACCTGGCGTGCTACATCTCTGTTGACAGTAAACCCACCTGGTGTGCTACAGATCTGTTGACAGTAAACACACCTGGTGTGCGCCAGTTCTGTTGACAGTAAACTCACCTTGTGTGCTACATCTCTATTGACAGTAAACTCACCTTGTGTGCTACATCTCTATTGACAGTAACCCACCTGGTGTGCTACAGATCTGTTGACAGTAAACCTACCTGATAAGTAGCATTCCGCCATCAACCTTTAAATGTACTTCTCATTCCAGCCAAATCAGTTGCTGCTTTCTGTTTAAAATCTGAAACAGTAAGTAAATAAGAGTCCACAAAACGAAAGCGGCTATATCATAAGCACTATCAAATTGTCATGACATCAGAAACATAACGTCCATGTTATACATGCGAGAGGTCAGGTACTTGATACTGACTGAACAGATCTAGACCAACATTTCGCATGATTACAATGACTCCAAGACAATGACTTTAAATACAATGAAGCAAATTGACCCGTTGGTTTCACTAAGTGTTACGCATCGCGAATATATCACGGGTTTGAATACACTACGCGCCTCCATAACTGTGAATAAGAGACGGTTGCTATTTTTACCACCGAATCAAGCCAAGGGCTGGTTCCAGCGAGAGGGAGACAAGCAATACCTCAAACCAATCAATGCTCGGGTTACATCGGCAATATTCCTTGTGCAAAACATGCCATCACCTTGGGGCCATCTGCTCCACATTAGGCTTCATTCGCACAAGGATCATGTGGAGAATATGACTCATTTGAATTCCATGTGCTGCATACGTCATTTCATGACCTGACCAGAAATAGACACGCACCACTATTTCACGGCATTGTGGCTACATGTATTCACAAGAGACTGGGGAACGTCGTGTTTGCAAATAGAAAACGTCAAAGCCAGAGAATAACCAGTCTCGGTTATCCGTTCAAACCGATTCCATAGAGCGTATTCCCACAATCATTCCAAATCTTTACTAAAAGCAGAATCCATTGTTCAATTGTGACTATGTCTTGAGGATGTGTTTTTGAAACACTATCAAATAATGATGATACCTGGTGTTTCCGCAAAGGTGAGCGTGTCCAGCCTCACCGATGGCACCTCTCACAATTACATGCAAAGGCAAGTCAAATGTTATCTCTGTTTGCATATCATTCTCAGGAACGTAACTCGATAGTGCCGCTTCGTTGTTCTACAAGGTACTTTTCCGTTTGTTTCACCTAAAACGGTATATCTAGCCATGTACATGTATTTTCTTCTGCATTTGTTACTTCACAGCCATGTATTTGGCTTGAGGAGATATCTCCTACAATCTCTCATCTCTGTTCATAGAGATTCAATACAAAAAATGCATTTACAATTGTATCTCGATGTTTTTTTTAGCTTTTATAATTTACATTTCAGTGCATCAATTTTCATCAATGCATTGGAAATGTGATCCCTTGTAGAATATTCCTTTCTAAAGATATGAGAAAAAATGGGGGGCACGGGTGGCCCAGTCGTCTTAGGCGCCGCGATTCGCTGTGCAGAGTTGCGTCCCGTGGGCACGCCAGAAACCTAAGATTGTGGGTTCGAATCCCGGTTCGCCCCGATTATGTTTCTAGGTTTGTCAGCACCATACCCGTGCTCGCGGGTTTCACCGAAGAGGTAAACGTCTGAGACCTGCATCACTTCGGGCTTTCCTCCCACATTAAGCTGACACGCCGTGATATAACTGGAATACTGTTAAAAGTTGCGTTAAACCAAACTCACTCACTCATATAAAAATTGACTTGCACTTTGTTTCGGAGTGTTCTCGATATATTTAACAGCAAAACAGAAAGAAACCTATTCCTTCATAAGCGCTTTTATGTTTCAGTTCCGTCAAAGATCACACTTCTTGTTGTCTCAAGTCAAAGAGCCTCTGAAAAGGACGTTGTTCGTTCTCCCACCCTTACTGTTGCCTAACAATATGCTGTTTGGTCACAGATTGTCGCTAACGTCATATTCAGTCCCGATCCGCAACAGATCGTTCAAGATCTTTCTACTTTCCCCGATCGGACGCCAAATCTCTGTAGATCATCATCATCATCATCATCATCATCGCTGACCGTGTCTCGGGGTGGTTTTATGGGAACGAGGCCAAAGAGTTCAGTCAAGCACATTATTCATAAGTACTTTATGGCGAATACATCAAACCTGAATGAATCAAGGTCAAGGTCGACGTGAGGACGATCGTTTATGATTAATAACCGATTAATGTGAGTTATGCATAAGCCTTATAGCTAATGAAAACGTTTAAACACATTGTGCAACGTTAGTAACTCACCACTAAATTTTTTCTTCATCAATGCCATTCTTTTGTGGTGCCTTTCCTTCATCGCTGGAACATACATATTGAATGAAAATTAGTGGACTGCTCGAAGCAGCACTCACTTACATCAGTGCGCAGTCAGCAATATTTCGGCTATACCCTAGGCCTGTTGATAAAGTTCATGTACATGCAGGTAATTGGGCCACTTGTCTGTATTACAGATATGTATGTCAGTAGAGATTGATGATATACAATACTTAAGTAACACAAAAATATCGTGCACGCTTTTTCAGCCCAAAGAAAATAAATTTAAAAAGACGATTTACGTGAAGACCCGGATTAGGATTGGTCTTCAGCAACTCATGCCTGTAGTAAGGGGCGACTAACGGGATCGGATGGTCAGGCTCGTTAAGTTGGTTGATGCATGTCAATCACTGTATTGTCAACGTCAGGGAATAACTAGTCTCGACTATCCGCCGAAACAGATTCCAATGGGCGTAAAATGCAAAATAGCGGTGAAAATTATATGAATGGATCACTGAAAGCTGATGAAGTACCGGCGATGTACCAATATGAATCCGGACTATCTGAATGACGAGTAACTGTTCTGCCAAGAAGGCCACCCAATCAACTTGGTTCAGAGATTATAAAAGTACCCTGACATTTCTTCTTTGGAGATCTTTTCACTGATTTCCCCTTGTCTTTTTCCTCGCCCAAATCCAACACCTCTTCATCAATCTTACTAGCTTCCGTGTCCTCAGCAGATCCGTAGTCACCGTCGTCATACTCCAAATCTGAATAGATATAATTGGAATCGCCACTTAAACCTTTTTATATGCTAGTAGTATTCAAATCGTCATCTCAATATCAAATATGAAATGACTGAGTGACTGATTCTTTATAGTCGGCGCTACTCCAGCTGTAAGTCATAAAAAACAAGTGGATGACAGCTGGAGCAAAGATCCATGCCCCCGGGGTAAAAGTACGCATTAAAAGTTGAAATTAAAGTGTCAAATGTTCTTAAAGTGAAACACAACACTAGTCTCTGAGTAAATGGAATCACAAGTCAGTATCTAGTGGGTCCGCCATTTGCCTGTCAATCACTGTATTGTCAACGTCAGGGAATAACTAGTCTCGACTATCCACCGAAACAGATTCCAATGGGCGTAAAATGCAAAATAGCGGTGAAAATTATATGAATGGATCACTGAAAGCTGATGAAGTACCGGCGATGTACCAATATGAATCCGGACTATCTGAATGACGAGTAACTGTTCTGCCAAGAAGGCCACCCAATCAACTTGGTCCAAAGATTATAAACGTACCCTGAAATATCTTCTTTGGAGATCTTTTCACTGATTTCCCCTTGTCTTTTTCCTCGCCCAAATCCTCTTCATCAACCTTACCAGCTTCCATGTCCTCAGCAGATCCGTAGTCACCATCGTCATACTCCAAATCTGAATAGATAAAATTGGAATCGCCACTTAAACCTTTTTATATGATAGAAGTATTCAAATCGTCGTCTCAAAATCAAATATGAAATGACTGAGTGACTTATGCTTTATAGTCGGCGCTACTCCAGCTGTAAGTCATAAAAAACAAGTGGATGACAGCTGGAGCAAAGACCCATGCCCCCGGGGTAAAAGGACGCATTATGAGACAAGTTAATCATAGACATATTCTGAACTTCAGAACCGCCACTGGGAAAACAAGATAACAAAACTGTAGTGATGTATTTTCTTTCATCACATCTCAGTATTGTTGCCTTTTCACTTCATGTCCCTGATCAATCGGTTAAAAGTCAATGAATGTATGGTAGGAAAACATTAAACATTACATTCCTGTGTTAATAAACTTTTAATTGAAATCCTGCCATGTAAATTCATATTACGTCAACGCCAGAGAGCAAACAGATATTTTAAGGCGTGAAAGGCAACATAGTAATGACAATTATATGAATGGATCACTTGAAATAGGGATGACACCAGGTGCCAACAAAGAGAGAAAGAAAGTCCCGCTCTACTTGTAGCACCCTCCACTCATAATTCTCCTTGACAAGAGTAAGTGGTAGTGACTAGGAGGTGGGAAGACTCCATGTAAAAGTGAACATTCGCGCATCGCGGATCATGTTGACAAAAAACAAATATCCATGTATTTGATGGATTAAAAATGTAAGTACCACAACAACGCTGGACAAGATAAAGCGTTCATTATGATTTCCTTAGTTATTGGTGGCCAGTGTTTACTTCCGGTGGAGAAAAACAGCGAGATTAGGTGAGGTGAAATGGTGTTCAAGGCTATTGCGCTTACATAGCGACGTGCATGCACGTGTGTGCATGTGGCTGATTGTACTTGTCCGGACTAATGCTTGTATTATAGCATGCTGAGTTACCATACCGCAGTTTAACATGAATACCCCACTCAGATACAGAATACTGACAGTCCTTGTTATATCCCCTTAATGCCCCGCGCCAGGCAGGGTAATTACAAGTAACGTCTTTTAACGTCTTTTGGTTTGATGCAACCGGAGCTCGAACCACAGACCTTCCACTCTCCAGGGAGGCGCCCTATCCACTAGAACACGGAGGCGGTGACAGCAAGATTGCATTTATTGGGCAAAGTATCCCTTCTAGTGTACGCTAGAGGAAACAAACACAACTTTGCTTCTTTAACAAGATCACAAGAAAGGGTCTTACCATTTTCATCAGACCTTCTGTGTATTAGACCTAAAAAGGATGAAATGTTCTGACATGTTTGAGAGCATACTTTCTTAATTCTACAGAATACTGAATCATTTCGACTGTATATTTGCATGACAAAATTGTGACTACATTGAAATAGTATCAGTTACAGACTCTCGTACGGCATCCTGAGAACGTTATATACACACATGCACACACATTGTATCAGATACTGTAAAGTGTTGCATTAAACTCCAACTTCTTTACTATGAAAATACACTGAACCGCAATCATCACCATGGATAGATATATGAGAAACCTTATTTGTCCAAACACTGTTAACATACATTGAGAAATATTTAAAAGGTGAAACTTGGCAAAACTGATCATCAAAGTTGAAATTAAAGTGTCAAATGTTCTTAAAGTGAAACACAACACTAGTCTCTGAGTAAATGGAATCACAAGTCAGTATCTAGTGGGTCCGCCATTTGCATTGATGACTGCCGTGGAACGTCGATACATGGAATGGATGAGGCGGTTGATAAAGGCCAAAGGCACTTGAGCCCACACTCAGGAACGCCTAACGCAGTTCAGCTGCAGTTGTCGGCTTTGGTCGGACGTCATTCAGCCATCTTTGAATCTCGTCCCACAGGCGCCCCTATTGGATTTAAATTGGGACTGAGGGCAGGCCACTGCATGGTTCTGATGCCATTCCGCTGTTGGGAAGCCTTTTGTTGCTCTCGCAGTGTGGGCACGGGCGTTATCATGCTGAAATTCGTGGTTGCAGCGACGTGCCAAATGAGGTATGGCGTATGGACTCAAGATTTGATCAATGTACCGAGCTGTGACACCATTGCCTTTCCCAGGACCGATGTTCTGGAAGACCACAGGGCCGACCCTCTGTGCAAGACCAATGATGCTTGGACCACCCCACGAGTCTCTCTCACAAACACAAGCATCCGAACAATGTTATCCACGGCGTCGCCAGACTCTCTCTCTCTCTCTCTCTCTCTCTCTCTCTCTCTCTCTCTCTCTCTCTCTGTCATCTGCTTTGAGATACAGTAACGGTCCTCGTCTGAGAAGATGACTCTTCTCCACTGCTGTTGGCGTCAATGCTGGTGCTGTGTTGCCCATTGAAGACGGTCCCGGCGATGACGTTGTGTCAGAATTGGTCCTCGGTGTGGCCTGTGACAGTGGAGGTGTCTGCTCGTCAATCGTCGACTCACGGTGTCCGCACTAATGCGTCGCTGATGTGTCCCCCGCAGGAGTAACAAAGCGATCTTGAAGATGCTGTCGCACTGTCTGAAGATCCTGACGACGGGTGGTGACCCTTGGTCTTCCACTACGTGGTCGGTCGTCTGTAGTGTTGGGGGTCTGGTTCCGTTGCTGGAGCCTGTATATGGTCCTAACGTGGACTTGCATTGGCTACTTGCCGGGCGGTTTGTCCAGGTTGCAGTCGTCCAAGGGCTTGGTGTCGCTGATTTCTTGTCAATCTTGGCATGTGGTAGTAATTCAATAACGAATGAATGTTATCCGATTTGGGTGGATTTTTAAAGGGCAAGAAATGGGGGAACGCATGTGCATTTCAGTTTGCACGGAACTCGTTGCCGTTGCCGTCATGCGTTTGGGCGATCGGTTTTATTGTCATCTGCTTTGGGGGGTTTTATCATCAATTTTCATTTTTCCGAAAAAGGTAATGTTATGTTTTAGAAACTGTGACAAAAATTTCCCAGAAATTTAAATGACAACTTTTCATGCAATGTTACTTGGGGTGACGTTTCTTTTGCGGTTCAGTATATTAAGCTAAGTCCTTGTCCCTTCACCAAGTGAATGAATGACAAGTAAAGCAATGTGTCATTTGAATGACCAAGTCGTGTTGTAGTTTAGAAGTACCGTCAATTTTATCCTTTAGCTCCAACATTCTTTCCGCCGTCCTTGCGTTCTCATCTGTTGTTTATAATGACCATGAATCAGTTACAGAACCAGAGGTACAATGTAGTCATGTTACTTTGCATATTTAAGGATCATTTGAAATGCATAAATACCATTTATACAATTGGTTACTAAACATACTAGATAAAACACATTTTTGCCAAAATCGTTCGATATTTTCAAAAAGTTTAAGGACAATTTACCATCCTTTCACCAAAACATTTTGGTTCCAAAGGCGTCTGAAGAATTTATCACACACACGTTCATCGAATTAGGTGTACAATATTCTCCAAAGATAAGGTATTTCTTTTCAGTGTTCGGTCGAAAAGAAAATACATACATAAAAATATAATTTTGAAAATATTTTATGCGATTTCTGAAAAGAAAATGAAGAGGAAGATTATCTGAACACAATATGAAAATGAAAATATTCGAAATAAACATGTCTAATTATATTGTCCATAAATACTGCAACCCCAGTATGATATCTTTGGGAATTACAAATAATTACTGTTTTAACGTACCCTCAATCTTTCCTTTTAGCTTCGACATTCTGTTTGCTGTCCTTGCGTTCATCTCTAGGAAGTGATAAGATATGATATATGATATATATGATATGATATGATATGATATGATATGATATGATATGATATGATATGATATGATATGATACGGTGTGGTATGGTGTGGTGTGGTGTGGTGTGGTGTGGTGTGGTGTGGTGTGATGTGATGTGATGCTTAAGATTATTTATAAAGATCATCATGGTTTAAGAGAAAGGAGAGATACGAGTTTATGAACATTAAAACAATACATATGATGAAATCACAATAATTTTCCAAGTGTAAAAACCCTTTGTTTGTTTACTCAAGATGTGGCTCGCCAAAGCGATATCGTAATTTTGCCACCGTATTGATAATAAAAAGCGACAAAGCCGTTTCCGTTATCTTAAGAAATCTCTACTGAAAGCAGATTCCTTCGTGCGATTGCGACCATGTCAAACTGGTGAGTTTATGAATCACTTCAAATAGTGATGATACCAGGCGTTTACGAAACGGCGAGCGTATATATCCTGCCCCACCGATAGTACCCGCCACAAACACATGTAAAAGTTTGTCAGCTTTTAAACCTTGTTTGCATATTATTTTCAAGAACGAAACACGATAGTAACGCTTAATGTTCTTGCACTACAAGGTATTTTTCAGTATATTCAAATTTGTTTCGGCTACAACGGTATACCTTTAGTCATGTATATTTTTCTGCAATTTCTTGTTCACACCCATGTAAACCTGTTTGTGGCTTGATGAGATATCTCTTTTGGCTTTTTTCAAAATTTAAATTTAGATTATAAGTTGTAGCAGTATCACCAGGGGTACACGTGGCTTTCTGCGCACCAATTAGGTTTTTTACCACGAGCCAAAGACGAGCCGGAAATAAGCGGTTTTAAACCTAACGATGGACGCAAGATATCCCGAGTGATACTGCTGCAACAAATTTATCTTCCCGACCTATTTTAACATCCCTTTGTAAAACAATTGAAGCGAATTAAAAATTGATAGGAAACAGCTGTTCGATTGATGGTTGATTAGTTGATTTGTTGTTTTACGCCGCACTCAGCAATATTCTAGCTATATGATCGCGGTCTGTAAATAATCGAGTCTGGACAAGACAATCCAGTGATTGACATCATGAGCATCGATCCACGCAATTGGGATCGATGACATGCTTCAACCAAGTCAGCGAGCCTGACCACCCGATCCGTTAGTCGCCTCTTGCGACAAGCATAGTCACCTTTTACGGCAAGCATGGGTAGCTGAAGACCTATTCTACCCCGGATCTTCACGGATCCTGTTCGATTGAGCTGAGGTTAACTTGTGGTATGTCACGTGACTTTCACTAACTCGGAAAAAGCGTACAGCTTTTGGCTTCGAAGCGTGGTAAAATGGATTTATTCCACCTCTCAGAAATCCACGTTCAGCCTGTTTTCTCCATGGCTGGGTATAAGTGATTTATTCTCCCGCTGAGAAATTTATTTCCCTCCAAGGCGGGATACATCGTATTTTATCAAGGTTTTGTGAACCAATCAGGCCCCGGGATCATGAAAGTGGACTTAGCTCAAAGTTTGCTAAGCACGAATTTTGTCTTAAGTTTTGAAGTTTGCTTAGCTAAGATAAGGTCTAAAACTGGATCTTGAAACGATCTTAGCAAAATCTTAGCTAAGTCTAAGACCGTCGTCATAGGGATACGCGCACGTAATATCGTACTGCGTATAATCATTGGATGCCTAGGTTATTTTTCTGACTCACATTTTCCTAAGATAGGAAAAGTGAAGGTTGTGCGAGAATTGCTCACTCAGCACTGGATCTACCTCCGGCTATAAAATTACGCTGAGATGTAGAATATTAACTTTCCTATCTGATGGTGTAAATGTAACTGTAAATATTAAACCAGTTTAAAAAAAACACTGCTAAGATATAAAAACTATACGTTTAGGCATAAAAAAACATCAGAAATGATAAAATTGTACTTTATAAAAAAATAAGTTATAGCGAAATGGATGGCCCTATCTAAACCATTAATTAGTCCTTAGATTCCTGATTGTACAAGTGTAATTTGACTAATGTTGCACCTTTATAATTGGAGCACTAGCCGTTATCATCAAATGTGATGAATTGTAAAAAAAAATGACACAATTCCAATTGACGTCATGGCTGCTTGTATGTCTTCGATAACGTCGGAGCAAGACGACACTGGTATTTTGATTGATATATATCTCCCCTAATTTATTTCATGGTATGGGAAAAGTCGATGTGGAAAACCTAAATTTGACGCTTTTTCAACATAAAAGAGTGTGTTTATCGTGTAAATAATGTCTTGAATAGATAGTTTACAGTGTATCTTAATTAGACAAGACACGCACCAATTTTACGTAATCATGTTCACAAAAGAATATTTCAAAACAAACAAAATTATATTCAATATTGGAAATGTATTTGTTCATTTTTATGTAATTATTCCTCATCATCTTGTCTCAATATTATACAATAAAAGATGCGAAGAGAGCTCTATATTGGTATAAAATTCTCAGGATAATCGTATAAGGGTAATCGTTCACTAACGGGGTACATGGCACGGGTTATATTTTTAATTTTTTTACAATTCTTGGAGAAATATTAACCCATTCATCATATAATGCAAAACGAGAGGAATAATTCGTAAATCGTTTGTGACAAACGCGCACCTGGCGAATCGTTCGATATCACTGTTCTGAATATCAAACGGCATAAAAAACATTCCAAGACCAAGACAATTCTTCTCGAAATGTGTGCATATATTTTAACGAAAAATAATATCCATTTTGTTTAAGTTATATCTTCAGTTTTATAAAATAAGATGAAACGGCTATTCGTGGACACTGTTTATATGAATTTAAAATATTGACTATTACATTTCGTAGAAATACATACACGTTGCAGTTACATTTACATTTCATCTTGTAACACTTGTCCGAATTAAGGAAATACCGTATAAGACACTATAAACTTATCAATTTCATATGTAAACATTTTTCAAACAAACAAGGTTATCAAAGGTTCATATATGTTGTGGCCTATATCTACGTATGATATCATGTTGAACATTGATAAATATCCAAAGTGAATTTAAATGTGTGAAAAAATGTACAAAACAATATGCAAGATCTACATCATGAAACAGTAAATTGCAGGGAACAATGATGGTGTTTACTTTCATTCAAAGACCTTCACCTAAACGAAATTACCAAATATGTACAACAATGTTTCAGTATGACATCATTACAGGTGGCCGAATGTTACAAAATGGCATGTTGACTGTCAACAGTGCGCGGGATTTTACGAGGGGACTATCGTTGATTCAGGGTTCGTAAATGTTCATAAATGTGACATGTAAGTAATCAGAAACATTTTGACAATCTTTGTACTGTGATTTGTTGTTATACATATATACATATGTTATATATATATTTTTCATTAAAGAAGACGGAAATAGTCTGAAATTCCGATAAATGCCGTTTTCCTTGTACGTGATTTTGCGTCAGTCATGGCGTCACACAGGACGGTAACTTCGACAAGTTCTGTTGAAAATTTCAAATCATTGCACTGTATCTATTTCTAATTCCCTAATTCTTCCTGCGATTCTCTTCCCGTGTATATTCTGAAAATGCTGAGCCAGTGGATTCAACGAATAGACGAATGGCTTTGTTTACATTTCCAACAAGTGCCGATTTTCCAGCGTTCGTTTTCAGACCTCTTTTATTTTGCTTCATTACATCTAGACAACTTGTATTGGTGACAAAGACCATTCGGCAATTGATTCTAAAATGTATGAGGAATTCAGGGATGTAGGTATCGCAGCTGATTTTGAAACATACGTGATGGTATTGGCGTCTGAGATTTTGAAATATACGTGATGGTATTACCGGTGTACGTATAACGTGATTTTGTGAACACTATCCAATATGTCTGACACAAAACGACTAAGCAACTAAAAGGTGAATAGCGCCAGTGCCAACAAACTGAAGGAATATCAAAACTTGGACAAAGTAGTTTTCAAGATCACGTGAACCAATCAGATCTCATCATTCTGACATGGTGGTATGGTAATTCATAATAGCCATCACTGCATTTAAAAATGTTATCCTTTGCAGAAAAATCATTTCTAAAGCCACGAGAAACAGGAAAACGTTATATTTATGTTTTGATAAGATTGATTCACGTAGAAATTCGGGGTCAAACTCACTTTGATATTTACGAATAGGGCAAATACGTCGTTCACACCAGAACATGTAACAACTGACTTGCACTTTTTTTGGAGTGTTATTTGACAACAAAACAGAAACAAACCTCTCCCTTCATAAACGGTTTTATGTTTCAGTTTCGTCACAGATCACACTTCTTGTAGTCTCGAGTCGGAGCCTCAGAAGGGACGTTGTTCGTTCTCCCACCGTTACAGTTGCCCTTTTTAGAATTCTATTTCTACACAGATTGTCGCTAACTATCTATTCATTCCCGATCTGACACAGAGCATCTACATTTCTCTGCATATCATCATGATCATCGCTGATCGTGTCTCGGGATGGTTTTATGGAACCAGGCCAAAGAGTTCAGTCAATTATTGCGAATACATCAAACCTGCATGGCTCAAGGTCAAAGTCGACCTGAGGACATTGTCATCTGTTCCCGGAAAGTGTAAGAATGTTAGCACCATTGACAGGATCGCAAACTGTTTATGATTAATAAACGATTAATGGGATTTACACAGAAGCCTAACAGCTGATTAAAACACATTGCGCAACGTTAGTAACTCACCACTAAGTTTTTTCTTCATCGATGCCATTCTTTCCTGGTGCCTTTTCTTCATCGCTGGAACATTCATATTGGATGGAAATTAGTGGACTGCTGGAAGCAGCACTCGCTTACATTGGTGCGCGACCCGTGAAGATCCGGGGTAGACTAGGTCTTCAGCAACCTATTCTTGCCGTAAAAGGCGACTATGCTTGTCGTAAGAGGCGGCTAACGCGACTCACTGACTTGGTTGATGCATATCATCGCATCCCAAAGGTGTAGATCGATGCTCATGATGTCAATCACTGGGTTGTCTCTTCTAGACTCGATTATTTACAGACCGCCGTCATATAGCTGGAATATTGCTGAATGCAGAGTTAAACAACAAACAAACACCAAACAAATATAGATGCGTAGTAATTAATTATTTTTTTAATTATAATATGTCTAGAGTAATCTGAAACTATCGTCGTTCTATGTTAGTATAGGTCTTTGTGCACGTTTTAAGGCAATTATTAAGAGTTGGGCGGATCAAAAAGATCAGGGTTTTAAAAAACCCTCGCACCTGTTTTATTGCATGTGTTGGGTCCATATGATTTTACTAGCAGGGTCATATTTTGCCCTTTGTGATGAATGAGTGAGTGAGTTTTACGCCGTTTTTAGAAGTATTCCAGCAAATTCACGACGGGGACAACACAAATGGGCTTTACACATTGCAACAATGTAGGGAATAGAGCCCGAGCCTTCGGCGTGATGAGCGAACGCTTTATCCACTAGGCTACCCCACCGCACTCCTTTTGAACGAATATTTTTAACGTGTACAACGTATACAATAACATTAGAGGAGATACGGTAGACTACTTTTCAGTTCATTACTGAACACTACTTCTTGGTTCCATGCTTAACGCTTTCTCCACCACCAGTAACTCACCACTGAACTTCAATTTCATCGATTTCCCGATCTTGTGATGGTTCTTGAACAATCCTGGAAAAAAAATTATCGCATTGTGTAAATCGGACGGACACCATGACGACCGACGAGTGAGATGCAAATTTATCCATCACACACTATAAACTTTTATCAATGACAATGGCTTATTATACGTAACGTACGTCATACTACACTTGCCCATACGGATGATGCTCACTTTAAGTATTCTACCGTGATAAACCTTTCTCCCACACACTATAAACTTTTATCAATGACAATGGCTTATTATACGTAACGTACGTCATACTACACTTGCCCATACGGATGATGCTCACTTTAAGTATTCTACCGTGATAAACCTTTCTCCCAGAGAACTTTTCGGCGAAATTAATTACATTGACCTTACAATTGGCTACACTTGACTTGAATACACCTTTATCTTGAACATACATGTATGGCATTCACTTTTGTCGGGAGGTACTTCGGGGAAAACAGAAGAGGGGCAGGATATTTGGAAGAACATGGAGAAATGCGTTGACAGAACTTGGAGAAGAAAGTTGAAAAAACAGTGTTGACAGAACATATGGAACAGTGTTGACAGAACATATGGAACAGTGTTGACAGAACATATGGAACAGCGTTGACAGAACATATGGAACAGTGTTGACAGAACATATGGAACAGTGTTGACAGAACATATGGAACAGTGTTGACAGAACATAGGAAGAGTTTGGGCAGACATGGAGAAGACATTTGACAGAACATGGCGAAGAGATTTAAATAGATCATGGGGAAGAGTGTTGACAAAACAGGGACAAGAGTGTTTGCAGAACATGGTAAAAAGGTTAACTGTAAAGGAAAAAGGCTCCTTGAAGACAGAAGGTTTCGTGAAATTATGTTGATAAACATCTATATATACTAACTTAAGTCTTTAATAATTCTATTTTCTGTTTCAAAGTCCGTATTCTATTATTGTATATTTAGATACATAGAGTCCAGCTACACTGTACACCATGGCGGCCTGCAAATCACCTGGCTGGCCAATGCCTGAAAGCATGAACAACAGGCCAGTACCAGCAAACCTTTATTAGTCGACTCTCGCCATAAGCATAGCTTATTTGGAGTCAGTTCTGATCACGGCATACCAACGCAGTATTCAGAGAAGTAGGTGTTTTTGAGTTAGTGTGTTCAAGTGAATAAGAATTACCATTGCAAAACTGTTAAATGTTAAATGAAGAACTGAATAAATACATGAATATATATCTTTAAAATGATTGTATGAACAAATAAATGAATAATCATGTTGTCTTATCTCTTCTCACTCAAACTACAAACTCACCTTTTCCTCCGAGTAGTGATCTCCTCTTCCGGGGGAGTACATCTGAAACATGCGGGTTTCTCATCAGGCTTTTTCGGAACATCGCCAAACCTACATGTTCATTTTATTTTAAAATAAGAACACTAAGCGGAGGGTGTGATTCTACATGTAGTCGGAGCATGATTTGTGCAAGTATTTCTAGATTGATGGTGTATATAATAACATAGGACAGATTATAAATTGTTCCAAAGTTCATTGTTCTGGTCTCTTCCATCTTCCCGAGGCAAGAGAGTTAACTGACTTTAAAAGTCCCGTTTCCACCCTTGCCGAACTAGGCTGATATTATGGAATTTTGGCTGGACTAACGAGTCTATGCATGGTCCAATCAAAATCGCGCAGCGAAATCGAAATACGGTTCGTAAAACTGCCGTGCAGATTTCGATCGATTGCAGGATTTGCAAAGCATGTGCACCGCCAACTCGTTGTCAGCAGATATTTTCCAAATGTTTTCATGTTTTAATCAAGGTGCTCACGTGCGTTGATGCATTTCGCGATGTAAGACCTGTTATATCACAATATAGACCTTATATCGATCAGACTGTCTTGACTGGACGCCACCATTTTGTGTGAAGCAAACGCAAGTGATACGAGATGTGGAATCTGATTGGTCCATAGGAGAGGCAATGGTAACAGCCACTGGTGGCGCTACGATCGAGCCCAGTAATTCAGGCCTAGTTCGGCAAGGTGGAAACTGGACTTTTGAAGTCAGTTAACTCTCTTGCCTCAGGAAGATGCTGATAACTGTGTTGAGTAATTGAAATGATTAATATTGTACATGTCTAAACCATTCTACTGATTTCAGTTTCAGTCTGACGATCTATTTGATCACAAGAACGATAAACTGTTTCAAAACATCTACATTTGCTGAAAGTTGAGTTTCTTTGTAGTCTTTTAGGCTCACATAAAACACCAAAACGAATATATTAGAATATAAGTGCAGTTGGTTAAGGACGCTGGTACGTCCAGTTTCCAACTGCGAATTTATTTTCGTATTCCGCAAATTATTAATTATTTGGGTCGGTGTCAGGAACACTATTATTTATAACTTCTTGGTCAGATAATGGTTTTATATAATGTCGCAGTTAGTTGTAAAGGGGGTAGCTGTTGTTTAACTAGTAAAATTAATATCAACCTCGTATCAACTCTTAGATCAGTCGACGCTACATCCAATAACAATTTGAAACTATTCTGAACTGTAGCCTTAATTCCTGTTCAACATGGCTCGTAGGAGATTATCTGACTGCGAATGGTGGCGAATAATAGGCATGGTCAATGCAGGGATGTCCTAAATATTAGCTGGCTGCCAGCTTGGTTTCCACCATTGTTTGTAAGCAAATCGGCACAGAAACATGGGAAAACTACTGTGGTAAAGTGGCCCAGTCGTCTTTGGCGCCGCGATTCGCTGTTCTGAGTTGCGTCCCTTGGGCACGCCAGAAACCTATGACTGTGGGTTCGAATCCCGGTTCGCCCTTATTATGTTTCTAGGTTTGTCAGCATCATCATACCCGTGCTCGTGGGATTCACCGAAGTGGAAAACGTCTGAGACCTACATCACTTCGGGCTTTCCTCCCACATTAAGCTGATGACACGCCGCGATATAACTGTAAGAATGTTAAATAGGTTGCTTGGTATATCGAATTCACCTGATGCATTTAGTCACCTCTAATGACTTCCTCTTAATCCCACAACTGTGTGTGTCTGTGTGAAGGTGCTTTGACCAGCCCAGACTAATACCATATGAATATTGCTAACACATTGAGATAGCATACAACAGTTTTAAATGGACACCACACTCAGACATTGCATACTTACTCAGAATCAACCAGTCCTTGTTTTAGCCCTTTAAGGCTTACAATAATAAAAGAATCGGTTCTCAGGCAATGACTTCAGCAAATATAGTGTGGCTATTGCTTTACCTGTATGAGAAACAGTTGTGCCTTTAGCTTTCGCAGACTTTGGCTTGGCCTTGTTTCTTGCTTGAGCAGCTTTGCCCTTTGCCAATAGTTTTCCTTTTATCCTGACCCCAAGAATAGAGGTTGCTTTAGACGTGGCGCTTTCTTTTGCAATGGTGGTTTTCTTTTGTCCTTTAACAAACGGATGAAAATAATACATACCAAAATACCTCATGATCAGTGTTCGAAATATATTATCCATTGCCAAATTGAATCCTATACTAGTATTGAAGACAAAGAGAACAACATGCACAATGTCACAGTGTAACCCCTCTTTATAAAACATGCAATGAGCATGAGTAAGCAATGTGAATGTATATACGTTTCTCTATCTCTTTTCTTTTCTTTCTGACATTTAATTTATTAACTGTAAATAAGCATGCATGTAAATATATGGGAGGGGGCGCTCTAAGTTGTAATAACTTGTGGCCAATCCTTTTTTCATGAGAATAAAATATGTTTAAACTTAACTAAACTAAAACGTCCATCTACTATACGCACAGTGTACAAATCTATGTCTAAACATACCTGCAATGCACACAGTGCATACCTCTATGTATAAATGTATCTACAGTACATACAGTGAATATTCAACATTGAAATGCATCCTACAATACACACACGATTTGTTGACATGCATCTACAATACCTACAGTAAATACCCTATGTTGAAATGTAACTACAATACCCAAAGTGAATACCCTATGTTGAAAAAAATATACTGTTAGTCTGTCCAAAATTCGACCATCTAAGAAGTAAATATATAGAAATGCCCTTGTATGTACATCCCACTCAACAAAATTTATATCGATCATGGCGACAACTGATAAAGATACCCTTATTAAACTATCAATGTTCATTTATCACGCTATATTAATTAGAATATGACCTGTTAAACATATCTGCAACGAAAACAGGATTGTACTATGGGCCCGAGGCCTTTTAGTGCGGAATAAAACGTATCCTTAATTAATGTACAATACACACACTGAATACCCTATGTTAAAATTAATTCACAATACACACACAGAATACCCCATGTTGAAATTAATCTACAATAGACACACCGAATGCCCTATGCTGAAATGCATCTACAATATCTCACTGAATACCCAATGTTGAAAGGTTTCTGCAATTCACATACCGAATACCCTATGTTAAAATTAATCTACATGCAATGCAAACAGTGTATAAATCTATCTCCAGTATATACAGTGAATATCCAACAGTGAACTGCATCTACAATACACACAGTGAAATGTTTCTGCAATACACATACCGCATACCCTATGTTTAAATTAAAATACGATGCACACACTGAATACCCTATGCTGACACAGTGAAATATCTATATCAAATGCATCTACAATACACACAAATCATACCTCTGTACACCGAGTATACACCTTGCACGTGTGTTTGTGTGTGTTTTTACTCTGTGTGTGTTTACCTTTTATTCTCTTAATTCATTTATGTACAAGACCCCCGATCCCCATGTCAGAAGGCATGTGAATGGGGCTCTTAGTCTGTATCTGTGCCTGGTTGTGTTGCGTACTGATCTTGTTATTCTTCTGCCATAAACCTACCTTTTATCTTTGCCGCTCTGGAAATACCTGGAAGAAGGTGAAGAGGGTGATTTTCAGTTTGGAAACTCAACAGGTACAAGCCGAGTTTTAACATTCAAATCACAACAATAACGGAGAAGGAACACAGGTGATGCACAGGCAAAATTTTCACCTTTACTTACACGTAAACGTATCTAAATATCGTTTTCACAAGCATAAACAAGTATAAATATAACAAGTCAAACTTAAATATGGCTTGTTAACCAGTTTAAGCAATTTACGTAAATTTATGTTTCAGTTTCCAGGCGATATTTTCTTTTGGTGATGGATTAACGTTGTATTTACAATCCTGTGAAGTATTGACGATCAAGTATTGAATTTCCTAGAATAAATTAGATTGTATCTTGTAAAATTGTATACTTTTGGACATTAATCCATCTCCCTAAATTATGTAATATGTAGGCCGGTGATATATACGTCATAGTCCGTCTGATATGGTCGTTCTCGACCAGGGTACCATCAACATGGACAATGTGGTGTGAAGCTCATTGCTGGTGTTCCTTCGGTGATGTTGCTGGAATATTTCTAAAAGCGGTGTTAAACCATATTCACTCAACTGCATAATCCAGGATCCCTTGATTATAATTACTCGTGTCATCATTTATTCAAGTAAATGAGGTCATATTTCATTATGATTTAAACATAACTTTATTCAAAATGAATATGGATCGGTAAACAAGCCGGAGCAATACATCTTCATTCACAAAATGTTCCTTTTTTCTATATTTCTTTATAACTGGAATCATAATGGGGAAAGACGTAAATAGAACCATGACCTATGACAGTGGGTTCGAATTCCGGTTCGCCTCAATTATATTGTTCTAGGGTTGTCAGCACCATACCAGTGCTCGTGGGTTTCGCCGAAGAGGTAAACGTCTGAGACCTGCATCACTTCGGGCTTTGCTCCCAGATTAAGCTGACACGCCACGATATAACTGTAACACTGTTAAAAGCGGCGTTAAACCCAACTCACTCAATGTAAAGCGTTGAAGCCGAGAATAATAGAATAACAGTCAAATAATCAAAAAGAAGAAATGTTGAATTTGACTTTTTAATATATCTCACTGATTAATTATACTTCAATGCTAAACTGTTGAGACTGTGAGGGATTTCCCGATATCTCTCTTTAGTAACGTTGAAATTTGGCGCGGTAGCTAACAAGTGCACCTTTCTCCAATATGTCTTTATTTGGATATTGCAAAGTTTAGAAAAACGTAACAGAAACATTAAATACCCTTAATACAGACCAGCGGACAATCTACTCGATAAAAGGTCAGAGTTGTTGTTCCTCATTGTGGATGTAGCTTTGGATACTCGTGTGTGGATACTAATGGTGCCACAAGCGTCATGTGAAAGGACATATGTACTGAGCTTGTTATTCTTCTGCCATAAACCTACCTTTTATCTTTGCCGCTCTGGAAATACCTGGAAGAAGATGAAGAGGGTGATTTTCAGTTTGGAAACTCAACAGCTTGAAGCCGAGTTTTAACATTCAAATCACAACAATAACGGAGAAGGAACACAGGTGATGCACAGGAATAAATTTACACCTTTACTTACACGTAAACGTATCTAAATATCGTTTTCACAAGCATACACAATTGTAAATATAACAAGTCAAACTTAAATATGGCTTGTTAACCAGTTTAAGCAATTTACGTAAATTTATGTTTCAGTTTCCAGGCGATATTTTGTGATGGATTAACGTTGTATTTACAATCCTGTGAAGTATTGACGATCAAGTATTGAATTTCCTAGAATAAATAAGATTGTATCTTGTAAAATTGTATACTTTTGGACATTAATCCATCTCCCTAAATTATGTAATATGTAGGCCGGTGATATATACGTCATAGTCCGTCTGATATGGTCGTTCTCGACCAGGGTACCATCAACATGGACAATGTGGTGTGAAGCTCATTGCTGGTGTCCCTTCGGTGATGTTGCTGGAATATTTCTAAAAGCGGTGTTAAACCATATTCACTCAACTGCATAATCCAGGATCCCTTGATTATAATTACTCGTGTCATCATTTATTCAAGTAAATGAGGTCATATTTTATTATGATTTAAACATAACTTTATTCAAAATGAATATGTATCGGTAAACAAGCCGGATCAATACATCTTCTTTCACAAAATGTTCCTTTTTTCAAAATTTCTTTATAACTGGAATCATAATGGGGTAAGACGTAAATATGGGGGTGTAAATACCACTAAACATTTTACATTTTACTAATCATATCAAGATACAATTGTGTACTGAATGTGTGGATTGAGTGTAAAAAATTAGAATCCTGATGAACCCTTGGTCGACAGTATACCGGTTGACACTGATATTCTGTATATAAAGCCCAAGTCCAAGGGAAACTCATTAGCGGCAATGAATTTGTGGCAAATGTAATTTTACTCAATACTTGTACACATACTAGTTCCAAAATCCAATTAGTGTTAATGTGTCGAGCTATATTTGAAATGTCAAATTGACATTTCACATTAAGCCGCATAAAGTGATCGAGTGAGCATGAATGTTCCAGCAATATCACAGCGGGGGACAAGAGGAATGTGGGGATGTGGGGGGATATTTGTTCAGCTTCAGCTACAAAACCAGATTATTTAAAACCATAAGCCTGATGTTTAAGATAAACTATATAAAGATTAATGGTCTGCAGTACCGTACGATATGGAATGGTATACGATAGAAGTATTATCATTCATTACTTATTCTCACTAAAGAATTCTTTATTTAGCCATAGAAGCTTTATTATCTCACGCATTTGTATCATTTATCTCTGACTATGTTACACGTCCGAAAAAATCTGTCCAAAAACAACAATTAACATTCTGCTGGGGTCATAGCTTTACAAAATCTTACTTTAGTAATAAATCAAATTACAAGAGTCGAGTTACATTGTAGCAGAGTTTTACTGTTATCAGGAGGTCACACAGATTGGGCCGAATTGCACATTGACCCTGGTCGGGATATGGCCCCAGTAACTCATGCTTGTCATACAAGGTGACTAATAGGATTGGGTGGTGAGGCTCGGTGACTTGGTTGGTTCCATGTCATTATATCTATCAATGGTTTACTGATTCTGACTCAGTTATTTACAAGCCGCCCTCATATAGCTTGAACATTGGCGAGTGCTGCGTTAAACAACGAACAAACAAATGTGTTTTAACCAACACTCGGTTATTATCATGCTTACGATTTTGTTTGTTTGTTTCTTTGGTGTTTAACAGTATTCAAGCTATGTAACGGCGGTGTGTAAATAATCGAGTATGAACCAGACAATCCAGTGATTGATATCATAAGCATCGATTCACGCAATTGGGATACATGACAAGCATCAACCATGTCAGCGAGCCTGACCACCCGATCCCGTTAGTCGCCTCTAATTATGGCAAGCATGGGTTGCTAAAGATCTATTCTACCCCGGAACTTCACGGGTCGATCATGCCCACGAAGAGTACGGTTTGTAAATACCTTTCATAGCCGCTTCAATAAATTGCAGTCTCTTTTGGTTTATTCGGTCATTCTTTGCTACTGCTTTCAGGTTCTTCATTAATTTCCCAAGACCTACAAAATATGAAAACAGGACATTCCTCCAAGATTGATATGGAGTGATCTGTTGATAATACAGTAATCAAGAGGCAGTTCACTACCCTACTCAAGGGTTCGCACCCCAAATTCGCTACGATGATGAGCTGGTTTAACCAAAGACTGGTTTTACCAACACGTATGCAACCAATCCCACCCCAACCAAACTCCAGCCCGATCACCACCCGATGAGAGGCAACGTGTTATCTCATCGACAATGTGCCTTTATTTAAAGGTTTTGAAATCAAAAGTTGCTGCTCACTGTTTTCAGATGTACACTGCCCAATAAGATCAATCAAAATGTTCAGAAAATCAAAACCGCACGACAGAAATGGGGAAAATAACTCTGGTTGTGAACTTAAGCCCTTACCATATGAGAAATCAATACTGAAAGCAAGATATGTTTTGATCTATCTGAAGAAACCGAGTCTTGTCTAACTAACAAGGTCATCGCGTTTTGGAGTCACCATGAATGAGATAGCAAACGAAATCACACATATGCTTGTCGACGCTGCACGTGCAACATTCGGGATGAGACGTTGTTACTGCCGTGATGCGGAAGCTCCAACAAAAGGAAAGCAAAAACCACGAATGTAAAAAACAAGGAATAACTTCTAGGCACAAAAGAAATTAAAGAAAACTAACACTACTTAAAATTCAAAGCTTTTCCGAGGGATATAGGAAATGCTCACACAAACATACAGAGAAACAAAGAAACGATTCGTACAATATATTTAGAGCCACACGAAAACATAGTCCACGTGAATTTTGGAACGATCTAAACAAGAATAAGAGTGAGGTGAATTACATTGAGCCTGATATCGAACAGTAAAAGAAAAAACAAATCATGAATACAGTCACAATTATTGATAAAAATGTCAGATTTTTCGCAAGCCTTTAGGGAGTTAGACAAGGAGAAAGTTTATCCCCATAACTATTTTCATTGTATATGAATGACCTATAGTAATCTCTATTGGAACACAAGAGTCACGATGTTAATGTTGATTACAATCCTGGTGATGATGCAACCTTATTATTACAATAACTTTACTGTGTGGTGATGATACAGTCTTATAAAGTATATGCCCCACCGATTTTTTCAGAAAACCCTTGATTTGTTTAGAATATCCTGCACTTAATGGAAATCAGATGTTAACATTTAGAAAACAAAAATATTATGTTTGTCAGTGGCCCTGCTTAACGAAGTAAACCCCAGTTTATGTTTGGTGGAAAACATCTGGAGATAGTAGATAGCTATGTTTTCCTGGGCATATCATTCCATAGAAATCAAAGGATGCTAAGTGCAAATAAATCTATTGCCTCTAATGCCAGTAAAGCCAACTAGTGTCTCCTTTAGAGAGCAGGAAATATTAATTTACCTCTCGATTGCCTTATCTCGGATTTTCATTCTATGGTGTCACCTATCTTGTTATATGGTTCACCGCCGTCATATAGCTGGAAAAGTGCCGAGTGCGGCGTTAAACAACAAACTAAATGTTATATGGTTCAGAAATATGGGGATACGAAAATTTACATATTACTGAGCGAGCTCTTTTTAAATTTCTAATATTTAGTTCTTGCTAAAAAGCATTAACTCCAAATTGTATGGTTTGTGGTGAAGTATGCAGGGAACCTATACACATAACTATCTCAAAACGTGTAATAAAATCATGTTATAACATTGCAAAACCTCTGTGTGAAAAGAAACTTTCACAGATGATTTATCACCCTTTTAAACTGAATCATGATTAAAACTATATTAAATAACTGTAGACTAACACACATATTCTGCAACCCTATTACCTGTAATACCACATGGCTGGTGGCTATTGTAGGCGAGGTACAACAGGAACTATTCGTACAAGAATGGAGATGCAACATGGCACTGAGAAGTAAAGGTTACATTTGTCAGTATCTGACAGATAAACCAAAATTTGAAAGCCATCTTTAAATGACACAAATATGTATATTCCAATCTTAAAATTCAGCACAGGCAACCATAATTTACCAATTAAAACCGGTCTTTGGAAAAATGTAAAGAAAGAAGATCATGTTTTTGAACTGTGCAACTCTCCTTCAGTTGCAGACGAATTTCATTAACTGTTTAGATGCCAGGCTCTATTGAAACATAGACTTGTACACTTACCACTTCCTGATCGGAATAAATGGTCTAATTTGTATACATTTAAGAGGTCACAGTCACAAACGCTGGGATCTTAAGATCCTGTCGAGATTTATCGATGAAATATTTAAAGCAGTACGAAAACACAAAACAGAAAAGATATCATATATCCATACATGACATTCTGTCTTCGTGTCACATATTAATATTTTTTGAGTACATGATAATTCTTTTGTACTGTTTTGTATCTGTTTGTTTCTGTTTCACAATGCTTTCCATTTAAATAGCACTGCTATATAAATAAAGCAGTTTGTGTAACGATGATTTGTTTCATAGACTTTGATTGTATCCACTACACAGATACCTACTTCACCGCAGGTGGTTTGGAGAGAATAAACTGTTTCTGCTTCTGTTTCACAATGCTTTCAATTTAATTAGCACTGCGTGGTTCATGACATTTTTGAATGATTTGGAAAAAGGTAGCTAACCGTTAAGCTCGTTTTCCAACTTATCAGCACGTTTAGTCATTTTCTTTTGGCTTTTCCCTAAGGCTTTCATTTCACCTTGAAGAGTCTTAACTGCAAATAAGAAAAAGGATATAAGAAAGCTCCCCAACACCGCATTTAAAGGCATAATAACACATTAATAGCACATTCTACAACCAAGAAATCGTACATGTTTATGACAAGGATGATTCCAACCCTGACATAAGTTAGGACCAGAACAGATGGCTAAGTTGATTGACAAAAACGGTTTCATTCTCAACCATGACAGAATTGTTTCATCATAAATTAAAACAGTTGTAGCAGTTAACTCAACTGGGTTGACAAGTACTTCTTAATATTTATATGTCATAACAAATACACATTTGCCACTGGGCTAAACACAGTGCTAGTCAAAACAAATGTTACTTGGATCAAGACCGTTGCAAAGTATTTCAGGACATGAGTCGATTGGTCAGGATACGGACAGGACACGATGTTGTATTTTTCAAGTCTCCATCACGATTTGATATGATCGCATTGAGGTCGCTTTCCGGTTGTGCGTCGGATGGATGTCATCTTGTGAGGATACGGTCATTGGAGATTACTCTAGGATTTGGGAGCATAATGTATCAAGTCTTATCGAACATAAGAGAAGGTGTTGACAGGTAGTGTTTTTATCGCTTTTTAATAACAAGGTTTTGTCGCTTTTGTTTGCACATTTTGAACTGTAGCTTCTCATGTGTGGTGGCTTCATGGTTTGATATGGTCGCGTTCCGGTCGCGTTCCGGGTTGCGTTTTGGTTGCGCTCCGTTTGCATTTGCGCCGCGAAGTGGTCGGTACATGCCATTTAGGGGATGTTTCTTTCGAAGAGTAGTGTATTTACTTGCAAGTTACGGTCAAGGTTGTTCGTGCTACAAATGTCCATTGGTCAACAAGCATCATTCCCGTGCCTTTGGGTTTTACCAAAGTGGTAAACGTCGACAACACACGTCATACTATAGTCATGCTCTCCTCGAACTTGCCACGCCGAGACTAGAATGCTGTTTTAAAGTATTTCGCCGTTCATCCAAGAACTTAAAGGCATACAATGTGTAAAAGAGGAAGCTATTGTGTATCATGGTTGTCATGGTTGTCAGGGCTGTCATCGTTGTCATGGTTGTCAGGGATGTCATGGTTGTCAGGGATGTCATGGTTGTGATGGTTGTCATGGGTGTCAGGGCTGTCATGGTTGTCAGGGAGGTCATGGTTGTCAGGGATGTCATGGTTGTCAGGGCTGTCATGGTTTTCATGGCTGTCATGGTCGTCATGGTTGTCAAAGTTGTCATGTCTGTCATGTTCGTCATGGTTGTCATGATTGTAAGGGTTGTCATGGTTGTCAGGGCTGTCGTGGTTTCATGGTTCTCATGGTTGTAAATTATTATGTAGGAGTAAGAGGTAGGTTACATTTTTTCAACTTTTTTGTTGCCTCTTTCATTTGCGCTTGTAGTTTCTTGAGTGATGAAGCAACTTTTTTCTCATCTTTGTCTCCTGAAATAGAACGTTTATCACCAATGAGCTACATACATAGTTATTCTTATTTTTATCGTGACATGAAGTTCACATTTTACAAATAGAATAAAAGCGAGTAAATTCAAAATCCTGGATTCAAGCAGCACATGTCGAGTTTGCTGTATTGCGAGACAAGCAGAGTATCGATACACCAGAGTGACGTTAAGACTCCTTAAGGGATTCATATGTGTCTCGCTGAGCAGAGTTGCTTCCCTTAGGATTGCATTGAACCTTTGATCATGGGTCTGGATGCCATTTTCGATTATGTTTCTAGGTTTGTCAGCACAATACACGTGATCGTTGGTTTCACCAAAGTGGTAAACGTGTAAAACATGCATTACTTCGAGCTTTCCTCCAACATTTAGCTGACACGCCGTTATTTAAAATTGGAATACTTTTAAAATCGGCGTTAAGCGCAACTGACTCACTCCCTCCCCCACATCAATATTGTTCAAAGCGGTCTCAAACTAACCTCACCTAATCTGGGACACACTTCGGGATATGGCTGCGATGGTAATATTATAAATCACTACAATAAGGATAAGAAACATGCATCTTATTATACCATAAAGGTAATAAAGCAGTTTGTGTAACGATGATTTGTTTCATAGACTTTGATTGTATCCACTACACAGATACCTACTTCACCGCCGGTAGTTTGGAGAGAATAAACTGTTTCTGCTTTCTGTTTCACAATGCTTTCAATTTAATTAGCACTGCGTGGTTCATGACATTTTTGAATGATTTGGAAAAAAGTAACTCACCTTTAAGCTTGTTTTCCAATTTATCAGCACGTTTAGTCATTTTCTTTTGGCTTTTCCCTAAGGCTTTCATTTCACCTTGAAGAGTCTTAACTGTAAATAAGAAAAAGGATTTAAGAAAGCTCCTACACACCGCGTTTAAAGGCATAATAACACATTAATAGCACATTCTACAACAAAGAAATCGTACATGTATATGACAAGGATGATCCAACCCTGACATAAGTTAGGACCAGAACAGATGGCTAAGTTGATTGACAAAAACGGTTTCATTCTCAAACATGACAGAATTGTTTCATCATAAATTAAAACAGTTGTAGCAGTTAACTCAACTGGGTTGACAAGTACTTCTTAATATTTATATATGCATAACAAATACACATTTGCCACTGGGCTAAACACAGTGCTAGTCAAAACAAATGTTACTTGGATCAAGACCGTTGCAAAGTATTTCAGGACATGAGTCGATTGGTCAGGATACGGACAGGACACGATGTTGTATTTTTCAAGTCTCCATCACGATTTGATATGATCGCATTGAGGTCGCTTTCCGGTTGTGCGTCGGATGGATGTCATCTTGTGAGGATACGGTCATTGGAGATTACTCTAGTTTTTGGGAGCATAATGTATCAAGTCTTATCGAACATAAGAGAAGGTGTTGACAGGTAGTGTTTTTATCGCTTTTTAATAACAAGTTTTTGTCGCTTTTGTTTGCACATTTTGAACTGTAGCTTCTCATGCGTGGTGGCTGCATGGTTTGATATGGTCGCGTTCCGGTCGCGTTCCGGGTTGCGTTTCGGTTGCGCTCCGTTTGCATTTGCGCCGCGAAGTGGTCGGTACATGCCATTTAGGGGATGTTTCTTTCGAAGAGTAGTGTATTTACTTGCAAGTTACGGTCAAGGTTGTTCGTGCTACAAATGTCCATTGGTCAACAAGCATCATTCCCGTGCTTTTGGGTTTTACCAAAGTGGTAAACGTCGACAACACACGTCATACTATAGTCATGCTCTCCTCGAACTTGCCACGCCGTGACTAGAATGCTGTTTTAAAGTATTTCGCCGTTCATCCAAGAACTTAAGGCGTACAATGTGTAAAAGAGGAAGCTATTGTGTATCATGGTTGTCATGGTTGTCAGGGCTGTCACCGTTGTCATTGTTGTCAGGGATGTCATGGTTGTCATGGTTGTCATGGCTGTCATGGTTGTCATGGGTGTCAGGGTTGTCAGGGAGGTCATGGTTGTCAGGGATGTCATGGTTGTCAGGGCTGTCATGGTTGTGATTGTTGTCATGGTCGTCATGGTTGTCAAAGTTGTCATGGTTGTCATGTCTGTCATGTTCGTCATGATTGTAAGAGTTGTCATGGTTGTCAGGGCTGTCGTTGTTTCATGGTTCTCATGGTTGTAAATTATTATGTAGGAGTAAGAGGTAGCTTACATTTTTTCAACTTTTTTGTTGCCTCTTTCATTTGCGCTTGTAATTTCTTGAGTGATGAAGCAACTTTTTCCTCATCTTTGTCTCCTGAAATAAAACGTTTATCACTAATGAGCTACATACATAGTTATTCTTATTTTTATCGTGACATGAAGTTCACATTTTACAAATAGAATAAAAGCGAGTAAATTCAAAATCCTGGATTCAAGCAGCACATGTCGAGTTTGCTGTATTGCGAGACAAGCAGAGTATCGATACACCAGAGTGACGTTAAGACTCCTTAAGGGATTCATATGTGTCTCGCTGAGCAGAGTTGCTTCCCTTAGGATTGCAAGGAACCTTTGATCATGGGTCTGGATGCCATTTTCGATTATGTTTCTAGGTTTGTCAGCACAATACACGTGATCGTGGGTTTCACCAAAGTGGTAAACGTGTAAAACATGCATAACTTCGAGCTTTCCTCCAACATTTAGCTGACACGCCGTTATATAAAATTGGAATACTTTTAAAATCGGCGTTAAGCGCAACTGACTCACTCCCTCCCCCACATCAATACTGTTCAAAGCGGTCTCAAACTAACCTCACCTAATCTGGGACACACTTCGGGATATGGCTGCGATGGTAATATTATAAATCACTACAATAAGGATAAGAAACATGCATCTTATTATACCATAAAGGTAATAAAGCAGTTTGTGTAACGATGATTTGTTTCATAGACTTTGATTGTATCCACTACACAGATACCTACTTCACCGCAGGTGGTTTGGAGAGCATAAACTGTTTCTGTTTCACAATGCTTTCAATTTAATTAGCACTGCGTGGTTCATGACATTTTTGAATGATTTGGAAAAAAGTAGCTCACCTTTAAGCTTGTTTTCCAATTTATCAGCACGTTTAGTCATTTTCTTTTGGCTTTTCCCTAAGGCTTTCATTTCACCTTGAAGAGTCTTAACTGTAAATAAGAAAAAGGATTTAAGAAAGTTCTTCCACGCCGCGTTTAAAGGCATAATAACACATTAATAGCACATTCTACAACAAAGAAATCGTACATGTTTATGACAAGGATGATCCAACCCTGACATAAGTTAGGACCAGAACAGATGGCTAAGTTGGTTGACAAAAACGGTTTCATTCTCAACCATGACAGAATTGTTTCATCATTATTTAAAACAGTCGTAGCAGTTAACTCAACTGGGTTGACAATTACTTCTTAATATTTATATATGCATAACAAATACACATTTGCCACTGGGCTAAACACAGTGCTAGTCAAAACAAATGTTACTTGGATCAAGACCGTTGCAAAGTATTTCTGGACATGAGTCGATTGGTCAGGATACGGACAGGACACATGTTGTATTTTTCAAGTCTCCATCACGATTTGATATGATCGCATTGAGGTCGCTTTCCGGTTGTTCGTCGGATGGATGTCATCTTGTGAGGATACGGTCGTTGAAGATTACTCTAGGATTTGGGAGCATAATGTATCAAGTCTTATCGAACATAAGAGAAGGGAGTTGAGAGGTATTGTTTTTATCGCTATTTAATAACAAGGTTTTGTCGCTTTTGTTTGCACATTTTGAACTGTAGCTTCTCATGCGTGGTGGCTTCATGGTCTGATATGGTCGCGGCCCAGTCGCGTTCCGGTTGCGCTCCGTTTGCATTTACGCCGCGATTTGGTCGGTACATGCCATTTAGGGGATGTTTCTTTCGAAGAGTGATGTATTTACTTACAAGTTATGGTCAAGGTTGTTGTTCGTGCTACAAATGTTCATTGGTCATCAAGTAACATTCCCGTGCTTTTGGGTTTTACCAAAGTGGTAAACGTCGACGACACACGTCATACTTTAGTCATGCTCTCCTCGAACTTGCCACGCCGTGACTAGAATGCTGTTTCAATGTATTTCGCCGTTCATCCAAGAACTTAAAGGCGTAAAATGTGTAAAAGAGGAAGCTATTGTGTATCATGGTTGTCATGGGTGTCAGGGTTGTCATGGTTGTCATGGCTGACATGGCTGGCAAGATCGTCATGGTCGTCATTGTTGTCATGGTTGTCATGGTTGTCATGGTTGTCAGGGCTGCCATGGTTGTCATGTCTGCCATGTTCGTCATGGTCATGATTGTCATGGCTGTCATGGTTGTCATGGCTGGCATGGTCGTCATGGTTGTCATGGTTGTAATGGTTGTCAGGGCTTTCATGGTTGTCATGGTTGTCATGGTTATCATGTCTGTCATGTTCGTCATGGTTGTCTTGGTTGTCATTGTTGTCATTGCTGTCATGGTTGTCATGATTGTCAGGGTTGTCATGGCTGTCTTGGTCGTCATGGTTATCATGGTTGTCATGGTCAATATTATCATGATTGTCAAGATTGTCATGTCTGTCATGGTTGTCATGGTTGTCAGGGCTGTCGTGGTTGTCATGGTTGTCATGTCTGTCATGTTCGTCATGGTTGTCATGGTTGTCATGGCTGTCATGGTCAGGATTGTCATGGTTGTCAGGGTTGTCATGGTTGTCATGGCTGTCATGGTCGTAATGGTTGTCATGGTCAATATTATCATGATTGTCAGGGTTGTCATGGTTGTCAGGGCTGTCATGGTCATGGTTGTCATGGTTGTCAGGGCTGTCGTTGTTGTCATGGTTGTCATGTTCGTCATGGTTGTCTTGGTTGTCATTGTTGTCATGGCTGTCATGGTTGTCATGGTCGTCATGGTTGTCATGGTTGTCATGGTCAGGATGGTCATGGTTGTCATGTTGTCATGGTTGTCAGGGCTGTCATGTTCATGGTTGTCATGGTTGTCAGGGCTGTCATGTTCATGGTTGTCATTGTTGTAAAGTATGCGGACAACGCACTTATGTAAATGATGTAGGAGGAAGTGGTAGCTTACATTTTTCCAACTTTTGTGTTGCCCCTTTCATTTGCGCTTGTAGTTTCTTGAGTGATGAAGCAACTTTTTTCTCATCTTTGTCTCCTGAAATAAAACGTTTATCACTAATGAGCTACATAAATAGTTATTCTTATTTTCGATGCTCATGATCGATGCTCATGATATTAATCACTGGATTGTCTTGTCCAGAAGCGATTATTTACAGACAGCCGTCATATAGCTGGAATATTGCTGACTGTGGCGTTAAACAACAAACAAACAAACAAACAAACAACCGCCTCCTTGGTGTAATGAATACAACCTTTGTTCGGGGAGCAAGAGGTTCATTCCCGCTGCGATACTGCGATTCAAATACGGCCATGGTAGAACTTGATATTTTTTACAAACATTTTAATAGTTTGCTGCCACAGACAATTACTACAATATTTTAACACTAAAAATACTTACACATAAAAACATCAAAACCGACACCCACCAAGACGAACTCACACACACACACACACACACACGCAAGCACAAGCACAAGCACACGCACAAGCACAAACACACCCACATCCACACACATCCACACACACAGTTCTCTCCCCACACACATTCCCTAACACACCCAGGTCAAACACCAGTGGACAGGCCCACCCATATACACATACAAATTAATCACACGTACCTTAATTGTTTAAACAAACACATGTTGGGCGACAACAATCTTACTTACCCTTTTTTGCGTTGACGTCCTGGGACGAACCCAACTGAGCCAGAACGACCACCAAGAGGACAAGAGCAGCCACACGAGCCATGGTAAAGTTCTCAAGAAACTGCTGGTACACCCTCTACTGTGAAGCTTATTGTTGTGAAAGTATGGAAACACATTTCACAAAGGCATTAATAGTCGTCAATACATTTTAGGGACCACTGGTAGGTATTTGCTAATTCTATAGTGAAGTGCACAGTAAGCTGAAAAAGGATATTGTTTTGACACCAAGGGTGAATTATGTTCATAAAAAGCAAATCTGTCTCAGAGACGGAGAGGAAAGCATATTCAGCCTGTCACATGTGTTGATTTGTGAATTTATTGAATATATCTCTACGATTAATCATTTGGAAATATGCTGAAACCATAAAAGTAAAACAAATTGATTGTGTCGGTCTTGCAGTGTGAGAATTGGGACACCGGTAGCTCAGTCTATTTTAGTCTCACAACCTGGGGAACATGGTTATTGCATGGGTCTTTAAGTATACATGTGAGTGAACAGCGAGTGGACTGTGAGTGGGTGGGCGTATGGGTTGGTATTTGAGTGAGTGTGTGAGTGGTTTATTTTAACGCCTCTTTGATCTGTATATCAGTTATATTGCGCTTAATGTGGAGGGGGATCCCCGAGTGATGCTAATATAAGGCTATGTTTTCACAGAGTGTCGTACGACTCTTGCTCAAAAGGTATTTGATCAGGGTTAAAACTATCAAGGCCTTAGTCAACCTTTCAAAGGGTTTTATGGCAGACATTTTGAGTACCTTTCCAAATTTGACGCATCAGTGATAATCTGATGCAATTCCCTATCTTGCTTTGTACCATATGTTTTCGTGTTTTAGGTGTGTAATTTAATTGCCTTTGCATGTGTTTGTGACGGGTGCTACCGGTGGGGTAGGATACGCTCATCTTTTCTAGAACATCTGGTATCATCACTATTTAATAGTGATTCATAAATACAAATTCGTTTGTCACGATACAGTTGGAATTGTACAATGAACTTTGCTTTTAACACTTTTATTCACGTTGAATGAATATTTACTGCTGTAGTAGTATAGTCAATTATAGGTTCAAATGAAGTACCCATGCACATAAAGTGACAAATATGTTACTCTTAGATATAGCGAAATATCGGTCAATGCTATTTCAGATAGGGGGCGGTCGGGTAGCCTAGTGGTTAAAGCGTTCGCTCGTCACGCCGAAGACCCGGGTTCGATTCCCGACATGGGTACAATGTGTGAAGCCCATTTCTGGTGTCCCCCGCCGTGATATTGCTGGAATATTGCTAAAAGCGGCGTAAAACCATACTCAGTCAGTCAGTCAGTCAGTATTTCAGATAGGTGCCATCATCATATTGACAATTCAAGAAATATCATTGACAAGCTTACACCGCTTGCATAATATGTCTATTACATAACCACTAATGCCATATGTAGTTGTTTCAAAGATGAAATGTAAGGTAACTTCTATATTTTCACGTGAAATCGTGCCAAAGGATACACGTCATTAGGGCCCACTGACATGCAATCGACCAAGTCACCAAGCCTGACAAACCAACACCAGTTCAACAGGTTCTTTCAACAAACTCCGTTTTGCGAACACCCCGTACATTTAGGGTCTCGTAACCCCAAAGATAATACTTGCGGTAATGTTCTAATCGTATTACACAAAGATATCTCTGATAAAATTAGGAAATCATTACAAGAAAAATCATCTGTCGCTTGGGTGCGAATTTTCATTGGTGACGGCGCGAGGGAGTTGGGAGTTTCATGAAACGGGATCCTTGGTCATGATCCAGAACTGAGGTGATGGATAGTGTTGTTTCCTGTAGAAGTCTCACGGTAATCTATATTTTGTAAAAGGTCACAACTGGAAGTTTCACTCTTATTTGAAGAGAATGCAATTTGAAGCGCTATGAACATTCACTGCCGCATTTTAACTGGACTTTTGTTCACATGTTCATAGGTAACCGGGGTTACGGGTGACCAAGCCGTCCATGGCGCCGTCCATGGCGCCGTCCCTTATGCATACCATACACACCAGTGGTCGTCGATGTGATCACATGACTGGCAGGTTCGATTTGACTAAGGAGGCACGTGTGGCCCAGTCGTCTAAGGCGCCGCAATTCGCTGTACAGAGTTGCGTCCCTTGGGCACTCCAAAAACCTATGATTGTGGGTTCGAATCCCGGTTTGCCTCGATTATGTTTCTAGGTTTGTCAGCACCATACCCGTGCTCGTGGGTTTCACCGAAGTGGTAAACGTCTGAGACCTGCATCACTTTGGGCTTTCCTCCCACATTAAACTGACACTCCGTGATATTAGCGGATTACTGTTAAAAGCGGCGTTAAACCCAACTCACTCACTCAGTCGATTTAACCATGGTTCTACGTCTGCCAATACCATGATGCTCGTTGGCGTCCCCACAGGGGACCTGCATAAATTTGGGCTTTACTCAAAGATCGTACAACTGAAACACTGATCAAAGCGGCGTTAAGATCAACTCACTCACTCACACCCAACTGTTATTGTTATACAGTCATACTGGACGGCTGTGGTTGATCTCTCAATGCATCGTTAGAAAGTGAGTTAGTTGGGTGAGACTTTACGATGAACAATGGGTCGGTTGTGCAGTGACGCCTCAGCTTGAGTGAGTTAGTGAGTTTGGTTTTACGACACTTTTAGCAATTTTCCAGCAAAATCATAGAATAGGGCTACACACATTGTACCCATGTGGTGAACAAACCCGGTCCTTCGACGTGAATAGCGAACGCAGTTTGAGATAAACAACTTCTTCAGCTGCGACTGATGCCGATTTATAGTGCTAGCTCACTGAGATACCATGCCGTAGTTTAACATGAATACCCCACTCAGACACAGTATACTGACTCCGAGCCGAACAGTCCTTGGTTTTGCCCCTTAATGCCGAGGGCCAGACAAGGTAACAACAAGGACAATCTTTTAACGTCTTTTGGTATGACGCGGCCTGGCATCAAACCCCGGACCTTCCGCTCTCCGGGCGGACGCTCTACCACTAGACCACGCCACACAATTAAGTGAAAAACATATTTAAGAGAATATATACACTTTATTCAAACTTCTTTACTATATACAATACACAAACAAATTAATTTAACTTTAATTTTTCAGCTAGTTCAGCTAAAATGGTTGTAGACACTCAAATAATTAACCATCAATGCTTTCTTATTAAAAAGTATTAAATTAAACTCGAGTCGTTTTTTAATATTTTTTTAATGATAAAGCTATGAACATGACTATCAGTCAGACAGGTGTCTTCATGCCGTTGCCCTGATCACAGCCTGCAAGGAACTTCATACACTTTTCTGATGATAACGTTACTTAATAGTTATAATTTCAATTAGGAAATAATGTATTTCTTTGATATAACGATAGCACAGGACAAATACAGATGAACGTTTTGCATAAACAACTTTACATTCACATCATAGTTAAATGAAAACTGAATCGACCCCCATATACAAACACAATCATCATTTTCACTGTCCGTAGCATATTTTCATGATGTTGGTTTTTTCCTTCACTATCATTTCAGTATTATTCGATACGTAATACATTTTGAGACGCATAAATTAAAACCCTGTTTGAAAATTCGTGTGTTCAACGAAATAGACTCGCAGAAAACGACATGGCTGCCAAAACGAGAATGCCCGAGACCGTAATGGCGGCACTTCCGCCTTTTTCACTGCTGCCTGGAATTTCCTTAGTGACAATATGGGGTTTCTCGGGGGTAGTGACAGCTGGTCTGGGCGTGGTCTGCATTGTGGGTGGTGTAGTGGCAGCCTGGCACATTTGTCGGAGTCCTGCCTGGAATGATGGCTCCTGGAGGCAAGGCTGGGGGAGAATGGTGCACTCGGCCTGGTTCCTCAGATGTGTCTGGGAAGCATCACATGTTCCTCTAAAGGCTTGGAGCTCACAGTTCACCTGGTTCAGTCGCACTCTGTGAAAGGGAGGTCTCAATGCAGTGAAAATGTAAAGAGAGCGGTTTTTGTTTCTTCAGATTATTCTTTCCAGACACGTATAAATATAACACGAGGAACACAATATTTCTTTTACAAATATCCGACAGTCTATTTTAGGCACGCACAAATCAATTTTTTAAGTGTGGTCAGAATTTTTAATCCCCTCGCTCCACCCGTTTGAGTGAGTGAGTTTGGTTTAACGCCGCTTTTAACAAGTGTTCCAGTTATATCGCGGAGTGTCAGCTTAATGTGGGAGGAAAGCCCGAAGTGATGCAGCTCTCAGACGTTTACCACTTCGGTGAAACCCACGAGCACGGGTAAGAAGCATTTGGGTTTGCATGTCTTGTGAGGAGGCTCACATTTTTGTAAACACTTGTATCATCACTATTCGATATGTACACATGCTTATGATAAAGTCGGATTATCGAAATGGTTTGTCATTTTATTGCAATTTGGACGCTATAGGGAAATTACGGTAACGTATATATTTGCAGCCTATTTCAACATGCTAGCTATCAGGTTACAGCCTCAGATTGAGAGTATGTTAGTTGTTAGTCATGTATGTCTATGTACACTCACCCGCAGAGTCTGACGACAAATTGCGATGGAGTCACAGATCCTGTTTCCATTCGACCAATCACAACCTCTCTGAGCTGAGTGAAGGTCTGCTGTGCGCATGTCGCAATACCTTGGTTTCGGGTGAAGAAACACTGGAAGGCCCCCAGATAGGCTGAGAAACACAGATGACATTCAGAGTCATTATACATGAAGTCACACATGTATCGTATTTGCTTCACAAAACATGCGATGATATTTCCACTCATACAAATGTAACTTAAATGCTGTCGAGTGCTCAAAATTCATTCGTGATGTCTCCCGCTGTAAACTTTCTGCTTTAAGCGGAGTAAGACCTTGAGACTCGCTCAATAAACTCCAACACTCACTTTAACACTCAAACATGCAAACATTTCAGCACATTGATAAAAAATTATTTGCAACGGTAAATCTATACACTTCGATTCATACTCTGAACCGTTATTAAATTTTTTCGCGGTGTTATTTCACGGATATTCATGAGATTCAAACGGTTCCCATCACAATAAATGCCATGCAGCATTTTGAAATAATGTTCAAAGCGGCATTAAAATCATTTCAATGGCTTGCTCGGTGACATTGGCTCATCACTTTCAACGTTAGTTAAAACATTACAAGGCCAAGATCGAGTGTAATTATTTTCCGATATTGTATTCAAGTGTATGTCAGCCATTTCGAATGCGGATTAGCCAGGTCAAGCTAAATGACGTCACATATTGCTTCATTGCCACTATTTAGGACGTCACAAATTAATGACGTCACTTACGACGTTTGAACAATATTTTGACTTCTGATACCTTTCTCTGATGGTTTTTCATACGGTTTTTGTGCTGTTTTTCTTAAATGACAATGTGTGAAAATTAGAAGAACCTACTCAATAATCGATATTGTACCTCGTGAATGAATGTTTGTTTTGAGTTTGATTCGGTGACGTTGTTGTTTTGTTTGTTTGTTTGTTGTTTAACGCCGCACTCAGCAATACCCCAGCGATATGACGGCGGTCCTTAAATAATCGAGTCTGGACCAGACAGGCCAGTGGTTAATATCATGAGCATCGATCCACGTAATTGGGATCGATGACATGCATCAACCAAGTCAGCGAGCCTGACCACCCTATCCCGTTAGTCGCCTTTTACGGCAAGCATAGTTGCCTTTTACGACAAGTATAGTCACCTTTTACGGCAAGCATAGTTGCCTTTTACGACAAGTATAGTCACCTTTTACGGCAAGCATGGGTTGCTGAAGACCTATTCTACCCCGGATCTTCACGGTTCCGGTGACGTTGTGCTAATAATAAAACATTCAACTCACTTTCTCTCTCTCGGCACAGGAGATCGGCGGTCCTCTGCATGGCAACGATGTCAATCCCCATTTCATACAGCCTGGGTAGAGTTGTAGGGCAGCTCTGCCCCACTTGCCTCAGACACGTAAATAACTGCTCGCGCACACTGAGAAATACAAATTCATTGAACATAGTCTTTACTCGAATAAATCGCAATTTTAAAGAGCAAGCAACCAGATGTTATCATTTTGGTACATTTGATTGTTATGTGCAATGGATATATTTATCGAAGCGTGTGAGAGTCGGTGAAAAATTATTTAGATCATTGACTCATATACTCTCTCTAATCAGAAATATGCATAATTTGACATTCTCTCTGGACCGGCCCCTCTATAATCCGAACCATATCTAAACAGACCTGTCAATAATATCTCAACAAACCCTATATATTGAGATGTCCCTCTGTAATCCGACGCTAAACACAACCCTCCATAATCCAAAACTGTGTTTGTTATTCTACTGCCCGAGTCGGCATGAGAGATTAAATCATCATGTTGAAGGATGTGTGATTGTTTGTTTGTTTGTTGTTTAAAGCCGCTCTCAGCAATATTCCAGCTATATGACGGCTGTCTGTAAATAATTGAGTCAGGACCAGACAATCCAGTGATTGACATCATGAGCATCGATCCAAGCAAATCGGATACGATGACATGTATCAACCAAGTCAGCGAGCCTGACAACCCGATCCCGTTGGTCGCCTCTTAGGACAGTAATAGTCGTCTTTAACGGCAAGCATGGGTTGCTGAAAACCTGTTCTACCCCGGATCTTCCGGGTCTTGAAGGATGTCAAAGATACGTACCTGCAAAAACGCTCTGTGTCGGCGCTGGTGTTGCCAATGAAGGAGAACTTGTCTCCTGTCATGGACGTGTTCAAGGATCTGTCGGGGTTGATCTGCGCTGACACGAAACACTGGGACAAACTCTGCATGGCGTTCCGTTCACAAGCTGAAGCAGGACATATTAATTTCTCATTAGTTCAAACACCAGTCAACAATGTACTTGTGAACATACTTTGTTTTGTTTGTTGTTGTTTAACGCCGAACTCCGCAATATTCCAGCTGTATGACGGCGGTCTGTAAATAATCGAGTATGGACCAGATAATCCAGTGATTGATACCATGAGCATCGATCCACGCAATTGGGATACGATGACATGCATCAACCAAATCAGCAACCTGCCCATCCGATCCCGTTAGTCGCCTCTTTCGACAAACATAGGTTGCTGAAGATCTATTCTAACCCAGATCTTCACATGCAGTCAAATATGTCGTTTCATGGACATTAAACTATATATTAGTGTTGAATGTTTGACTGAAATATGAAAATACTAAGTTCATATTTATAATACATTTGATGTTGCATAAATTATATTTCAATCACTATAACATTCCGACTATATCATGAGCATGTGTTTATGAATCACTATCAAATTTTGATTTGAAAGGTTTCAAACCAAGGATGACAATCAAATTCAAATTATGACCGAAATATTAACACGTAAGAGTCCGTTACTTACGCTCCATGCACAGTTGTTCCAGGATCATCAGGAGTGATCTCCCGCTGGTGTCGATCATGGTGACCTCATCCGCTGTACATGTGGCATTCGTGAACTGTGCCTTCAGTTGCAATACGCAGGGAATTATAAAATCCAACTCGGCGGGTCTGCAAACGAAACGCTTCAGTATAACCATAATGTCAAAATCTAGCATCGCAAATGGTAATTATAAAAACGACAGAAAATGACCAGTCTCGATTATCCGCCGAAATAGATTTGGGCGCAAAAGGGCAAACAGCAGTGAAAATTTATGAATGGATCACTGAAAAGCAGTGATGACAATAGGTGTTTGCGAAACAATGCTTGTTTAATTGATACAAAATTATATGCGATTCGTTACACAGTATTTTTACTTAGGAACTGTACTGCCCCACTTGTCGAGTTCTAAACGATGTTATTAGTACTATGTGTGAAACTGAGAAACAATCTTTGTGCTATTATGGTTACAAGTAACATTAAATTTGATATTCATCATAATAATAAAAAAATAGATGATGCTTTAACACTATGTGTTTGGGATGTCAATTGACCCGAGGTGGTCTCCGTTTAAATTGTAATCTGAAAACGATCTGTTCTAATTGCTCCATATTGAAACATGCGTTTCTTTTGTCCCTTCCTGGAGACAAAATCAGGAACCTAACGGAATGGTACATTATGGTTTTGTGTCTTCACAGTTGCATTTCTCGTGGGTTGTAATTCAGGGAAAATATGAAAAGTAATTTTCAAGTTTGGTTCACAAAAATTCGTGCATCCAATCCTTACGATTCCTGTTCAATCTGAGCACTACATTAATTGGTATGTATCTGTTATAGAGCGTGGGTCGTTACATACCTGCACACTCTCTGCCTATAGGAGGGGACAGTTTCCCCTGGGGGTAGGCTCCCGGACACGTTCTGGGTGATGAGGAACAACACTCCCTGGAAGTCCAGTCCCCTGGGGTCAAAGCACCGTGGACTGAGTTGCTGGTCAAAGCTCTGCATGCACTGGCCGCCCTGGGGCGGTTGTTGCTGGGCGAGTGTGACATACACCAGGGAGATGGCGACTAAAAAGAAATTGAATTAAAAAATTACTCGATATTTTATCATTGTAAACACCTTCTATGGAGCTTTCCTTTTCTTCTTGGAGAAAATATTGTCCTGAAAGTGTATCAGCTTGTGCAAAAAACAAACATCAGTCATTCATTCAAACCTTGGATGTCAGGTGACCAAACACCATCCGCCATGTTTGATTTCGTTTCACACATCCCTTCTTTTTAGATTGTTTAAGGATTGACTAAACCAATGTCAATGGTAGGACACCAGACATACATTGTTGAGTCAGAGTCCCTGGTTCTGATGTACTAAATACATACATCATATACTTTAAAACACGCTTTGAGGGTTTGGTTGAAGCTGTGAACATGAAGGACTCCGAGAGTTTTTAACCAAATCCGAGGTAAAATGTTTTATTTCTCTTATAAAATGAAAGAAAAACCTCATGCAAACGGACGTAAAATGTCTATTGTTTTCAAGCATTGTGGTTTATCAGCACCTACGAAGATTGAAAGTTCGATCTCACTGAACTATATGGAACATTTGTCGTTCGATTTTACAGCAATCCGCACATTTCGTTAAGTTTACAGTGTAACATGTGAGTAGACTGTATTCAGATGCAAAATATATCTCAAATAAGAGACAGAATTCAACAGAATATTCCTTGGACAAATTCTTCTGGAAGCAAATAATAAGAAATGACATCAAATTCGCGGATATATATGAAGATATGTATGTTTGTGCAAAGTATGACATTAGTAATTTCTTTCTCTTATTTAATCCTGTGTTTTCGTATTGTCCGGCGAAGCTAATTCCAAAGTAAATAACTTTACTTATAAATCGTCAAGTGTTTTCATTTTGAATGTCTTGTAATCATTAAGTAGTAAATAAAGTATTGTTTGTGCAATCTATTCCAGGTTGTCTTCAGGAAAATATATTTATGTCAACATCTGACCATTTTACAAGTATCAAAAAAATGTGTTACAAAATATGGGTGTTGATGACGGACCCTCGGGAAGGGCATCTCTATCGCGTGAATCAATTTGTTCACTCCCTGTTAATTACGTGTGTAATTATGCCCATGGGCAGGATATCAACATGATCAACGATGTTGCCCCTGGCCACTTAACCCGGTAGTACGTTCAAGGTGGAAGGGTGTCGTGTTGTAGGTATTATCGGATAAGCTATGAGTAAGCATGTTTTTTACTTATGATTATTTTTAAATGTTTCTTTTTCAACATACTCAAATATTTTTAATGTGAAAAAGGTCTTAAAATGAGACACAGTGGTTGTTTGTTGGATAAGGAGACCATGAACACGATTGAGTTGGTGAGTGACTTATAAAATTGTGTTTAACGCCGCTTTGAACGATATTTCGCTTAAAACACGATGTGTCAGCTAAATGTGAAGGGAAATCCCAAAGTAATGCAGGTCTGTGATGTTTATGTGTGAAGCCCATTTCTGGTGTCCCCCACCGTGTTATTGCTTGAGTGTTGCCAAAAGCGGCGTAAAACTCACTCACTTCACGAGCAAGAGCTTTGTGATGTCAGAAAGCAAAATCAGGAGGAATGTGGCAAACCAGACCCAAGATCATTGGATCCTGGCTCGCCCATGGGACACAACTCCGCACAGGGAATGGCGGCCACCCATTCCACGGCAAGATCAAAAACAGGAAGGGGAACATTAACAAACACGTGAACATGAGCGTGGATATTGAAATATGTTCGCCAGAAAACATGACAACCAAGATTGTCTTTTGTCAAGATATTTTTCATTTTATATTCTTTGCATGTCCCTGAAAATTCAGTTAAGCTCACATGTACCCCCATGTCCGATACTATTTTCATCTTGATTGTACGTAATGATAACATTTTCTGTTGTATTCCATATATATTCTCTATATTCCAGTAGGCGTTTAGCATACTTTTGATCTCACCATTCAGATACCAGACACAATCTCAGATTCTCGGTAATCAATCCCACACAGCTAAGCAAACCCTACTAGTCACTGTTTATAAGTAAATGCGAGGTATACGACTCAGAAATACATGTAGACAACAAGTATAATTCTAGGAGACATATTAAAGTGAGTGAGAATTGTCTTACGCTGCTTTTAGCAATATTCCAGAATATCACGGCGGGAGACACCGGAAATGGGCTTCACACATTGTACCAATGTGGGGAATCGAACACAGCCTTCGGGGTGACGAGCGAACGCTTTAACCACTAGGCTACCCCAAGGGCCGGGGATATTAAAAGAATTATGGTAGCCCGTGATTTTATATATCAATGTATTTCATCCGCCTGGCATAAACTTGTGTATGAACTTTGCCTATAATATAGAAGCATCCGGGCATAAAATATGTATATGTCAAAGTCAATGTGTAAAATTGGTAAAATATTTCCACTAAGGCAATTTACAATAATTTTTCAATTTATTATATTATGATAAAGAATTTCAAACATTTTAATTCGAAAACAAATATAACTAAGACTTATAAAATCACTTACATGATAAACAGGTTCTCATACCCGAGCTAGTGAAAAAACTCGGGGGAAAGATTCCTATTTTTAATGTAATTACGTCGTAATTAACATTCTGAACCTATTTGAAACGTATTTCTTCAAAGATGTACAACACGAACATTTGGAGATCGTAATCGCTGAAGCAAGACCTTTAATTACGTCTGGAAGTGGATTTTTAGTGCACAGTGTTCTTAATGCCAATTTCCATTACATTGTTTAACCAAAAATACTTTTCAAACGTAAAGCTGTCGGTAAGAAATTACGACGGCATGACGGGAAAACTTGATTAAACTTTCAAACGCTGATATTTTTCACTCATGACAAGTGAGTAGATCAGGCAATTCCGCTTCTTGTAGCAGACATTACATCTTTGTTATACAGAAGGAAATTCAAAACTAAAGCAGGTTGTTGATGTTAACGACATTTGAGAAACCTACAAGGACAGATTTTGTGTTGACAGGTCAGTCAAACGATATCACACTCTTAAAAGTGAACATATTTTCACATTCCAAATCCCAGTATAGGACTTTAACAACAACAAAAATCCAGTATGAATACATTGGGTACAAAAGCAATATCAACTCGCTGTACTTACCAAGTGCAAATCCAAGAAATCCTATCGTGGTCTTCATGATGATGTATGTTTGTTACCGTTGTGATACAACTAAACCGTATTCTACTGTTACACCGACTAAATGACTCGGCATATATAGTCCGGGACCATTTTGACTTAAAGCGCTGACGTTATTACTCATGTCTGTGACGGTGTGCTGATGGGTGCAGTCACGTGATGTCAGCGGAAGAATACAAGATGGCCGCTGGGTAAATGATTGATTGACGAGTTGTCAAACAGAGAAGCTCCGATCTATATGAATTGAAAACCGATCGTCCCGGAGGGAGTTAGGCTTGTACGGTCAGTCCCAAAACAAGGAAATTTTCCCCAGGGTGTACTTGATTTGTTTCGGTAATGCCTTAAACTTTCTTTATCAGCTTGAAGGTGTGTCCTGCAAAGGGGTTAATCAATGTAGTTTTGCGTAATTAGTTGTTTAGTCTCACTGACCACCCTTTGATGTAAAAGATAAAGTGTTTAATTGCTTCCTTATTTAGGACGGCGGGGCGGGGCATCATTGATGGAAGCATCTTTAGGTTGGTTCCCGTCAATCTAATGCATGTTTGTAAGTGATATCATATCAGTTATGTTCGTATTACTTCCGGATTTTACCTGACCTTGGAAGGCTTATTTTTCGGGTTGCTCTACCTATATAATTGTTTTTCTTATGACTGTTTCATTAATTAATGACAAACTGTAGATACAATAAACACAAATATAAAAAATAGTGTGTTATGAATCCCCGACAGTAAAAATAGTATTACAGCAAAGAAAATGTGCAAATCGCGTAGAAAAAGCATCAATAAGTAACTCATGAACAAAAATAAATAACGGAAGGCGTCATCAGACAATGGATTTAACTTCTGTATTCTGGCGCAACAGTAATACATTTTGTGTTTCAGTCGAACTGCCTGTCACATTCTTGAAGCAAATACTTGTACCAAAGATGTTTTTTTTCCACAAATTCAGCTGACAGTGCGAAGATTACAGGTGCAGATTAATTGTATCAGTGATTTCTGGAGGTTTACCTGCACCTTCAGCAACGAACATGTTTGATACAATGATTCTACCAACTTTAACCCACGGTTCAGAATTATAGGAACTACAGTACTGTGAACACGTAGAAAGGATACAGACTAAATACTTCAAACTTATACTTCAGTTGCCAAACAATGACGATGCAGTTCTAGGTGAATGTGGAAGACATAGACTGTATGTACACTATATCATTAGGTGTATTCCAGACCCGTGGAGATCCGGGGTAGAATAGGTCTTCCGCAACCCATGCTTGCTGTAAAAGGCGACTGTGCTTGTCGTAAGCGGCGACTAACGGAATCGGGTGGTCAGGCTCGCTGACTTGGTTGATGCATATCATCGATCCCCATTGCGTGGATCGATGCTCATGATATTAATCACTAGATTGTCTAGTCCAGACTCGATTATTTACAGACCGCCGTCATATAGCTGGAATATTGCTGAGTGCGGCGTTAAACAACAAGCCAAATCAAAACCAAACCAAAGTGTATTACATACTTGACTAAACTACTTGCTATGAAAACAAATCGATTACCTAAGCAAACGTATCTAATGCTGTATGGACTGGATGAAGTTGATCATATACCTTGGGCTACTTACGTCAAGAACATTGTTTTCAAATACGGTTTTGGATATGTATTGATAATACATGATGTTGGAAATTCAACAATTGTTGAATCTCAACTTAAACAAAGGGTTCTGGATGTGACTTTCAAGAATCAAGAACTTATAATCAACTATTGAACCGGAACTCTACTTAAAGTACATTGACTGTAAACCTTACAGGATATCTTTATATGAAGACATTAAGGTGAAGACAATGAAGACAATTTGGATTGGACTATGTCGAAAATGAATACCATTTCTTGTTAGTATGCCAACAATATTTGGATTACGAACTCGCTATCTTGATGGGCATTATTTCACTCATCCATCTTTAAGCAAGTTTGTAAATCTTTTATCTTCAAATCGTTAACGTACAATAAACCAAAGTGTCAACATATATATCACGCTATGAATTTAATTGTCGCCCCACATGCAATGTTTATAAAGTTTTATTTATATATTCATTGCTATGCAAAATATAATGACTTTGTATGTCCTTGGGCCTGTGGCTTACCAATTTCTGAATAAACTCTCTCGCAGAAAGTATGTTTGAACAATCCAACTGATTTCGACCATTTTACTGTTTTGTAATAACAATGTAATACAGTTTTTGAAAACGTCCTTTTCTAAAAATGATTACTCTTATGTCATATGTGTTAGTAGATCATGTGAGAATGAAGCGCTTTTATATGTTTCTAATAAATAAAAGCGACATTTAACCATTTTCATAATAATGAGACATCTCTGTTAAAAACGATAGCCTCCGTGGTCGAGTGGTAGACCGTCCGCTCGGAGAGTGGAATGTCCGGGGTACGATCCCCGTCCGCGTCGTACCAAAAGACGTTAAAAGATGGTTCTTGTTGTTACCCTGTCTGGCACTCAGCATTAAGGGGCTAAAACAAGGACTGGTCGTCTCGGAGTCAGTATGCTGTGTCTGAGTCGGGTATTCATGTTAAACGGCGGCATGGTGTTTCAGTGAGCTTTCACAATAAAGTTGGCATTAGTCCGGACAAGTGCGCGCACGCACGCACGCACGCACGCACGCACGCACGCACGCACACACACACACACACACACTCAACTTTATTAGATGACAATCGCTTTCATTTGAGACAAGTTGTCCCGAACCCTTGACGACAGATATATTACTCAATCTGTGGTTTTCCCTCACGTTTGTCGTGTGGGATTGGGGTGTGCAAAGTTGAAGAGATTGGAAAAATTCTAGCAAATCCTTTGAGCTTTTGAGAATCCACACGACATTAATTCCACACGTCTCAAATACTTTCTGTGAATATGAAGGGCGTCCTTCCTTGATTGTATTAACGGCTATGTTATATCTTTGAAACAGGGATTTCGTCATACATTTGCTGGATCTCTTTGTACGGATTCTTATGGAGCTTTGCAATCCAGTACAAAAGAGAATGGGCAAACGTTCGGGGTTTAGAGTTGATAGTACTGATGCGTGGTTTTGACATATTGCTTCCCCAGTTAACGTACTGGCTTTGTCGCATTATTAGACATGTTGCTTGTTTTATCAAACAAATAATATGTTATTGGAGGCACTGTCAGTGGGATGGACTACACACTTTTCGGGTAGGGCAGCCAGACTTTGGATGTCAGCAGGCTGGTACAGAATGGGTGTATTCCAATTCTGTTTCGTCTTTTCAGTTTTTGCATTCTACCAATGATATCACGCAATGACTTAGCCCACTATGAATGACATTTAACAGGTTCCCCTTTTGGCCCATTTTGAGCATATACTTCGACAGCATCCATAATGATTTTAAAGTTGAGATTTTAAGACAGAGTCTGGTTCTTATTTTGTGCAGTCCCAACAGTTTTCAGCAGTCGAGTCTGGACCAGACAATCTGGTGTTCAGCATCATGAGCAATGATCAACGACGTCGGGGTATGACGTCACGGTGTCAACCCAGTTACCAAGTCTTACCAGTCAACTCATTAAAGTAGGTGCATAAGAAGGTGTGGAACTCCTATTGACGGCCACAGTATGGGACAGCGCCGCGCATCGCGTTGACAAGCAACGTATCACATTTGGTAAACTACTCTGAATGTCTACCATAAAAAATTTGAAAGTCTTTACCAGGTTTTGGATAAAAAAAAAACTCAACTGAAAACCAAGCTGTTAGCAAAATCTTTCCATGAGATTTGAATAATATGTCCCAAAGGGACGGGGAAACGTTGAGGCTATAACCTGGAGCGGATGGTATATTGGCCGACATGAAGCGGATATTTACGATGCAGAAATCGAAATCATCGCTCTTGTCATACGGGTTGTCATTATCTTTATTTCTTTATAGTGGGCACGGGTGGCCCAGTCGTCTAAGGCCCAGTCGCCATGCAGAGTTGAGTCCCTTGGGCAGGCCAGAAACCTATGATTGTGGGTTCGAATCCCGGTTCGCCCCGGTTACGTTTCTAGGTTTGTCAGCACCATACCCTTGCTCGTGGGTTTCACCGAAGTGGTAAACGTCTGAGACCTGCATCACTTCTGGCTTTACTCCCTCATTAAGCTGACATGCCGCGATATAACTGGAATACTGTTAAAAGGGGCGTTAAACACAACTCACTAACTCACTATTTCTTTATGAATATGCAAAGGGATTTGTCACTGAATATGGTTTCTTATTTCTCTGGTGGATAGGTGACTTGAAGATACTCATTTATCTTGGCATTATTGAAAGAGATGAGATCATTTTTAAAAATAGATTGAAATAACGAACCGTATTCACTAGGCAAAATAAGGGCTCGTTTTGTTTTTGCCTATAATGAGCGGCTGGGGTTAACAATTTTCAGTAAAACAATGACTTGATCATGATTATGTTTTCAGAGCCACCACACACCCACAACTCCCTCAAACCATCACCCACCCAAAAGCTCATGGTTCTTCCTAAAGTTGCAATGGATCTATTCTCAGATGTTCCACCTATTCCACAAATACTATAAAAATAATCAGGTTTCCTTTTCTGACAAATAATCGGCTTACCCTTTTGGCGAACCCCTTGTGTCGTCACCAATTTTCAGCGTTCCATTTATTTGATTATTGGTTAAGAGAAAAGGTCCCTAGCAACCTATGCATGTTGTAAGAGGCGACTAAATGGATCGGGTGGTCAGGCTCGCTGACTTGGTTGATGGCATGTCTTTGCATCCCAATTGTATGGATAGCGTTCTAGATGTCGATCACTGAATTGTCTGGTCCAGACTCGATTATTGACAGACCGCAGTCATAAAGATGGAGTGCGGCGTTAAACAAACAAACAAAATCATATAATTTCACCACTGTTTTGGCTTAAACACCCAGTGTAATCTGTTACGGCAGAGGACAGAGATTATCGTCTAGCTTTGACGTTTTGAATCTGTATGTTGGATAAGTTCCCATAATGCTGTTTACAAATGAAATATTAGTCTCTGGTGTTATGAGTGAGTATGGTTCTTCGTCGTTTTTAGCAATATGCCAGCAATATCACGGCGGGGGACGCCAGAAAAGGGCTTCACACATTATACCTGTGTCAGGAATCGAACCCGGGTCTTCGGCGTGACGAGCGAATGTTTTAACCTCTAGGCTACCCGACCGCCCCGATTATGACTGGTCTCTAAGTCTTTCACGTTGTTAATTGGCAAATTTATGCTTACTTAATCATAAGGTTTGTTTTTTTGTTTGTTGTCTAACGCCACAATCGGCAATGCTCAAGCTATGTGATTGCGGTCTGTAAATAATGGAGTCTGGATCAGACAATCCAGAGTGTGACATATGGAGCATCCATCTTCGCTTTTGAGATACAATGACATCAACGAGTCTGACCGCCTGATCCGGTCACCTCCCTCCTGACAAGCATGGATTGTCGAAGGCCAATTCTTTTCCTGGATCTTCACACATTGTACCCGTGTCGGGATTCGAACCCGGGTCTTCGACGTGACGACCGAACGCTTTAACCACTAGGCTACCCGACCGCCCCCCGTTTTGAATTAAGCAAACTGGGCCGATGTTCCCGAGTTTCATCATAAGCTTCGTAGCATTTCATAATGGTGCTGATACAAATAGTGAAACACATATGAGCTAGTGCAAATCGTGTAAAACGTAGGTTTTGGCTTTTATGTGTGATTCGATTGCACCACATAAGTAAAGCCCAAATAGTTCATTCGAAAGTCAATGGAAATCAAGCACATTGACTTGTGAGTAAGGAAGCCGAGGAGTTGCGAGCAATGTATCAGTAATGTCATTAGCAAGACAGTCTGGCTACAACGACCAAAATGCACGTGCAGTACGAATATACGGATTAGCACGGACATTGATGCACGAAGTGAGTGAGTGAGTGAGTTGGGTTTTACGCCGCTTTTAACAGTATTACAGTTATATCGCGGCGTGTCAGCTTAATGTGTGAGGAAAGCCCGAAGTAATGCAGGTCTCAGACGTTTAACACTTCGGTGAATCCCACGAGCACGTGTATGGTGCTGACAAACCTAGAAACATAGTCGGGGCGAACCGGGATTCGAACCCACAATCAAAGGTTTCTGGCGCGAGTTTTTTCATTTAACTTTTTTAACTTACAAGCTGTATTTTAAATGCGAATACGCAGTGTGGTTTTTTACTTGGATTCTGTTTTGATCAGTCAGATACCGCACGCTAACCTTTGCTGTCACGGACATTACCTGCAACGGATGTCTAGTTACTTGTGCGTTATGCTTACTGCAATAACACCTTCACATCATTGTTTATCAGCAGTAAGTGAGAGTTTTCTACTTCATGCCTTATCAACAAGTTTGAAGCTATTCGCTTCTCATTACCTTTATTTCATGAATTTTCTCTTCAAGTTTGCTGCTTCATAAATAAGATTATCAGTATGACATGACTTTGGCGTAATGAAATGGCACGTCGCCAGGGTAACTCTTTCAAAAAAACACTTCTTTGTGCAAGTCGCATTCGCTCCGTAGAGTTCAATCTAATCGTTCAATAACGGTCAAATAGACGTAGGCTTCCAAAAATCTGTTGCTTTTTCAGGTGACTCAGAACTTCTGCTCGTATATATATGTTCCCGTGTTTTTTCAGGTGAACAATTTACTTGCCTTTGCATGTGCTTTTGACGGGTGCCGGGTGTGTGTGTGTGTGTGTGTGTGTGTGTGTGTGTGTGTGTGTGTGTGTGTGTGTGTGTGTGTGTGAGGATAACCTTATCTTTTCGCGAGCACCTGGTGTCATCATATTTGATAATGATTCATAGACACCTGTTCATGATGTAGTCAGAATCATACATTTATGTTTGCTCTCAGCAGAAATTATTATGTTTATGGAAAGTGTTTTGTCGTGTTTATTAACACTATCACGATAATATTATAATAGTGAATCAACTGCTGCAATATTATCCCAGAAGTTCTTTACACTGTCACGGTACTATTGCAATAGTGGCTCAGCCATTACAATATTATCCTAGTGGTGAGTGAGTATGGTTTTACGCCGTTTTAGCAATATTCCAGCAATATCACGGCGGGGGACAACAGAAATGGGCTTCACACATTGTAGCCATGTCGGGAATCGAACCCGGGTCTTCGGCGTGACGGGCGAAGGCTTTAACCATTAGGCTACCCGACCGCCCCCTTATTCTAACTGAGTTTCACACAATCATGATATCATTACAATAGTGATTCAACTAAGCAATACCATATATCCCAATAGTGATTTACAGGATTACGATACTATTGAAATAGGGGTGCAGCCATTGCAATGTTATCTTTTTTGGTGTTTCGCGCTATCATGATATTATTACAATAGTGATTTAACTTTAGCAATACTGTCACGCACAATACCTTTGCAATAATAAAATTTCCCAAATAGTCACCCAAATCGAGCGATAAATAGATATTCTACAATGAATTTGGAAAACACTCAATCAGAGGTGTCAAATTACAATTAACCCCCATCTGATTGAAACAGCCCTTTTGACGGCCGCATCACCACGGAAGCTAATATTTTTAGTATAGTACTATTACAGTCATTGTCGGTAGGCATATTTAAATAATAAATCTACAATCATTGGCTATAAAATGCAAATTTACTGTTACTACAATATTCAGAGGATTTGTGGCAAAACATATAGAACAGAAAACACGATGGGAATCTACAAAAGGAATGTATTTCAAGTTTTGAGGACAACAGAGAGCTTACTATTTGGTGATTTTCTATACACCACTGTGACGTCATAACCTTAGCTTCATAATGAGCGATATCTCCTAAATAAACATTGAAACAAGACAACATATGTGAAATATATTTATTTTCTTGAGTTATAAAGTTACAAAACTAAATATTCTATCATATTAATGCAATACATTCAACATCGTCCTGCAATGCTACACAGGAAGTGGACAATGGGAGCTGTTGAATGATAACATTCAGTTCCCCCGAAAACAAAACAAACTTGACCAATGGTCTCAACACAAACATACACATCTATTTATGAGACAGTTCTCCCTGCATTTAAGAAAGCAAAAATAATGAAATGAGACAATATGATGAATGTAAAGTGACATTGAAGTGCAAACGTTATTGGTGTTTGCAAAGTACAGTCCTACACCATTGAGAAAAAATATATAACTCAAATATCAGTGTGAGAGAAAGGCAGGAATCACGGCCGACATGATGGATACTGAATGGTGTACAGTGAAACCTTGTTAATCCGGACCCCGTTAATCCGGACACCACACCTTCTGGACGATTATTCTTTGGACTTAGTCGGTGTTGTGTTACGCCGCTTTTAGCAATAGTCCAGCAATATCAAGGCGAGGGACACCGGAAAATGGGCTTCACACGTTGTACCCATGTGGGGAATCGAACCCGGGTCTTCGGCGTGACGAGCCAACGCTTTAACCACTAGGCTACCCCGCCGCTCCTACTCTTTGGAACGCTACCATGTGTCCAACAGGATGTTACCTCGTATACATGACTCTTTTATCTGGTCATTCGCCACTTCGGTCATTTTCAAATTGATCGTATAATTATATTTCCTTCGTTCAAAACCTCCATTCGTCATGTCTTAAAAGTGTTCAATTTGAAGTCTAATGGCCGAATCATGATTAATATTACAGTGAAACTCTCACTGAATTCGTCAGGATTAACGGATCACAATGAAAGAGTAAAACCTTTAATTTGATGTTGGCGCTCCTAACCGAATTGTCCGACTAACAAAGGGGGTCCGGATTAACGAGATTTCGCTGTTACTTTCGACTCTGTGGTTCATTATTCAATATGATGCCAGTTGTATACAACAGGATAGTTCAAAATCTATATACAATGTCACACTAAGTTGATCAAGGATGAAAGCGTAATCCACGTGAGCACTATATACAAAATGGAACTAGTTGTACATCTGGTGGTACCGTTGCCATAGTTATCCCTATGTTGAGTGTTAAATTTATCATCAGCACACACCATTTGATACTGATCTCCTAACGCCGTTTTACATTCTGCCGGCATGAGTTTACAGTCTAGCTCCGTCTTCATACCTATAACCGCTGGGTTGCAGGTATCTAGGGTATGCTTCCTCCACGCATCTAGGTCGCACTTGACATGCTCCAGACGAATTCTGTTGAAAAAAATCATTCTTACTCAGTGGCGGATACCTTCGCCCTATTGAAATACCCATGCATATTGTCATGTGACCCATCTCACCCTCAATTTCGTAAACATTTAAAACGTGAATTGGTTCTGGTTTCAATGTGTCTGTTGACTTTTTGAGAGTGTACTACCCTCTTGCTTCAATGTGTATGAGTGGCACTTTCCTTCTGGCGTCAGTGTATACTGATTTGTATGACTGCACCTTCTATCCGGCTTCAAAGTTTATATAGATTTATGTGATGGTACCTACCATCTGGCTTTAATGTATCAATTGATTTGTGTTATGGTACCGACCATCTGGCTTTAATGTATCAATTGATTTGTATGATGGTACCTACCATCTGGCTTTAATGTATCAATTGATTTGTGTTATGGTACCGACCATCTGGCTTTAATGTATCAATTGATTTGTGTGATGGTGCCAACCATCTGGCTTTAGTGTATCAATTGATTTGTGTGATGGTACCTACCATCTGGCTTTAGTGTATCAATTGATTTGTGTGATGGTACCTACCATCTGGCTTTAATGTATCAATTGACTTGTGTGATGGTACCGACCATTGGGCTTCAATGTATCAATTCATTTGTGTGATGGTACCTACCATCTGGCTTCAATGTATCAATTCATTTGTGTGATGGTACCTACCATCTGGCTTCAATGTATCAATTGATTTGTGTGATGGTGCCAACCATCTGGCTTCAATGTATCAATTGATTTGTGTGATGGTACCAACCATCTGGCTTTAATGTATCAATTGATTTGTGTGATGGTACCTACCATCTGGCTTTAATGTATCAATTGTTTGTGTGATGGTACCAACCATCTGGCTTTAATGTATCAATTGATTTGTGTGATGGTACCTACCATCTGGCTTTAATGTATCAATTGATTTGTGTGATGGTACCAACCATCTGACTTTAATGTATCAATTGATTTGTGTGATGGTACCGACCATCTGGCTTTAATGTATCAATTGATTTGTGTGATGGTACCTACCATCTGGCTTTAATGTATCAATTGATTTGTGTGATGGTACCAACCATCTGGCTTTAATGTATCAATTGATTTGTGTGATGGTACCGACCATCTGGCTTTAATGTATCAATTGATTTGTGTGATGGTACCAACCATCTGGCTTTAATGTATCAATTGATTTGTGTGATGGTACCAACCATCTGGCTTTAATGTATCAATTGATTTGTGTGATGGTACCTACCATCTGGCTTTAATGTATCAATTGATTTGTGTGATGGTACCAACCATCTGGCTTTAATGTATCAATTGACTTGTGTGATGGTACCTACCATCTGGCTTTAATGTATCAATTGATTTGTGTGATGGTACCTACCATCTGGCTTTAATGTATCAATTGATTTGTATGATGGTACGAACCATCTGGCTTTAGTGTATCAATTGATTTGTGTGATGGTACCAACCATCTGGCTTTAATGCATCAATTGATTTTTGTGATGGTACCTACCATCTGGCTTAAATGTATCAATTGATTTGTGTGATGGTACCTACCATCTGGCTTTAGCATATCAATTGATTTGTGTGATTGTATTTACCATCTGGCTTTAATGTATCAATTGATTTGTGTGATGGTACCAACCATCTGGCTTTAATGTATCAATTGATTTGTGTGATGGTACCTACCATCTGGCTTTAATGTATCAATTGACTTGTGTGATGGTACCTTCCATCTGGCTTTAATGTATCAATTGATTTGTGTGATGGTACCTTCCATCTGGCTTTAATTTATCAATTGATTTGTTTGATGGTACCTACCATCTGGCTTCAAAGTGTCGGTAGACTTGTGAGTTTGTGCCTATCATCTGGCTTTGATGTGTATATGTATTTGTGTGATGGTACCTACCCTCTGGCTTCAAAGTGTCTGTAGACTTTTAAGATTTGCCTATCATCTAGCATTAATGTATTTTAGTATTTGTGTGATGGTACCTACCATCTGGCTTTAGCATATCAATTGATTTGTGTGATTGTATTTACCATCTGGCTTTAATGTATCAATTGATTTGTGTGATGGTACCAACCATCTGGCTTTAATGTATCAATTGATTTGTGTGATGGTACCTACCATCTGGCTTTAATGTATCAATTGACTTGTGTGATGGTACCTTCCATCTGGCTTTAATGTATCAATTGATTTGTGTGATGGTACCTTCCATCTGGCTTTAATTTATCAATTGATTTGTTTGATGGTACCTACCATCTGGCTTCAAAGTGTCGGTAGACTTGTGAGTTTGTGCCTATCATCTGGCTTTGATGTGTATATGTATTTGTGTGATGGTACCTACCCTCTGGCTTCAAAGTGTCTGTAGACTTTTAAGATTTGCCTATCATCTAGCATTAATGTATTTTAGTGAGTGAGTGAGTGAGTATGGTTTTACGCCGTTTTTAGCAATATTCCAGCAATATCACGGCGGGGGACACCAGAAATGGGCTTCACACATTGTACCCATGTCGGGAATCGAACCCGGGTCTTCGGCGTGACGAGCGAACGCTTTAACCACTAGGCTACCCGACCGCCCCAATGTATTTTAGTATTTGTGTGATGGTACTTACCATCTGGCTTCAATGTTTCTGTTAATTTGCGTGATAGTACGTGTACCATTTGGCTCTGCAGTGACCATTGAGTTGTGTCCATTAGTCAGTGAGATTGAACCTACCGACAGAAGTTGACGAGGAACTCATTCTGGGGCATCTTCTGCTGCTCCGCCGTCAGACCCAGCTCAACCACTTTCTGGTTCTGACTCTGCATGCACATCTGGACATCCCGGGTCGGAGACGAGAAACACTCGAGACTGTCCAGGTACACTGAAAGTCAAGAGAACCATTCCTGGGGTTAAGCTCTGTAAATCTAGAAGGTTTGTGATCAGGAAAGTACTGCTAAAACTGCGAGTGACACAAACTCTCAATAGTTTCACGAGGCAGTTAGTATTGCAGACTAACAAAAATACGGCAGGATAATTAAAGACAAGAGAACCAGTTCAGTGGTTAAGTATAATGAGACGTGAGTGGGTATGGTTTTACGCCGCTTTTAGCAATAGTCCAGCAACATCACACAAGAAACGGACTTCACACCCATGTCGGGAATCGAACCCGGGCCTTCGGCGTGAAGAGCGAACGCTTTAACCACAAGGCTACCCGATCGCCCCTATAATGATACGGGAGGCAATAGAACCATGTCAGCGGTTAAGTGCAGGGACACTGATAGACAATGGAACCATTTCTGGGGGCTTAAGGGGTTCTTTGGGGTTAGGGTGGGGATGGGGGTGGGGGTGGGGTAGGGATACTGGAAGTGAATGGAACCATTCTGGGATAAAGGGTAAGGAAACTGTTAGAAAATGTCTATTAATTTCACAAAACGCTCAAAATACAATGCTCAGCAAGAGACACTGGCAGTGGAAACCAGATTATAGGGGATTATAGTACAGGGACACAAAGATGACCGACTGACATCAAGGCAGACCACTGATGGAGAGATGCATATTCGCCCGGATATTTGTTCCTGCTTTGTCCCACCCTGGTCGTGCTCGTAGGTGTTACCAAATTGTTACACGGCTAAGAATCTGCATCACTGAGGGCTTTCGCCCAACGTCAAGCTGACAAGCCGTTGTGTCATTCAAATACAGTCCAATGCGGCGTTAAACGAAACTCACAATCATGGGTCAGTGACACGGGAGTTTCAAGTCAGTTGATTGTACAGTATTATAGTACAACACGTTCATAATGTATAAACTTAATGTGGAGAATACCGAATGAAAGTCTCCTGAATCCCGATGATTTCAACATTAATCATTTAACTTGTATCATTCATTCACATTACCTTTTGGGTGGAGGCAAAGGACGTTGACAGTTTTATCGAGAGAATCAAGGTCAAGGCCGATGTTGCGCATGACAATTGGAGATTCAGGACATACTCTCTGTTCTCTCTTCATACACTGAACAAGCGGGTTTCGCATTCTGTGAAAGAAAGAAATCTCAAGCATATATCCTGACAAATAATAGTTTTGGAAGATCAGTGTCAAGTTTATGGACATAAAGTCAAATATAAATATATGTTAATACATATGAATTTTAAATTTTAAATTTCTACAGAGGGGCTAACTCCTTGAATAAGCATGTACTTTTTTACAACTCCCTCAGCGTTAATTTAAAAATATGCACACTTCCTAGTACCTTATGAAATATTAACATTTTTGGTATAATTTTACTTAAATGATTGTTCAAGATTTGAGTCCGGGCAGTTGGAATTCAAATGCCACTTTGTTTAACTTGAATGTTTTCACTCAAATTGTATGATGTACTTTAGTCTATAAGTTAATGATGACAGAAAACAAGAATTATCACGTCGATAATGAGGTACGAACAGGTCACCAGACCATTGAGCACACTTTTTCTTTGATACACTACAACTTGTCTTTTTTGCGTCCATGTTTAGATATTCTGATAAAGTCAGTTTGTCCTTACTTGCAAAACGCATCCACTTCCACCAAAGTGTCTCCCATCATGTTGCCCCCGGGCCGAGAGTTGTTGGGCATAAACAGATCCGCATCCAGATCGGATTCGGAATAACACCCCCTCAGTTTGTCCACGAGTGAAAACCGGCATGCTGCACAAGATGAGATATCATTAAGCCATTTAGGTTTGTTGTCCTACCCATGCACTGGTCGAACTAATTCAGCGTTCAGCTTTTTGAATTTCTAGAGTATAATACACAAGTTTTGTTATATACTATTTTTACAAAACATGTCTTTCTTTGGAGAAAGTGAAAGTCTTATTCCGACTAAAGACCTTTAATTGTTTTTTAAACTCACTGGTATCAAATCTCCGTTTGATACCCAAAATAAAAAATAAAACACATTCAGTTTACCTCAGTCATGAATATGGTAATTCAGTTTGCTACCCTAATAAAGACAGGAACATAATTATTATCTTCCTTCAGGGAACGATGTCAGCTTGAGCCTCGTGATGTTGAGAGCTCTCTGATTTGCCTCATGGTACTAAATACTTACGGTGGGCACAGAGAATGTCGTACGGCTGGAATATGCTACCGAAGAAGTTGGTTATGGAACTTTTCTCCGCCAGGGGGCAGGCTGAGTTATTGAGTAAAGTATCCCTGACTCTGAGGGAACAGTTGAAAATGTTTGTCTGATGACTGAAACACAAGCATATTTAATTGGAAAGTTATTTGATGTAATATTTCATTTAAATGGAATGTTGATCATGAGACGACGAGAGAATGGGTGTTATTTTTGCCGTAATTGAAGTCTGAAACAGGCGAACCGGGGGTTGATAACATGAGCAACGATCCAGGTAGGGACACGGTAACCTAGTGTCATTCAGGTCATGCATGACCACTTGATCCCATCAGGTGACTCTTACGACAAGTCGTTACAGTAAACTACGGTTATAACGAACTCAAAGGGACCACTAATATAAGTTCGTAATAACCGTAGTTCGTTATATGCATATATGCATCATATATTTAACAAATGGCCGGGACTAAAACTAAGTTCGTTATATCGGTCAGTTCGTTATAAGCGTGTTCGTTATAAACGTAGTTTACTGTATATCCCTATGCTACACATGGCCGCCTTCTGAATTACCTTTGCCAGCTTGCACAAAACGATCTTAGCGCTGCGGCTGTCGTATCTTTCTTAAAGTACGGGAGTTACTGTCGTGGAAGCGCTAAGATGGCTTTGTGCAAGTTGGAAGTGTGTTGATGCTTATGCTGCTATGCAATTACTTTTCTGTATTCAGTGGTCTCTGTGATATATGTTAAATATTGCTGGCCGAGCCGAAAACAACATTTAATCACAGCCTCTCTAAAAGGACATAAAATAAAAATGCGCACGCACCCACAAGCTTGGTCCTGAAATACAGCCATGTCTGGTGGTTGAGTGCCAACTGTCCCGTTTCTTGTGAAGTAGAGTAGATGTTGTGGGTTGAGCGTGACGTTCTGTATACACTGGTAGAACTGGGTAAGGAAAACTGTCTGACATTGTTGCTGAGACTGGGCTACCACAAGGTTTAACGCGGACACTGCCGCTATCACTGTTGAGAGAAGAAGGTATTTGAATAACAATCGTTACGTTTGGCACGGTTAGTCTTTCATACCAACGTCTTGCATTAAGAGCTTTTTATGACTTGCTTGTTGTAAGTAATCTTTTTCCGTTATATATATGTTATAATTCGGGAGAGTTGCGTCCCTTATGCGTTTCTGTTTTCGTGGGTTCGAATCCCTGATTAGCCCTGATAATGATGATCGATTTATCAGCACCAAAAAGTGATTGAGGGATATTCCAACATGGCAAAGTCGAATAACTGCTTCACGTCATGCTTTCGTCTCACACTTGCTTGACACGCTGTGATAATGTAACTGTTATACTGTTTAAGTCTGCGTTAAACCCAACTCACTCATTTACCCACTTACGCACTACATCTGATGTTAATTCTACAAGTTGTCTTAAATCCAAACCTTCTCTGCTATTACTTTCGCTTAAAACAGAATATTAAAGGAAATCAAGTTGTTTAACAGGATATATATTGGTGGAAATTAGTATGCGAGACGATACTTTGGTGCTTCATGAGATAAAAGCGCAAAACATTTTTTAGTTCACATAATGTAGTCAATTACGAAAAGTTGCAACAACGGAACTCAGCGTCTCCACTTGAACACATGGACAGGAATATCGGATCTCGACATCCGAATAGGACCATCAGCGGGACATTTGTATCACAAGAACAGACACTTGTTAATACAGTCAACAGTTTTATGCATTGTGTGTGGGTATTTGTTTGTGAAACTGTAAAGAAATGTTTCACCGACAATCCCTTATGAAATATTGTTGATACAGTAAGTTACAGACCGGTAGTTCTGAGTTAGTGAGTGTGGCGTATATTCCAGCAATAGTACGGTGGGGAAGACCAAAAATAGGCTATACTTATTGTACCTTGTTTTTGAGATAAAATAGTGACATAAAAAAAGACGAAAAATATGAACATGAACCCTTTGCAAAAATATCGTCAAAATAATAACATAAGAGGCTAGGCGGAATTTTTTGTTGTGATTCTTATGTCCATTTTGGCCCCCAAAAAGTCCTGCTCGAAGTATTTATCTAACCTCTGTATTAATTGGTCTTATGGCCTTAACAAAATACACTCAGACTTGATATATATATATATATATATAGCGCAATAAGGGTGCGGCAAGTGTAATAAAGAAACAATTAATTTCCAATACATTTAACGTACTTACCAATTAGCACCCGCAGCATGTTGATGGCCATGAAATGTGTGTACGTGATCAAGATTTACAACCTCACTTCTGATTCAGGCTATTTATGTTTTCCATAGATTAGCATTATGATTCTTATCTGAACACGAAACGTCACATCTTGTGAACCAATGAAACTTAAAAGATTTTTAACTCCAGGGCCTGTCATGTAACGTGTATGATTGAATAGAAAAATGGGGTTGCTGTCGGGTTAATTTATTGATTTCTTCCGCATTAGATAATAGCCTTGAGGAAAATATCATCTGGTCACGCCAAGGACTAGGCGCCCGTCTTATGTACATGGCTGTAGGTATCAATGATTGTTGAAGCTGAACGCTTGCGATGCAGAGAAATAAATGGATTTTTTGTGTAATTGGACAAGGATATAACGCTGGAAGGTTATCATGAATAGTTTAATATTTTTTATATGTCAGAGTATATGATGATATGTATTTCTGTAATATATTCCTGAAGATTTATGATAGTAGAACCATGTTGAGGGTTTGCTATTGTCCATGCTTTGTTGTGAGTGAGTGAGTGTGGTTTTACCTTCTTTTAGAAATATTCCAGCAATATCATGACGGGGGCACACCAGAAATGGGTTTCACACATTGTACCCATGTGGTGAATCGAACCCGGGACGAGCGAACGCTTTAATCACTTGGCTACACTAAACCACAAATGCATTGTATGATCTAAATGACCGCTTGGCATTGCAGGACTATTTGGCAATATACCAGTCCCACTTCGCATCAACCATATACAATCGATCAAACAGATGAACAGGGATATGTCGAAATGACTTGCGTACAACATGGTCCAACACAGTATTTAGTTTTTCTTGTACCAAACATACACTGATTAACGAAAATATTATGTTAGAGTACCACTTATATGTCGTACAATTGTAAGTCTTGACTCTTTTTGTAAAACTTGTTTCAACAGCAGAAGTTGACCTTTCAAGGCGTTTATCTCATTTCATATATCATGCCTTTTTTAACATGAAAAAGACTGTTCTTCAATTAGGGGCTAAACAGTTCACAAATGGTATAATCAACGAACAATTTCCATAATCATAAGAAATCTCTATTGTACGATCCCGACTTTATCATAAGCACAAGTTTATTAGTCATTATCAAATCATGATAAGACCAGGTGATGAAAGGGTGAGACTATCCAGCCTCAAAAACACATGAATTGTTCGTCTGAAAAAAAGCCAAAATAGTGAATTGCATCAGAATCATGTTTGTCAGTTATACGTCAAATTTGGAAATGTCCTCCGCATGTCTACAATAAAACCTTTTGAAGCTTTACTGAGGCCTTGAATGTTGTTACCCTGATCAAACAACTTTTGAGTAGTGTCGTATTGCGCTTTTTTAAATCTTCGAAGAAAGAGCATGTTCAAACGAAGGGTAATCAGGGTGACTGTTGAAATCAAATCGCATCCTGTCACGGCTAAGGGATGCAACTTCACATAGAAGACTAGACCAATGGTTCCCGGATCATGTTAGATAACTTAAACGATAGAAAATGATTCATGTCCATGATTATGTTATAACTGAAGGTCGTAGAAGTTAATAGTTTCTCATTGCTGTGCCAGTGAAGTACTACATCACCTTAGATTCAGACTTTGAAGTCGTGACCAGCCACAGGAAATAATGTCTATTTAAGTGATCATTACCGGAAATATTATGATGCACAGAGTGGATTTCGCAATAAACATGATAAAGAGTCAAGAGTGATGTGTTTTAGTTTGCCATCATCTACATTTTAATGGGTTTGCTTCTCCTATCAGCGACGATTATTGATAGGAGTTTTGTATCACGATAGTGTTTGATATCCTAAGAGACACTATAGACATATAACCTAGCTTAAGAACATTAATTGATGAAGGAGAAAGCATATACTCCGAAATGATGTGTTCCAAAAATAAAGAAGTTTGCATCCATACATTCTCTTCCGTATGTGTATCACTTCTAAATGCCTTTCAAAAACTTGAACATTTATTGAGATACTATATGGTAAATGAATGTTGAATCTATTTGTTGGAGATATGAGGCAAGTGGTGATTTGGACAGGGACAGTTTCACTTCACTTGAAATCATAAAACCAAACAAAATACAAGTCTTTGGTAGCCAACTAGATGTTGGGAGAACATGAAGACATGGAATCTTCTATTTATAACAACTTTGGTCAGCTTTGTAACGACGTTTCGTGGTTACCTTTTGCCTCTTCATCGGGTGAATACTGAGTGAGCTGTTGAGTACAGTATTTCTACTCAGTATCCGAACGATGAAGGGGCAAACACTAGCCATGAACCGTGGTTACAAAGAATAAAGAAGCTGTTTTCCACCAGAAGGTTCATGTCTCCAGATTAAATACGTATTTTCATTGTACAGGCTTTTTTCTGGTGTGGAGCATTCAAACTGACCATGTGTTCGCGAAAAGGGTAAGCATGTCCTGCTCTACTGTAAGCACCAACCACTCACATAGTTCGGACAACAAAGTGACCAAAACAGTCGACACCCGATTTAAAAAGCATTTAGTTACAAAACTCGAATAGGTCATGGGACGTATACGTCTATGACTGACAAATACCTTATAGCATTCTATCACCCGACTTTGGGGATTTATGACGGAATATAATCCAATCATGGTTAAGGCTGTTACCCAAAAAGGAATTTTCTGGATATGTTTGTATCCTTTTCCTACACATATTGGGAAAGATCAAAGACTTGGTGATGTTATAATCTATTACATTAAGTCTTAAAAAGAAGAAACGCCAATCTTCTTTCTTATGAACAGATCCAATAGTCCTCACAGAGAGTTCTAAAAGTTCATTTATGTTTTATTATGCAGCTTTAGGGGAATCAAATAGGACACACTGTCCAATATTAAGGTCATCAATCGATGCACGGAATATTTCTGAACAAAGCAAAATCAATACCGTTTCGAAACCATGAAGGAAAAATGTAGAGAGGATTATAATATGACCACAAATGAATTCAGGTATGACCATTTAACAATTTACAATAACTCCTCAGATGTAACAAAAAAACCGGGCCGAAGAGTCGCTCTTGATCAAACCACGTGAAGATCCAGGTAAGAATTGGCCTTGGACAATCCATGCTTGTCGGGGGAGGCGGCTGACCGGATCAGGCGGTCAGGCTCGTTTATTTCATTGTGTCCCAAAAGCGAAGATGGATGCTCCATATGTCACACTCTGGAATGTCTGATCCAGACTCCATTATTTACAGACCGCAATCATATAGCTTGAGCATTGCCGAGTGTGGCGTTAGACAACAAACAAAAAACCTTGTGATTAAGTAAGCAGAAATTTGCCAATTAACAACGTGAAAGACTTAGGGACCAGTCATATTCGGGGCGGTTGGGTAGCCTACTGGTTAAAACATTCGCTCGTCACGCCGAAGACCCTGGTTCGATTCACGACATAGGTATTATGTGTGAAGCCCATTTCAGGCGTGTCCCGCCGTGATATTATTGGAATATTGCTAAAAGCGGCGTAAAACCATACTCACTCACTCGCTCACTCATAATCGCATCGTTGTCACAAGAAAAGGAACAGTTTGCCCCATGGCTGCTTCGTTGTCATTCATTATGTAATCAGATGCGAATTCAGTCCAACCTTCCTCCTCCACATCCACTCGTCAGCACCTCCACTTCACCCTACCTTGGGGGAGGTGGTGGGGTGTTGGGTGTGGGGTGTGGAACGTAGCATTGTGGATAAAGGGTTGGCTCGACATGAGGAAGACCTGTGATCGATTCCACGTGGTTATTATGTTTGATTTTCATTCTGTGTATCTATTACAGTTACATAAACTGAACATTGTACTCACTCTCTCGTCTCTACCATGGCAAAGGTTGCCACTGGTGTCAAAAATGTAGGGACGGAGCTATTTTCTTCATGGAAATATACACACCATGAACAAGTAGGGCATGTCCCGTTTTGTGATCGGTAACTCAGATACCTTATTGGAACCTATCTGTTGCCGAATGGCGGTTGTAAATAAGTTTTGATTGGCACCAGTTGACGGATGGAGCATACATACAGTTCATGGCGTGAGGGGTGACGAAGCGAGATCTTTCACTTGTGTCGGAAACTAGAACAAGTAGTGTTAACTACATCAAAATGTCAACACACAAAATTCCACATAAGTGGGGATTTATTGTGTATGTGGGGCGGTCGGGTAGCCTAGTGATTAGAGCGTTCGCTCGACACGCCGAAGACCCGGGTTCGATTCCCGACATGGGTACAATGTGTGAAGCCCATTTCTGGCGTCCCCCGCCGTGATATTGCTGGAATATTGCTAAAAGCGGCGTAAAACCATACTCACTCACTCATTATTGTGTATGTAAGAACAAGTCAGACCAAGTTTGCGTAATTAGGTCTTTACATACCACGTTGTGTTTTGCATTGGAGACTTGTGGATGCTGTGTAAACTTTCAAGTTAGAGTGAGTGAGTATGTTTTACCCCGCTCTAAGCTATATTCCGGCAATACCATGGGGATGGCACCAGAAATGGGCTTCACACATTGTACCAATGTGGAGAATGGAACCTGAGTCTTCCACGTGACGAGCGAGCGGTTTAACCACAAGTCTAACACACCGCCCGTATCAGATGAGAAGGACAAGAATATAGTATCCAAACTTTATATTCTGACTTAAACGTAAGCAATATTGATAGACACATAAATGATGAAGCAGAAAAAGACGAGATATTTTCAAAACACTGCTGGAAAATCTCTTCTTGTAAATAAACTATTTCTAAAAAGAGCTGACAACAAATTTGCTCTGATATAAACAACATACATTAAACAGGCACAAACTTAGACCTATAGTTATAAGAGTGGTGCCGTGTTTACTTTGGAAACCCTTTGTCTACAGTATCCATGACAATCAAAGACAAAATATCCCTTTCCATAGTCATAAGAAATCTCTGCTAAAAGCATTCCGACTGTCATGAGCATGTGTTATACCAAGTGTTCGCGAAAGGATCAGCGGATCCTGCCTCACCGGTGGCACCCGTCACAAACACATGCAAAGGGTAGTCAAGGTTACCTGAAAAAACAACAACACGCGAACATTTGGTACAAGTCCAAATAGGAAATTGCATCGGACATCATTTTTGTAACTGATGCGTCAAATTTGGAACTGTCCCCCACATGTCTACCATGGCACAATTAGTGACATACAGACATCAAATACATGTCTAAAGTATTGTTCGAAACTGGAAATGGTGTTTGAGACAATCTGGAACTCAAGATAACTGCAAAATGTTTAGATAATTGTTCTATCTCCAAACAGAAAAATCTGTTTTCCAGAAAATGTATGATCTTTTCGAAAGATTAACATGGACTTGTCACTTGAGAATACATGTGTACCTCTTCGTGCCAAATACAGTGTAGAATGAATGACATCTACAAAAAATGCAAGCATGACAATTTTCAAATCGTTGTAACTAGAAAGTTGTGTTTTTGGAGTTTGAACAACCTGGTTTTCAGGGCACGACATGTTGAACGCTTTACTGAGATCTACTGAGGCCTTGAATGTTGCAACAACTTTTGTGTACGATGCTTATGACGTATTTTGATATGCTGGAAGAAATTGCATGCTCGATTGTACCTAAAACGTTGTCATATGTAGACACCAAATCTTTGAACTGCTGGAATATTGCTCGACATAAATGTCATGTTGTCAAACTTGTGGAGAGTGGTTTGTCACTCTGAATCTTAAGATCTACATATGACACATACGAGGCGAGGCAGTCTCACTGGCCTCCTTGTCTCTGGTTCAGGTGGGTAAATTGGCTACTTGGCCGTTTGTGAACGATATCGGATCATCCATATACGTGAAACGTCTTGGCTTTATTGTTTTGTTTTGAACTTTACCAATCTGAGTTCAGATTCATATGAAAAAGAAACAGATAATCTACAAGGGTGTGTGTGTGTGTGTGTGTGTGTGTGTGTGTGTGTGTGTGTGTGTGTGTGTGTGTGTGTGTGTGTGTGTGTGTGTGTGTGTGTGAGGGGTGTGTGTGTGTGTGTGTGAGGTGTGTGTGTGTGTGTGTGGAGGGGGGGGGGGGGGGGGGTGGTGGTGGCAAAATTGGTGCCCATTGGGATGCCTTCTGTCTACTATATTTCTTCTTTTTGGACAAATTGCCATGAACCTCTGAAGATAGATATGTAACTATATCTCTGGACACCACGTTTGGTAACAAGTTCCCCATGGATCAAGGAATTATCTTTTTCCTCAAGTTTGTTATGTGGGATAGTGGTGAATGTTATTAAATTGGTTCTTTCTGAGATTGCAAAACTCCAAGCAAATCCTTGAAGTCCTTGGGAATCCACATGGTATTAATTCCAATTGTACTTTCTGTCTATATTACCTCACAGTATTAAGGATTATTATTCCCTAGCGTTGATGTTTTATATTATATCACGCAACTTAACTGTCGGGCAAAAGAAAGTACATACTTAAAAATTGGATTTGACAAGAAAAACAACACAAACGTTATCCAAACATTGCTAGGCTGAAAACAGTCGCCGAACACTGCAGACATAAACGCTGTTTATTGTCTTGAAAGATGCTTGTCATCGGTCATGAATCCAGAATAGTGTTGGAACCCGGCGTGAATTCTGTGTTTCCAAAAAGGTGTCCCAACTGCACTTGGCAAGAAAAGTAGACTCATGTTAGGTCGATAAAAGGCCCGAATCGCCCTCTTGTCGATCCAATATAGGTACAGCCATTCGTCTATAAACTGTCCAATCAAGAAACTTGTAGACCGATCATGCCTGCCATGTTCATGTACCAAACAAGAGCAGATAACTCAAATTCAAGTGCAAAAATAATCTAAACTTTGTGCTCCACTATCCCACAAGAACATCCCACTTGTCAATGGTAACCATTGGTATAGTCTTCATCTTCAAAGGTTCAGGACAATTGTCAAAAGTGGAAGTAATTATCATCTGAAGTTTACTGAGAAAACAGCATGTGAAATGCAGGGAACATAACATTTAAGCAGGGAGGCATCCCCATGGGCACCATTTATGACTGCCTTGAATCAAATTTGGTGGAACAGTCAACTAACCCGAGCATAGCACCAATTAAATGATAAGAATGTAACAGATAGATTCTTGATAGTGACGACTAGCACAGTTCAAGATTTTAAACTAATCATAATATAATACACAATTTAAGATAAACATAGGGCTGACACATTTATGACAATCATTTGATATTTATTCCGTATGTACAGGTAGGGGTGTGATGTGACACCTCATGACAAACAATACAGCAAAAGTTAAGACAAGCAAACAGGCATTTTTCTTACAAAGCAATGTAGGATCTACGGCTAGTGGACTTAAAAGCTACGGATTACGGTACAGATCCTTTGAATATATGCTATCATCTTGACAGTGAACAACCTCTACAATACAAGACAGACAACGGAAGGTGAACGAAAGGTTCGCACCTCGGTTGCAATGAAGAGGGCATTTGTTTTGCCTTGCAGTACAAAACAAAAGTGCCTCGATTTTGACCTTGGCGTTATAGATTCGCGCATCGTTTGTGATCAAGGAACAAACGTGCTACTGGCGCAACCGTGACGAAGAAGTTCCGCGCCGCGGTCTCTTTCAAGAGGGAAGTTTATTTTGAACAGTTGTGTACACGACCGTTATTGTATCCAACTAAGATAAACAAAAATGGTTTTGAATTTAAAGTTTTACCTAGTTTGAATACAACACTATTTACAATGGGACCAAAGCACTACTGGACCAGAAGCAGACAATGTAAGAACAATTGTATGTGCATTCACAAGGAAATTTAATTCAACAATTAACAAACATAAATACTTTGTACTTCATATAAGGAGTATAAATAAAATATTCATTAAATAGTATTTTCTCTTTTAATGCGTTTTATGTAACTCAACACTTCACAAATAAAACACAAACAGTACATTTTCCTTTTCTCCGTCATTAAGACTTCATCAGGATGTTTGTTTCTGTTTTATCTATCATTGCTCTGTAGTATATTTTTTCAAACAGCTTTCGATGAGGAGTGACCAGTTTAGTAATTTAAAATGGCAGCCATCAGCACAAATGGAAGTGTTGCCATTGAGACGTAAGCGGAAGTTGCACCACCACCAAGTCTTTTGTCTCGATTGAAGTTGTCGACATGGCATATTTTGTCAACGGTGCTCTTCAGACGCTCTTTACACACATCAGGGAGCAGGTTGCACTCCAGCTCCGTCCTGAGGCCCATTACAGCAGGGCTGCACGACTTGTGCTTCTTTTGGCCCCAAGCGTCAAGGTCACAGCCTACATGGTCAACACGAATCCTGAAATTAATAGGTTATGATTCATAATCATTCAAATGCGCCTTGTGAAAAGTAACATACAGTATTATATCTTCATACTTCGCTTTCGTTGCAACCTAGATGGTCATGCTCCTCTCGTTATTTAAGACATCGAACCTCATCTTGGCGCCTTGCTAGCCCTTAACCATTTTCAGCCTAATGAAAGTCATTCCAAGCCAACTTTGTTTACCTGTAAACTCAAATTCTATTTCTCACACCACACTAGTTGTGAGACAAAGTCTCAGTTTGACACAGGATCGTATAACAACTCCAAGAGTAGAATTTGGCCTGGGGTCGAGGAGTATGTCCTTCTTCAACACTGTAAAACTAACATATCGGTTTTTTTTGTTTCAAATAAGTCAGTAAATGCACTATCGAGTCCCTGGATTTTGTGGTCCTTCACCTGATTGTCTGTTTACAGCCCGCCATGGCATGGCAAGTGTGCTGCTGTGCGGAGTCAGGCGACAAACAAACACTCTTGTATGCAAATTGTGTCAGTGGCGAGTGCTACCGGTACGTCAGGTTGGTTGGTTGGTTTGTTGTTTAACGTCCCGCTCAGCAATATTCTAGCCATATGACGGCGGTCTGTAAATAATCGAGTCTGGACCAGACAGTCCAGTGATTAATATCATGAACATCGATCCATGCAATTGGGATCGATGCAATGCATCAACCAAGTCAGCGAGCCTGACCACCCGATCCCGTTAGTTGACTCTTACGACAAGCATAGTCTCCTTTTACGGCAAGCTTGGGTTGCTGAAGACCTATTCCACCCCGAATCTTCACGGGTCAGGGCCTGTCCTTTCCGCGAACACCTGGTGTCATCCATTCAATTTCCACCGCTATTTTGTCTTTTGCGCCCAATGGAATCAGTTTCGGCGGATAATCGAGATTAGTTATTCTTTGGCCTTGACGTTTTATATTGACCTTTTGCGCAGTTCATAGCATACGAAGAAAGTCCCAGGCACTGTCGACGTTGAATTTACCAAGAGTCAAAATGGTTTCTTAGAATATGTTATTTTAGAATAACATTGCACAGTCGAGAAGACAGTGGATATATCTACTTCACAATTCCGTGGTGTGCCAGCTTTTTGAATATCCAATGCGATAACGACTAGTGTGATTACAGTAAGCTTTACAGGCCGCCGAAGTATCTTTTACACATTACTGAAACGTAGGACACCATTGATTCACTGACTCACTGTACATATGAGTGTCTGATCAGGCCTCAAAATTTATTTTTTACCAAGTAACCGTATGGCTACAAGTATTTTCCCCCAGGTAGCCAGTGGTAAAATTTAGAAGTCAAACCAATAGTGTAGGTTGCCAAAAGCATTTGAACTTATCTTTCATTAAATAACTATTATTGTATATTAGTGGAAATTGTACTTGAGTACTCGAACAATGATGCAATTTATGTTAGTAGATTATATAGGTATATCCTTGCTTATCCAATAAACTATCAACTAAACTAAAATACTAATTACATTATTATTTATGTATTTCGGTTCATTACTGACTTAAAGAGGAATTATTTGCGAGTACAAGTAGTAGCAGACATGGTTTTTTTGTGTCTAAAGATGTGTAGCAATAGAATTTAGTCGCCACAAGATATTTTTCAAGGTAGTCATTTGGCCACCTCAGAATTTTAGACAGTAGACAAATTCAAAATTAGGTCGCATTGGCGACCGTTTTAGCCGCAAATTTGAGGCCTTAATGACGTGTAGCTGCATGATTATGTGCATGTATATGCATGTGTATGACTCACTGGCAGAATCTGTCCATGAACTGCTGCTCCTCCAGGTTCTCTTGCTGGGAGGCCAACATCAGCTGCACGGTGTCCTGGGTCTGTTTCTGCAGACATTGCATAACCGACTCGGTCTGCTCCGCGAAGCAATCAATACCGACAAGGTACACTGAAACAAACAATACAGATCACTTTCAGATTAAGGACGGTGAGTAGTCTCGTGGTAATCTTTCGTAGGCGGTTTCGAGAAGCTGGATACGGTTCAGCACGCTGAAATACGTGTGAAGTCCTTCATTGGTTATTGGTTATTGGTTATTTACTGTGTGTTCATTATTTTGTCTGCTCACTCAAACTGCAATCATCTCCCGAGATCCCGTTGCATTGGTTGCTAAAGACTAATTCTAACCCGAATCTCTCTCTCTCTCTCTCTCTCTCTCTCTCTCTCTCTCTCTCTCTCTCTCTCTCTCTCTCTCTCTCTCATATGTGTCGTAATTTTACATATTCCTATTTGAAACAAGACTCCAACCAGTCTATGACGTGGCCTGTCTCGGTGGTTTCGGTCCAAGGTTCTACTTACGATCAGTATGCTTGCACAAGACTCCAACACCTTTCTCCATGGAGTCAATGTCCAGACCAATAGCTCGCAGCACGATGGGAGACTCGGGACAGTCGTCTCGCCTCTTTTTCATACACATGACGAGTGCGTCCTTGTTTCTGGAATGAGACTTATGATAAAATCCCCGAACCCTAAAACATATTTCAGCACTATCGACCACGATCAAGTCCTAAGCCACCCGCCTCTGTAATGTGGCGTCGCCTGGAGGTCCTTACGTTTGTGAATTTACGCGAAATTGGTCTTCTGGTCTTGAGTTCGAATCACAGGCTAGCCTTCATTGTTAGTCTTGGTTTGTCAGCACCACACCGTGCTCGTAGGTTTCACAGCTGGGGTGTATACGCTCATCTATTCGCGAACACTTGGTATCATGCCTATTTCAAAGAGATTCATAGACACATGCTCGTGACCAAATATTTTCGAACCAATTTCGATAATCCTAGTTATCAATGTGCTTGCGTTGTGTGATTACGCCTTTGACCTCCAGATTATTATTTAAAAGGGTGACTCACTTGCAGAATGTCTGAGCCTGGTCATCTGTCGTCCCGATAACGGCGCCACGCCCCATTGTGGAATTGGACAGGAAAAGATCTGGGTCGAGGTTGGATTCAGTGTAGCAGTTACGTAAGTCTGTAGTCAGTGTTTGACGACAAGCTGCGGGTTGGCAAGAAAGTCAGGTGAAATATTGATCATAAAATATTTCAAAGTTCCATAGTTTGCAGAAGTGTTTCCATAGTTTGCAGAAATACTTCCAAAGTTTGCAGAAATGTTTCCAAATAAATGTTCCAAAAATGCATTGTGTAGAAACATATGCCTGCTCAGAATTACAGGAGCTACAATAGTCCTTGGTGTTTGTCTTTCAATTATTACATTACGGTTATTTTTAAAAATGACGAGGAAAACTAAAGAGAAAATTAAGCAGTATATTGACAATGCAATGAAATCATGAATGACTGTTTTAACTGACTCGGTTTAACATTTAAATTAGTTGACTAAAATGTAAGACAACGCATCCTTAAACCAGCAAAACGACCCACAAGAAACACCTATCCCTTCACGATTGACTGGTTGCGATGCGAAAACACCTTTATTTCAAGTGGACGTGTGTGAAGCCCATGTCTGGTGGCATAGCTGGAGTATTCCTTAAGGCGGCGTAAAACCATACTCACTCACATATATTGAACCCAGATATGCAGATTTTAGATATAATGAGTATGAATTTACACCTCGGTTTATTTTAACACTATTCCATCAATATCACGGCGAAGAGCGCTTTAGAAATGGGCTTCACTCATTGTACCTATGCAGTGAATGCAACCCAGTGCCCTGTTCCACAAAGCGATCTTAGCCCTACGACTACCGTAGGCCTGTGTTAAAGTATGGGAGTTACGATCATCTTAGCCCTAAGATCGCTTTGTGCAACAGGGCCCTGGTCTGTGACGAGCGGACGCTTTAACCACAAGGCTACCCCACCGCCCCAGACATGCTGGAGACAACAACGCAGTTTCTGCCTCATACTCCAACCAGCCACTGGTGCGAGCTGTTCAGGTCAACAATACAAAGGATGTGGCACTTACGATGGGCACAGATTTGATCAAATGATCCAAACAAAGCCCGGAACTGACGGTCAATGAGGGGGCGCTGGTCCTCGGACTGGGTCGGGCTGGAATTGCACATTGAGGCGTTTATCAGTTCCCTCATGAACTCAATGCCACACTTGACAAGGGCTTCTTCTTGACTGAAAAAAATATCATACATTCAGATTGTTGGATACAAGGGTTAAAACCCAATAATGATTTAACAAAAAAAGAATTGCTATCGTGTGTGGCAATGGCTGCTTTATATACTATTATTGTTAAATATATTTTGTATTATCGACCACTGGTTTACTCGTTTCAGATGTCAGTCCACAAAATCACAATAATAATATTATTATTCTACAGATTAAAAGAATTAAATGCAGCAAAGAGGATTTGGGTGATCCTGGCACAGTCAGGATGGTTAGGCTCATCATCAGCTCAGGGCCCTTGCTCCCTCTACACGCAGCTGAGTCGGCGAATGGGACTTCCCACAGGAAGCGCTGCCTAGTCAAACCCAGAACCTTTCGGAGAATGTGAAGACTCCCCAACACTGCAGCTTCTTGCATTACCCAAATTGTCAGAAGGACTGTATTCATGGCAGCAGACCGTGGTCAGACAATAGATTGGGAGGTGCCAAACCTAAGGCACCGAGAACAATAGGGAGTCGGACAACTTGGTACTTGGGACGTAAGCGTGATATTTCGAAAGCGAGGTTCGCACATTTGCCATGATTTTCATGAATCTCATCAATCACAATAGTGACGTAAAGAACAGTAAATTCAATTATATAAATTCTTTCGTTGGATTTATCAAAAAGGACAAGATCAGGTTTGTTGGCCTGGATAGGTCTGAGGCTGTATACGGGCCTATTCTAAAGAATTATATCATTTTCCATGATGACCACTACATATTCTGGGTCGTACCATGGATGGACCTCTGTGTCGAAACCACAAGCATGGCGAAGACGGTAATATAAGAATCGAGCCACTCCATCATGTCGCTTAAGATACTGTGTTTGTACCAAAGCTGGGCATCCACTGACAATGCGTCGGACAGTCTCATTAAATTCATTGCATAATCTACATTTCATGTTTTAATTTTGATGCAAAATCACACATTGATGGTTTCGAGCGGGAAGTAACTGGTCTTGAACAGCAAACAGAAAGCCTTCTGTTTTACTTTTTATAGGCCAGCCGGACTTCATCCAGGCGAGGGACTCTGCAAGGTTGATGAATTTCTCAACACACTGCACATAAACTCGATGTAGTGTTCGTTCAGATAGCCTCTCCTTGTAAAAACTGAGTCTGGTCTGATTTGATATGGCCCTTCGCTTGGGTGACACTCAGCACTTCAGAAACATCAACAAAATCAACATTGACATTGAAATTATGTCCCACATCCTTGGCTCGGTTAAGAAAACCGTGGACTGCCTTGTTTTCATCATGAGTCTTGACATGTTTCAAAAGAGGATCATCAGACAAATAAATGTGTGCAAAAGTGCAAAATACAATTCTATCACGAAGAGCCTCCAGGGTCTTCAAACCACACCCTCCCATTATGATTGGTAATTATAAGCGATTGAGGGAAGATTGTTTGACATGATTCTTCGTGTCAAGGACGGGTACAGCATAAGAATATGTGGCCGTGACTTTATTGCGACATCCCCCAGTTAGGACTACCCCCCACCCCCAGCCCCGCACCCCGAAGCTGGTTAACACTCGGTTACAGAACGCAATGGAGAAAATCATCTGTCAACTCCGCAGCCCAGCCCGCCTCCCTCCGGTATACAAACCATCCAAAAAGGAGATGGTATTTGCCTTAGGGGGAGGCGCAGAGACCATCCATGAATATCAACTCAAGTCCAAACTTCTTGAGTGTGCGAAAGCAACAGGATGTTATTATTATTATTGTTTTGCTTTTAATATTATTATTATAATTATGGTTCCCCAGTACTCACCCACAAGCCTGTTTTTTGAAGGTGTTGGGATCAGTGTTGTTTGGAGCTTGACCATTGGTTCTGTTTGTGACCAACCAGAGAAAGTTGTTCACGTCCATGTTGCTGCTGCCGACACAGGCGTACAACCGCTGCAGAAACGTTTGCTGGCACGTGGTCATTCCAGTGGTCTGCGCGGTTGCCATGGAGAAGAGTGTCATGACAACACAACCTAAGTGGTGATTGTGAATTGAAAATTTGATTTTTATAATATAAAATGTAATTAAGATTATTAGTGAACAGGTTCTGCCGGCACTACGCTCATGGTGGAAACACGTGACAGGACGCAATATTTACAACAATCTGTCCTTCACTTCCGGTATACGTGTGACACTATGACCTTCAAGCATCACTATCATTTTCATGTACGTCGCACATTTGGTTGAAATAGAAACGTCAATGAAAATGCCGCATGGAAATAGTCTGTACAATTTTTACACAACCGATACCAAGGCATATATTGCTGGTAGTATGATGATGATGAATGTGACCTTATTATGTGACCACAAAATCCAATGACATCGCATCAGCGTTATTTTATCTTTCTTTTTCGATCTATTTATCTGTAATATAGCCTAGAGCATTCGTAAATAGGTGGTTCACAAACATTCATAAGGTGGATAAGTGTAAAATACAGTTCTAGTTTTGTATAGAGTATATCAACTACTTTTTGTACGGATACTTTCTTAATGTATTAAGATATAATGTTATCACATTGTAATATACTGTCATTTACATGTGATTAACATAGGTTCCTTGTGGAAAGTTAAAATGTACTTGTACTCAAATTAAACTTTTGAAACGACGCATGCACTGGTTGGAAAATGCAACTTAAACAAAATTTAGCGCATAGAAACTTTTGTCGAACAGGTAAGCATGTCCTCCTCTACCGGTAGCTTCCGCCACTCACAATATTTGAATAACAGTAAGTCTTAAAGTTCAAGCACTGCTTACCTGTTATGAGTTTTGCCAACATCTTGGTGTATCCTGTGGAGTATTGGCGTTTCCAACCCTTGTGAAACACTGGACTAAAAGAACATAGATACTTTCATTTAAAGATTTTAATGTGTAATCCAACAGCATGTGACGTAATTGAATGAAAACGGAGGCAACCAATCAAAGTAGAACATAATATGACGTCACTGATCCTGAACGTCAATCGTGAGAGAGGGTTGACAGCTGATGAGTCTAATTGATTACTTCTGGGTACTGGGGATGACCTGAGGCAAGGCGACACTTGTGATAAGAACTGGATATGATAACTTATGTAGCATTTACAGATTTAATAAATCACACCAATTAGTTTACTTGAACATTATTTGAAATATATTTTCTGACAACTTCAGGTGCATCGAACTTTGCAAAATGCTAATCAGAGTAACATGTATTATAAGTAACTATGTAATACAATGCATAACGTTAACCATGAAATTTTCTGCATTCAAACATTACGGGAAATATAATTTCATATTACTATTAATTGACATGTCGCAATCAATCATTTTGATCTAATCCAGATTATTATTATTTTCACAATCAATTCAGACTTATTAACAAAATAGATGTCATCCTCTGCAAAAAAGCGACCAATTCTGAACGAATCCGATTTTCAAAATAAATTAACCTTCTTTATCAGTCGGTTTCTTTATATTTCAAATATGATACATTACGCAGCTGCTTATCATGAAAAAACAACGAAAAACATCACGACATAGAAACGTAAAAATATTTTTGTAAACTACAGATAACTACGTATAACGAACACGATGATAACGAACTGGCCGATATAATGAACTTATTTTTTAGTCCCGGCCATTTGTTGTATATATGCTGTATTTATGCTTATGACAAACAACGGTTATTACGAACTAAAATAAGTGGTTCCTTTGAGTTCGTTATAACCGTAGTTTACTGTAGAATCAAGGATGGCATCAAAAATGTTTTATATGAAAACAACGATAGATTACAGCACTGTTTGCTTAAATTGTTTAAACTAGCTCGTTTTCTTCTTTGCGTAATCATGAAGTAACAAGGAATTATCAAAATAAACTTGGATCCCGATCATGTTAATATTTTTTAAGATAGTGAAAACAATTAAATTATTTCCAATGTCTACCACACATATACTTTTTCTTATAAGTATTTTCTGACACAGGAAACTGAGCAATATAACCATCTTAATGTATTTCTAATAAGTCTTTGTTTACATGGTTGCTCTGTTCGTCCATGTTTTGGTGGATGGATGTCTCCCCCGCCTCATGGGTGCAACAACACTCCTTGCTGTCGCCTGAAGGTAATTAGAGGTCATTTAGAAGTTTCTCACGAAACCTTTCGATACTAAGCTATAAATACGGAATCAAATCATTCTGGTCCAAGAGAGCAATGGTTGCGTACATGTTAATTTTAAAGAATTATTGAATGTGTATTGGGCACGGAATGTAATTCTGATAATATTTTGCGTACATCATTTGAGTACCTCCTGTCTTGAGCAATGCATAAACATCTAAACCTTACTTCATCAATGTGATTTAGTGATGGCCTTAAGGTAACTATCAAGAATAGCAGAAAACGTCATCACTTTTTGTGCAGTGGTATGACGTCATTTTGCATCCGATCTTTTGAGAACAAGTTGCACTGTGGGAAATATATATACATAATTTGGCGCCATGGCATCCTTCCCATACCTGTAGATACTAATTATTTTATAACAAATAAGGGAAATACAGATTATGAATTAAATAAAAGACGTATGTACATATCTTTATCTATCTATGCCTTTGATTAAATTTATTATAAGCGAAGCGTAGAATTAACACAACATAAATGTTGTCATTGCTGTGGGCTCTCACCCATACCCCACGTGATACCCATACATGAATGCCCCATGGCTATCGCTGACTGGTGTGTAAATTGTGTGGAGAGAATGTGTGACACATCACCTGGATACGTAGATGCTGACACTGATACAGATGACCATATGCCCATAATCTGTCTCCGTCCCTCAAAACAGGAAGTCAACACTTGCATACCTTCATTGATAAGACTTTTCACTTCCTTGTTCAGTTGCTGGATTGTTGGCTATTGGTGTAAATAGAGTCGATAAAACCCTTCCACAATCATAATAATATTAAACTTAAAAGCCAGAGAATTACCAGTATCGATTATCCCTCGAAAGGCAAAATATAGGTAAATAATATATGATTGGATCACTGAAAATCAGTCATAACATCCTGTGTTCGCGAAAAGAAAAATATATCTGCCAAGAACAGAATTTATTGTATGATTCGGGCTATGTTAAAAGCATGCATTTATGAATCACTTTAAAACAGTGACGATGCCATGTGTCGCCTTCTACTCCGGTGGCACTTCTCACAAACACACGCAAAGGCAAGTCAAGTGTTCACTTGAACATCAACATCAACCATTTTGTATTGTTACGCTCATAAAATATGTAAAATATGACAACAGGTGTTCGCGAAAAGGGAAATGGCTAAATATCTCAATTCATCTGATATTTATAGTATTCAATAGATAAATAAATCCTGTGATGTTATATTCTTCCGATGTCTGGGTTTATTCCCTGGTAGAATGCATGTAATGATTCCAGGTTACGATGCCGCTATGGTGCATATTTTGTTACATTTGCGGAAATGGCAGCAGTGGGTTTGATGATCATGTCGCAGTATTTGTAATCAGAATACAGAAGATTGGTGCTCTTTCGTATGTGTGTTATTGTATAAGAGAAGACCACTCTGCAGTGCTATATAAAGTATCAGACATGTCAAGGAAGGACAAACACTGATTACGTGTCATCAGTAGACATACTGTGTCATAGAAGCACTTGCTGTCATTTTAACCACAAGAAAATGAAACGTTAACAAAGATCATAAATGTATTCTAACCCGCTTTTTTGTAGCTAACTGTTCTGTTCAGCAACTTAAAATGTTACATGTCTCTGGTTAAGATAACCATCAGAGACTAAAACAGAAAAGACACGTAAGATTGTTTGTGGGATCCCAGTTGACAGCACTTTTAGTGAAATCCGGAAGTTGTACTTTTACTTAATTCATAGCTGAGATCCGGAAGTTTTCCAAACTGATGCCACTATTGATTCCTCTGAGTAACTTGAATCAAGAGGTGAGACGATGCTTACCTGTAACCCAGGAGACTACACATGAAGACTTTACGTTTGTTCATATGGTATGCAAGCATGTTTTTTGTTTCATTAGGAAATGTTTGAAACACTGCACTATTTTTGTGGTTATGACCATGTGGTTGCGTGTATGTTTTATATGATTATGGTGATGCGTGCATCACTGTTTAACCATATACTCCGAAGATTTCCACTGTAATGAAATTGAAGACCAACAACTTGTTTATGAACAAAATATATTTTTATTAAAAATAGTTCTACACTAACGGAATCATATTTACATGTATTGCATATGCACGGCATCAATTGAAATAGGATTTAGGAATGTACAAGACTATTGTATGTTCTTGATTTACGAAAGCAAATGAAAGCTTGGGAGATCGATGGGACATGAAGCTATGTACAACAATGGGTTGGCGATCCTGGATTGTCGGATTGTATTGTGGTAATGCCAAATAAAAGGAGAATGAAATTCTTCATGGCCGTCATACTCCATTTTTCTGTCAACGCTGATCAACTTTATCAGATTTCGGGCCAGATTTTGTGGATTTACTTGAACTTAAAGCCATTCACTCGGTTGAGAAAAGTCCAGCTATGACCAAGATGGCGAGAGTCGACCACGTGACCATGACGACTCCGGCGCTTGCGTATTGCTCACGTTCGTTCAGGTGGAAGTTCATTGGATTGCAGAGTCTCTGGTACTGTTGCGGGTGTGTCTGCATACAGAGACTAGGGAGGATCTTGCATTCTAATTCGTTCCTCAGACCAATGACGGCTTTGTCACATCTGTCGTGCTGACGGCGGGCCCAGGCGCCCAACTCACAGTCCACCTGCTGAAGACGAACGCTGGAAAAACGAACAACACTCTTGTTAGTTTCCCAATCAATGGGCCAAAATAATCTCTATCAATTGATGAGGATTTCGATAAATCCCGTGGAAACAATATAGTTTACTTCAGAAATAATATGAAACAGTTGTATTGTTTGCAAAAATTAAAGAATTGGAATCAGGATCTTTTGAACAAATGTACTGAAAAAGCTGGAGGAATAGACTGATGTGTTACAAACTAATGATGTCCCATGGTATCAGAATGTACTGCTAAAGGGTCGTGCACAGTTGACAGATACCACCTGACTCCAGAAAAGGTTGTTAAACCCTGACCAGTTAATACGAACAAATCTATGCATTATAATAGCGTGTCAGTTTCATGTTGGAATAAATACCGAGGTGTAGCAGGTTTTAGACTTTTCACACTTTGATGAAACCTAAGAGCAGGGGTAAGTTGCTGACAAACCTAGAAACATAATCGAATCTGGTATTCGAACCCATGATCATTGCATTCTGACACGCGTAAGGGGCGCAACAAGTGAATACCGGTGCCCTAGACGACTTGGTTACATGTGCCCCCCCAATTTAGTAATAGATAACGGATTATTGCACTAATTCTCCGAGGTACATCTGTGGACAGGTACGCACGTGCAGGTCTGCATCTTGAACTGCTGTTCTTGCATGGTCTGTTGCAGGAGGAGCTTCATGTTCTGCATCTTCATGCTTCCATCCTGGAGGCACATCTTCACCTCGGGGGTGGGGCTGGTGAAGCACCCGATACCGGCCAGGTAAACTGAAGGAGGAATGCTTCAGTTGAATAATTCAGAAACGACACATCATAAGATAAAATCAGAGACCTTAAAAGAGACATGTGATCTGAACTACACTACGTGAAGCGCTGGTAGCAGTATCACACAGCCTGAACCCTTCAGCGAAGAGTTTACACTGCTTTTGTCCAAGAAGACATTGACCGTTGTGAAAACACTAAGGAACTATTGTCCTACAAGAATATCTTAAGGTTGTTAGATGTAATTAAACTCATCGGTCGACCTCTTGATTCTTATAGATTAAATTTCAGTTGGTTTATCAATGTTTTGTACTGTGAACAAAGAATTGAACAACTGTTACCTCTTGGTGCCTGGCAGAGCGTCTCAATTCCCTTCTCCATTGACAGGATGTCCATTCCTATTCTATAGAAGACAGTGGCGGCATCGGGGCACATCTGGGACTTCTGACGAATACACTGCATAAGCATCTGTCGGTTGCTGCAAGAAACAGTCGAAGAAAGATGTAGGCGAAGGTCAACGTCAGTCATGATTGTTTGACGATATGACGTTTATTCTTATGATTCAAATTAAATTATGCAACTTTATTTTTTTTGTGAAAAGGTTTTGCGGTTGAGGGAAATAAAGTGAAGTTTATGCATTTAGAATGAGATGGCTTGTTAATTTTCTTTGGGATAAAGTCAATGTGATACTTTGGTGGAATATCATGTTTTGCAGTTGAAAGTGTTAATTAACGTAATCCATTCAAAATGTATAGTGATATTGTAAGTGTACATACTTGCAAAATTTGAAGACCTGATCTTCATTTGTACCAATGACTGCTCCCTGGCCCCATGCACCATCAACGAAGGTCCTTGGGTCGAGGTTATTGTAACTGAAGCACTGACGAAGTTCATCCAGAAGCGTGTATCTGCAGGCTGAAATGGATGATCATTTTAACATTCTGCTTGTATTTTCCTAACGAAGATAAAGTGATTTGAAATTCATTTCTTATACAATTTTGTTTATGTATTGAGATGTTTTGCTTTCATGTTGAATCATGCTAAATAACGGAAGTACTTCAATGGAGGTAGAGTTTCAACACCGAAAGTCTTTTAATAGTGATTTAAAATAGTTTGTAAGACTCACGATGGGCACAAATCCTGTCGTATTCCCCAAAGATATTCTTGGCCTTGAGCATCAGCTGTTGTTTGTCCAAGGCGTTCATGCAGAGTGAGCTGTTGACCAATCTTGACGAAACCAACTGACCACACTGGTCAATCTGAGGACGGAGGCTACGAGAAGAAAGAATTGTTTATTGAGTGAGTGATTAGGGTGTGATGCTCCAGCATTATGCCAGCCACATCACCGCAGGGAACACAGTAAAGGGATATCACACATTGTCCCCAGGTGGGGAATTAAACCCGGGTCCTCTGCGTGACAAGCGAACGCGTTAGCCACCGACCTACATATGCTCCCCCATTCTTTACTGACTTCAAGACTTATTGGAGTTAGAGTTTCTAACATTGCATGCAGCATTGTTGCATTATTGTAGCCGTATTAGAGTATAGAAAACAGATTCTGGAAACAGGAATATGGAATATGGAACCGGTGTATTCTTTGCCACAGGAGTGGAGATTACTTCTCTAACATTCTAAGGAAAGGTAATATGGGATCATAATGTTTTTTCAAAACATATACATGGAGGATTTCTGTTGAGGATTTCTAATACGGTGAAATCTCATCACTCCTGATCCGTTTGTTCGGACGATGACTATGAGGAACGTCTTCATATCTACACTGGACATTAACACAGACTCGTTAATCCGAAGATTCGTTATTCGGACGATTATACTGGGAACGGTACCGTCCGGATTAACGGGTTTCCCTATACATGCGACATATGCCGGTTCTAACATTGGATGGGGCACCGATAAACGCAAGAGATGTAGTCAAAGCACACATACTTGCAGGCTCGGAGCTGGAACTGTTGTATTCCTTCGGGGGGCATTTGGCCGGAGGTGCCATTGCTGGTGATGTAGGTCAGGTGGTTAAAGTTGATGGACCCGTTCTGGACACAGCTCATCGCGCTTGCCAGGAACGTTCTCTGGCATTGTGTCGCCTGTTGGTTTTGTTGGCCCCGGACTTGTGTCGTCACGGCCAGGAGGACGAGGGCTGGAGGTGCAAGTGGAGAATTAGTGAATGAATTCGGCTATATTTCGGAGGCAGCCATAGATAGGTTCGTATATTGTACCCATCTGTAAAAGGTGAGTGAATTATTCTGGTTTTAAGCTGTAGTTATCAATATTCCAGCAACAATATGATCGAAATGAATTTCACACGTGAAATGTGAATGGATCGGTATTGAGCCACACTGTATTTAGTCATATGCCAAACAACTACACGTAGAAATGGGTTTAGCACATTGTACTCTTGCCACCCTAACTCCAAACTAGGATGTTTATCTTTTTCGTATTGTTCGCAAAATATAGATATCATATTTGTAGAGAGTTCAGCTATTTTAGGTCTCCCACTGTTCTTTCCAAAGTATGTTTATAATGAAGATATAATTCGTCAAGTTCAGATATGTTAATGCTTAACGTTTGTTTCAGCAGGTTTTTTTGTTATTGAAAGTGTCGGTAAAGTAGAAAAGATTGATATAGGTATTAAACGTTTAATTGAAAAATTGTTAATGAAAGTTACCCTTTAATATCAAAACTGTTGAAATATTTCGTCTGGAGATATAGTAATAGACTGCAGAGCACAGTACCACTCGTCCATGTGAAGGGTTTTTCTTTACGAAAAAACAAATCAAACAAGTCAATTTCACTCACCAAGTGCGAATCTGTAATCCATTTCACCGTTGTTGTACAAGAGACCACGAAGTTGGAATGGTCATGTTCAGGTCATGTGAGGCTTATATACCCGTGTGTTAAATGTACGGAATGTTAATCATGCGTGAGGTATTTCTATTGATCTATATCCATCATTAACGAAACAGACACGTGTGTCATCGCAACAGAATTAATCGGGTGAAATATGGCTGTATTAATTAATGACTGACGCGTGCTCGTTACCACTAATCACTCTGCTGTACGATAATATCAGAAGTGTGCCCGCTGTAGTCCACGATTGCAATTATTGACGTAACTTTCGGTATGCCGTTGTGTCCAGCGGGCTCTGTGTTGGATCATCATAACTTTAATAAGAAATGGCGCCTGTTGTTTTGTTTTTTTGTGTGGTTTTTTTTCGGACAGAATTTTATTCTTAGCCTGATACCTTATACACCTGTCTCAAGTGGAGTTTTCTTTACATGTAAAGATTTAAAAATAATATCATATCAGATTTGATTTCTTTTCTTTTTAGTTTGAAATTTAATATTTCTGCATTTAGATCGTCATGCAATTAATATGTTGATATGTTGATAGTAAGAAATCATATTGATATGATATGTTGTTCTGGCAACCGATACAATATACAGTAAAGTACGGTTATAACGAACTCAAAGGGACTACTAATTTTAGTTCGTTATAACCGTAGTTCGTTATAAGCATATATACTGCATAACTACAGCAAATAGTCGGGACCAAAAAAGTAAGTTCGTTATATCCGTCAGTTCGTTATAAGCGTGTTCGTTATTACTGTAGTTTTACTGTAATATGAAATGATATGACAAAATTTCTGGTGTTCTGTTCTCGAAGTGTGATGAAATATTAGATCATTACCATTCCCCCTTGAATATGTATCGCAGTTTTAAAGAAACAATTTGAACGGATACTATTTTTGTGTTGTCACATAATCCATGTCATCATAATTGTTGTGGATCTTTTCGCTTCAGTTATCTTTCGTCACAATTATATTTGTTCCAGCATGTATACTATCACTCGGTTATTTCAACAAATATGTCCTTTTTCAGTATTTTCATATACAGTAAACTACGTGTATAACGAACACGCTTATAACGAACTGACGGATAACATGAAATGTGTTTTGATCCCGTCAATTTGCTGTATATTTGCTGCTTGTATGCTGTATATATTCTTATGACGAACTACGGTTATAACAAACTAAAATTAGTGGTCCCTTTGAGTTCGTTATAACCGTAGTTTACTGTATTTGTGGTCTTATTAACAGTTTCTGGGGGTTGGGTACAATGGTGTACCTTGTAATTGGTACAAAACACAATACTTTTCTGGATGATTAGTCACGCCAATGTAGTGTTTGTCATGGTTATCTGAATGGTGTTTGCAAGAATGTTTTAATTGGATTTTAAGTTCTCAATTATTTATTCATTTCAAACAATCTTCTTTAATGTATGTGTACAGAGTGATGTGGTGCTGGGAAACCTATGAGACAAGGTTGCTGTGACAATATAATACTGTAAGTGCGTGAATATGGTTTAACGCCTCTTTTATCAATATTCCGGCCGGGACACTAGAAATTGAACCCATGTGGAAAATCGAACGCCGCCCTTCGGCGTGACGAGCGAACGCTTTCACCACCGGGCTCACCCCGCCGCCCCAGTACAGGTACAGCTTGTGGAAAAAGGAGGGGTGCGTTTTGCGACAACAAGTTATACTTAATGAATGCCAATGAACCCCGAAGCTGTTTGTGTTTTACAGTTGCGTTGTATTTGTGTGTTTGTTTTCTGGATCACCGTTAAGACAATAAAACTCCTAAATGTCTAAATATCTGGAAGGTTCGAAATCACACCCCCAGACCCTCTCTCCCCACCCCACCCCACCTCGCCTACGCCGCTCTCCCCACCCCACCTCGCCCACACCCGCTCTCTCTACCCACTCCTCCCGCACCAGCTCTCCCCACCCGACCTCGCCCACACTCGCTCTCCCTACCCTCCACGCCCTCACCCCTCTCTCTACCCTCCCCTCCCGCACCAGCTCTCCCCACCCCAAGGGATCCGCGTTTGTTGTGGTTCAATTTGCTTATTCTCCGTGTCATCTCTCCTGAATGCGTACAACAAACAGTGCATGGTTACTGGTGCAGTTAATGTAAGTTACAGCGTAATATCTATTATACACGGGATAAGATGTGACCATAAGGTGTTGACTTCCTCTGTTGTATTGTCCAATGCGACTTAATCATACCCAGCCGGGGGCACAAGCATGGGGCAGTCCCGGTCCCAGGGGGAGAGGCGATGATTCAGTGTCCTCTTTCTATGGGCACGTGACTGTGATGAGTCAAGTAAGTCCTCCAGGTAAACATTCTAAGAAGTTAGAAAATTTTAGTCAAGAAGAATGAATGCATTCATTGATCATGACGTACGGTTAGTCATTATAAAAGAGCTCTACCAGTACAGCGACGCCTCAGAAACGGATACAAGGGCGGTCAGGTCGCCTAGTGGTTAAAGCGCGCGCTCGTCACGCCGAAGGCCCGGGTTCGATTTCCCACATGGGTACAATATGTAAAGCCCATTTTTGGTGTCCCCTGCCGTGATATTCTGGAATATTGCTAAAAGCAGCGTAAAACCATACTCACTCACTCACTCAAACCCGGCTATCCCCGAAGCTGTCCCCTGATGTACATTCATATATCGAATAACAAGAGATTAACAAAATATTGTCCACAAACTGCCGGGCAAAAGAAAGTATATACCCATGTTTGATGTTGACTAAAAAGTTTAGAAAAACTGTTGTTTCTGTTTAAGTCCAACCTATCCGCGTCGTATCTTAGAATGTTTCGTTGACTGTTATTAAAGTCATTCAAACGCTCATGTCGTGATTCCTCCAGACCGATAAGCACTTGATACACGTACACCTATTACGGCCACCCGAAGTTACAGTAAATATACATTGCGTGTTTGTTGGGATCATGATACTCACACACGTGGTGTCGGAACGTGAACAGCATACAATGATCGTTTGGCTAGCAGGTGCTCATAAAAATGTTCATCGAAACACAATGTCCACAATGTGTTGTTATTGTTATATTGCTCTGAAGGAACTACTTGTCACAGTGTTATTGTCATGATGTTATTGTGATATTACGATATAAGAACTATTTACTATGTACACCCTGATGAGATCGAGCCCTGGGTGTGTATCCACATGTTATATTAGAGTGTCACTAAAACACGGTTGTTGTATTTGCTATTCAGTTCACCGTTTCACTGTTCAGTCTGAAGTAGTATTAACATTCCAAATAATGCCTAGTATACAATTCCCTATTTTCACTTGTACCATATGTTCCCGTTTTTTTCAGTTATCAATTGACTTTCCTTTGCATGTGTTTGTGAGGGGTGCGACAGTATACAGTACATATATTAACATAACAGTCATCCGGCGTATATACAGTACATTTATTAACATAACGGTCATCCGGCGTATATACAGTACACATTTTAACATAACGGTCATTTGGCGTATAAACACTACAAGTATTAACATAACAGTCATCCGGCGTATATACAGTACAAGTAATAACATAACGGTCGTCCGGCGTATATACAGTACATATATTAACATAACGGTCATCCGGTGTATATAGACTACAAATATTCACATAACGATCATCCGGCGTATATACAGTACAAATATTAACATAACGGTCATTTGGCGTATATACACTACAAGTATAAACATAACAGTCATCCGGCGTATATACAGTACAAATATTAACATATCGGTCGTCCGGCGTATATACAGTACAAGTAATAACATAACGGTCGTCCGGCGTATATACAGTACATATATTAACATAACGATCATCCGGCGTTTATACAGTACATATATTAACATAACGGTCATTTGGCGTATATACACTACAAGTATTAACATAACAGTCATCCGGCGTATATACACTACAAGTAATAACATAACGGTCGTCCGGCGTATATACAGTACATATATTAACATAACGGTCATCCGGTGTATATAGACTACAAATATTCACATAACGATCATCCGGCGTATATACAGTACAAATATTAACATAACGGTCATTTGGCGTATATACACTACAAGTATTAACATAACAGTCATCCGGCGTATAAACAGTACAAATATTAACATAACGGTCGTCCGGCGTATATACAGTACAAGTAATAACATAACGTTCGTCCGGCGTATATACAGTACATATATTAACATAACGATCATCCGGCGTTTATACAGTACATATATTAACATAACGGTCATTTGGCGTATATACACTACAAGTATTAACATAACAGTCATCCGGCGTATATACAGTACAAGTAATAACATAACGGTCGTCCGGCGTATATACAGTACATATATTAACATAACGGTCATCCGGTGTATATAGACTACAAATATTCACATAACGATCATCCGGCGTATATACAGTACAAATATTAACATAACGGTCATTTGGCGTATATACACTACAAGTATTAACATAACAGTCATCCGGCGTATAAACAGTACAAATATTAACATAACGGTCGTCCGGCGTATATACAGTACAAGTAATAACATAACGGTCGTCCGGCGTATATACAGTACATATATTAACATAACGATCATCCGGCGTTTATACAGTACATATATTAACATAACGGTCATTTGGCGTATATACACTACAAGTATTAACATAACAGTCATCCGGCGTATATACACTACAAGTAATAACATAACGGTCGTCCGGCGTATATACAGTACATATATTAACATAACGGTCATCCGGCGTATATACAGTACAAATATTAACATAGCGATCATCCGGTGTATATATACAGTACAAGTATTAACATAACGATCATCCGACGTATATACAGTACAAGTATTAACATAACGATCATCCGACGTATATACAGTACATATATTAACATAACAGTCATCCGGCGTATATACAGTACAAGTATTAACATGACGATCATCCGGCTTATATACAGTACATATATTAACATAACGGTCATCTGGCGGATATACAGTACAAGTATTAACATAACGATCATCCGACGTATATACAGTACAAGTATTAACATAACGGTCATCCGGCGTATATACAGTAAATATATTAACATAACAGTCATCCAGCGGATATACAGTACAAGTATTAACATAACGGTCGTTTGGCGTACATACAGTACAAATATTAACATAACAGTTATCCGGCGTTTATACAGTACATATATTAACGAAACAGTTATCCGGCGTATGTACAGTACATATATTAACATAACAGTCATCCGGCATATATACAGTACAAGTATTAACATAACGGTCATACGGCGTTTTTACAGGACAAATATTAACATAACAGTCATCCGGCGTTTTTTGCAGTACAAATATAAACACAACGTCGTATTCACAGTAAATAGAAATAAGCCTCTTTTCTGACGTCGCAAAGAATGATTTTATGCATATTTTTTTTCTATTTCCATCGACGGATGTCAGCAATAGTAAGTATACCCTCAGGGTATCACAACACGTACATAGAATAACGCCCTAATCAATTAGCATTACAGCCAAATTAACGCTTAGATCATACTCCCCCTTAAGGAAGGCGTATGCGTCACGAGAATACAGTTGGTGTCTCGTTGACCTTTTGGCTTAGTTTCTGCAGTCTGCGTATGGGAAAACAGGTGACATTGATCTACCACTTCGTCTAAAATGTTGAACTTTATGTCAAAGTGTTGACTGGATTGTCCAATCATGTATAAGGAATATTATTTCCGTAATTATGGGAACAACTTTGAAAACTTGTAGATTGATATGTCATATCAGTATGACTCTTCACATTCGGAGGATGAGTGTTAGCGTCATGTTGTGGTAGTGTATGTGAAGTGTTTGATAGGCATTGATCAGTTGGAAGAGAGCGTGAATTTTTTAGGAATATCTTTTTTATTGTTTGTAACGACGATTGAGGGCTTCTTCTGGGCCTATCGCGATTACAAACAATAAAGACATTGTTATTCATAAATGTTTTATGTTTTTCAAGAGATATTACCCCATGGGAACACTTTGTTATGTTATTGTGATATTATTATACAGAAGATATTTGTTATGGTGTTATTGTGATATTACTATACAGAAAATATTTGTTATGGTGTCATAGTGATATTACGATGTAGGAACTATTTGTGATGATGTCATTGTGAAGTTACGATATAGGAACTATTTGTGATGGTATTATTGTGATATTACGATATAGGAACTATTTGTGGTGATCTCATTGTGAAGTTACGATATAGGAACTATTTGTGACGGTGCTATTGTGATGTTGCTCTAAAGGGACTATTTGTCACGGTGTTATTGTGATATTGCTCTAAAGGGACTATTTGTCACAATGTTATTGTCATGATGTTATTGCGATATTACCATATAGGAACTATTTGTGATGGTGCTATTGTAATGTTGCTCTAAAGGGACTATTTGTCACGGTGTTATTGGGATATTATGATATAGGAACTATTTGTGGTGATCTCATTGTGAAGTTACGATATAGGAACTATTTGTGACGGTGCTATTGTGATGTTGCTCTAAAGGGACTATTTGTCACGGTGTTATTGTGATATTGCTCTAAAGGGACTATTTGTCACAATGTTATTGTCATGATGTTATTGCGATATTACCATATAGGAACTATTTGTGATGGTGCTATTGTAATGTTGCTCTAAAGGGACTATTTGTCACGGTGTTATTGGGATATTATGATATAGGAACTATTTGTGGTGATCTCATTGTGAAGTTACGATATAGGAACTATTTGTGACGGTGCTATTGTGATGTTGCTCTAAAGGGACTATTTGTCACGGTGTTATTGTGATATTGCTCTAAAGGGACTATTTGTCACAATGTTATTGTCATGATGTTATTGCGATATTACCATATAGGAACTATTTGTGATGGTGCTATTGTAATGTTGCTCTAAAGGGACTATTTGTCACGGTGTTATTGGGATATTATGATATAGGAACTATTTGTGGTGATCTCATTGTGAAGTTACGATATAGGAACTATTTGTGACGGTGCTATTGTGATGTTGCTCTAAAGGGACTATTTGTCACGGGGCTATTGTGATATTGCTCTAAAGGGACTATTTGTCACAATGTTATTGTCATGATGTTATTGCGATATTACCATATAGGAACTATTTGTGATGGTGCTATTGTAATGTTGCTCTAAAGGGACTATTTGTCACGGTGTTATTGGGATATTATGATATAGGAACTATTTGTGGTGATCTCATTGTGAAGTTACGATATAGGAACTATTTGTGACGGTGCTATTGTGATGTTGCTCTAAAGGGACTATTTGTCACGGTGTTATTGTGATATTGCTCTAAAGGGACTATTTGTCACAATGTTATTGTCATGATGTTATTGCGATATTACCATATAGGAACTATTTGTGATGGTGCTATTGTAATGTTGCTCTAAAGGGACTATTTGTCACGGTGTTATTGGGATATTATGATATAGGAACTATTTGTGGTGATCTCATTGTGAAGTTACGATATAGGAACTATTTGTGACGGTGCTATTGTATGTTGCTCTAAAGGGACTATTTGTCACGGTGTTATTGTGATATTGCTCTAAAGGGACTATTTGTCACAATGTTATTGTCATGATGTTATTGCGATATTACCATATAGGAACTATTTGTGATGGTGCTATTGTAATGTTGCTCTAAAGGGACTATTTGTCACGGTGTTATTGGGATATTATGATATAGGAACTATTTGTGGTGATCTCATTGTGAAGTTACGATATAGGAACTATTTGTGACGGTGCTATTGTGATGTTGCTCTAAAGGGACTATTTGTCACAATGTTATTGTCATGTGAGGTGAGGTGAGGTGAAATTGGGTTTAACGCCGCGTCCAAGATTATTGCACTTATATAGCGACGTGCATGCACGTGTATGTGTGTGTGTGTGGCTGCTTGTACTAGTCCGGACTGATGCCGATTTATAGTGCTAGCTCACTGAGATACCATGCCGCAGTTTAACATGAATTCCCCACTCAGACACAGTATACTGACTCCGAGCCGACCAGTCCTTGTTTTAGCCCCTTAATGCCGAGCGCCAGACAGGGTAACAACAAGTACAAGCACGTCTTTTTGTATGACGCGGCCCGGGATCGAACCCTGGACCTTCCGCTCTCCGGGCGGACGCTCTACCACAAGACCACGGAGGCGGTCGTTATTATCATGATGTTATTGCGATATTACCATATAGGAACTATTTGTGATGGTGCTATTGTGATATTGCTCTAAAGGGACTATTTGTCACGGTGTTATTGTGATATTATGATTTAGGAACTATTTGTCACTGCGTTATTGGGATATTTCTCTAAAGAGGTATTTGTCATGGTGTTATTGTGCTATTACTCAATAGTAACTATTTGTCATTAGTATATACACCCTGAGATTAAGCCCTGAGTATTTACCCAAATGTAATATTAGAGCGTCACTAAAACACAGTTGTTGGATTTGCTATTCAGTTCCCCGTTTCGTATACGTGTCGCTGTGGTATTGTAAACTTTCAAGTACAACCTCATTAAATTGTTGACTATCGTTCGGGAGCCAGGTGATCAAAAACTTGGACAATGTCTTATAAAAGTGAAAATGAAATTACATCAAAATCAATTTGGAATTTTTATATAGTTCACCTCTTCCAGTCCCTATATTGTCTCTCATTTAAAATAAAACCGCTTTCAGAAATATACCAATTCCGTTGCACTTCTTTTCACATTTTATTATAAACGATCTTAATAATTCATGTCTCCTCTCTAACTTGAATTTAGTTCAAAATATTTATAGTATTGCTGTATGTTACTAAATTGGATTAAACCTAACAAACCCTTTTGTTCTTTTCGTATTACGAGAATGTGGAACTTCATCTGAAAAATATAAACTGCAATCGGTTCTAATACTCAATCAAACATATTATTCCTCTCCCATTCGTTTCACATTATGTAATCATCCCACGGTGACGATGAGTTAAGACAAGGAACAGACACCGAAGATGGAGTTGTACACCTGTTTTATTTTCCTCCAGTTACAAACAAACATATACAAATATAACAGAAAAAAAACACATATTTCGGTGTCTTAATTAATATGTAATAAAATAGAATTGACCATTTTCTTCCTACCGAATCATTTAACCAATATCAATAAAAGATACACCACCTTGACTTGTGTGTGTTGTTTAAACACATCATTCTTCTACTTCACTCCTTCCTATTTTACTGGCAATAACGCCTGTCCGAAATAGAAAAAGCATGATTTTGAAATTGTATATTAATCCTAATTAAGACGAGGGATAACCTGAAATATCCGCAAGCAAAGAAAGAGGCCAGGAATGACCGTGGAGACTAAGACTTCCTTCCGATAAAATTAATCTACCACCTGAACTAAAATCTGGTTGCTCTTTTGTGAACACCTCGTGTTATCACTGATTTTCATAGATCCATTTATAAAATTTTCACCGCACTTTTGCCTTTTTCGCCTATTGGAATGGTTCGGTGGATAATCGAAATTGGTTATTGCCCTGTGTTGACGCGTATATTAAAAAAAAAAATGAATGAAGAAATAAAAACAGGTACCCGAGAAAAGGAATGCTACGAGAAATACCGTCAATGGGCACAATTGAGATCTATTTATTGTCTTTGGTGGTAATTTATACAGAAATAAAGATTTTTCTCGGTTCATTGAGGTATGATTCGAAAAACCGATGTGCAAACTGTATGAATCCGCTTAGCACACAGTCAATGCTTATAATTAAATTCGACAACGTAAAACATGTTTTATCTACAATATTTTAACAAAAATCAGTTGTACATGTTTTATCTACAATAGTTAACCACAAACAGTTGTACATATCAAAACAGACAAAAATGACGAGATTGATAAACATTCCAAGTGTAGGAATACATACTGTGGCGTGACATGAATCAGGTGATCGTTTAATTTATGCACATTACTTGACACGCCTACACAGTCAGTAGCAAATCAACGTAGAGTAGGATCAAACAATGTTCATTGGACCTGTCAGTTACGGCGGGGGGCGAAAAGAACTGCAACAGTCAGACTGTAACGAACCGGAAGAATTATGTCCGGGAGAAGGCGGCTGTTTCAAATAACATGGTCAGTTACCGCCAAATTCAAACATTACTTCCCGGATTACGGTAAAACTCAGTTTGAAAAATGCTAGTTAGAAATGAAACCCGAAGACATGAAAGTTGAACCGAGGCGTGCGGGAAAAAAACATAGCGATCGGCCATCGGTTTCAAAGGGTAGTTTAGATAATGAATATGCACGAAAGTCGCTAAATGTCCTCTGCATAACGATACACGTGAGCAGAAAGGGAATTCCCTCGACTGTAATATTGGGATTCCCCGACATTCCGCAGTAATAAAAGTAGTGCGCCTCGGTGGGCGTGGCTTAATTGGGAATGCAATAACACGTGACCAATTCAGGTAATCAGAATGAAGGAATAGTGGCATGTGTGAATTACGTCACCGAATGTCTAAAGTAACAATCAAATATGTATACATAGACATACAAAGAAGAAATATCTAAAGTAACATCAAATATGTGTACATAGACATACAAAGAAGGAATATCTAAAGTAACAATCAAATATGTGTGCGTAGATATACAAAGAAGGAATATCTAAAGTAACAACAAATATGTGTACATAGACATACAAAGAAGGAATATCTAAAGTAACAACAAATATGTGTACATAGACATACAAAGAAGGAATATCTAAAGTAACAACAAATATGTGTACATAGACATACAAAGAAGGACTATCTAAAGTAACAATCAAATATGTGTACATAGACATACAAAGAAGGAATATCTAAAGTAACAACAAATATGTGTACATAGACATACAAAGAAGGACTATCTAAAGTCACAATCAAATATGTGTACATAGACATACAAAGAAGGAATATCTAAAGAAACAATCAAATATGTGTACGTAAATACACAAAGAAGGAATATCTAAAGTAAAAAATTAAATCTGTGAAGATGGACATACAAAGAAGGAATATCTTAAGTACCAATCAAATATGTGTACATAGACATACAAAGAAGGACTATCTAAAGTAACAACAAATATGTGTACATAGACATACAAAGAAGGACTATCTAAAGTAACAACAAATATGTGTACATAGACATACAAAGAAGGACTATCTAAAGTAACAATCAAATATGTGTACATAGACATACAAAGAAGGAATATCTAAAGTAACAACAAATATGTGTACATGTATATACAAAGAAGGAATATCTAAAGTAACAATCAAATATGTGTACATAGACATACAAAGAAGGAATATCTAAAGTAACAATCAAATATGTGTACATGTATATACAAAGAAGGAATATCTAAAGTAACAACAAATATGTGTACATAGACATACAAAGAAGGAATATCTAAAGTAACAACAAATATGTGTACATGTATATACAAAGAAGGAATATCTAAAGTAACAACAAATATGTGTACATAGACATACAAAGAAGGACTATCTAAAGTAACAACAAATATGTGTACATGTATATACAAAGAAGGACTATCTAAAGTAACAACAAATATGTGTACATAGACATACAAAGAAGGAATATCTAAAGTAACAACAAATATGTGTACGTAGACATACAAAGAAGGACTATCTAAAGTAACAATCAAATATGTGTACATGTATATACAAAGAAGGAATATCTAAAGTAACAATCAAATATGTGTACATAGACATACAAAGAAGGACTATCTAAAGTAACAACAAATATGTGTACGTAGATATACAAAGAAGGACTATCTAAAGTAACAATCAAATATGTGTACATGTATATACAAAGAAGGAATATCTAAATAAACAATCAAATATGTGTACATGTATATACAAAGAAGGAATATCTAAAGTAACAATCATGTATGTTAACATAGACATACAAAGAAGGAATATCTAAAGTAACAATCAAATATGTGTACATGTATATACAAAGAAGGAATATCTAAAGTAACAACAAATATGTGTACATAGACATACAAAGAAGGAATATCTAAAGTAACAATCAAATATGTGTACATGTATATACAAAGAAGGAATATCTAAAGTAACAATCAAATATGTGTCCATAGACATACAAAGAAGGAATATCTAAAGTAACAACAAATATGTGTACGTAGATATACAAAGAAGGACTATCTAAAGTAACAATCAAATATGTGTACATGTATATACAAAGAAGGAATATCTAAAGTAACAATCATGTATGTGAACATAGACATACAAAGAAGGAATATCTAAAGTAACAATCAAATATGTGTATGTATACAAAGGAGGACTATCTAAAGTAACAACAAATATGTGTACATAGATATACAAAGAAGGAATATCTAAAGTAACAATCAAATATGTGTATGTAGACATACAAAGAAGGAATATCTAAAGAAACAATCAAATATGTGTACGTAGATATACAAAGAAGGAATATCTAAAGTAACAATCAAATATGTGTACATGTATATAAAATGAAGGAATATCTAAAGTAACAATCAAATATGTGTACATAGACATACAAAGAAGGAATATCTAATGTAACAACAAATATGTGTACGTAGATATACAAAGAAGGACTATCTAAAGTAACAATCAAATATGTGTACATGTATATACAAAGAAGGAATATCTAAAGTAACAATCAAATATGTGTACATGTATATACAAAGAAGGAATATCTAAAGTAACAATCATGTATGTGAACATAGACATACAAAGAAGAAATATCTAAAGTAACAATCAAATATGTGTACGTATACAAAGAAGGAATATCTAAAGTAACAACAAATATGTGTACATAGATATAAAAAGAAGGAATATCTAAAGTAACAATCAAATATGTGTACGTAGATATACAAAGAAGGAATATCTAATGTAACAATCATGTATGTGAACATAGACATACAAAGAAGGAATATCTAAAGTAACAACAAATATGTGTACGTAGATATAAAAAGAAGGAATATCTAAAGTAACAACAAATATGTGTACATAGACATACAAAGAAGGAATATCTAAAGTAACAATCAAATATGTGTACATGTATATACAAAGAAGGAATATCTAAAGTAACAACAAATATATGTACATAGACATACAAAGAAGGAATATCTAAAGTAACAATCAAATATGTGTACATGTATATACAAAGAAGGAATATCTAAAGTAACAACAAATATATGTACATAGACATACAAAGAAGGAATATCTAAAGTAACAATCAAATATGTGTACGTACATACACAAAGAAGGAAGGAATAAAGTAACAATCAAACGAAGGTTCATCTGTAGAAATGATCAAATTTAAGTAATCACACATACAACGTAGGTACATCTGTAGAAATGATCAAATGTATGTAAGCACACATACAACGTAGGTACATCTGTAGAAATGATCAAATGTATGTAAGCACACATACAACGTAGGTTCATCTGTAGAAATGATCAAATGTATGTATGGCATGAAAACAATATTAAGAACCACGACCTTCCTTTGGCCTGCCATGACTCCAGATCTACAAAAACTGGAACTCATCTCAGACATCCTGTGCCGCAAGATACAGAAGCTGGATCCACCAGTTGCTAATCTACAGTAACTGGTACAAGTACTGCAACTACAGTTGCACCATGGCGGCTGTACACATCATGTCGGGGACATAATGGGGGACTTACCAGTCACAGCTGTCAGCTGCAGCTCCAGATGTACATACTGACAGCCCCAATGGGAATACATAAATAACAATTTTATTTCACATTTGTGAATTTGGAGTTGGTGGATCCGAAAACCGAGTAATAAAACAAACAAATATCCGAGTATGCTTGACAACATTGCTGGAATCACTCGTGTATAGCACCTCAGGCTGATGATTCGAAAATTGTCAACCTGAGAGAATTCATTTTAAACCAATAACAGTTGGGTCATTTCTGTACACTGATTTTGTAACTTGGAGACCGCTAACATCTTGGATAAAAATTCTTTGCTCTTCCTGATGTGCTGTGGGCATCTTTCATTCACGCAACCTCTTGTAACATCTTGTAAGATTTTGTAACATCGTCTAGCATCAAAATTCATCGCTCTTCCTAATTTGCTGTTGGCATCTTTCATTCATGCAAGCTTTTGACTGTTCACAGCTGAGAATTTCAACCTTGGATCCACATGAAATGCATTCATACCTTTTCAAAGCCTTCACATTGAAAGCCTCATATCCATTGAAGAAGCTGAATCCAAGATGAAATTCTACACGTTCACCAGAGTTAATGGGACCTTCAAATTTTGTACGCAGTGGAACAAAGAACACATGGACTGGAACATAGTTGTTGCCCAGATCAAGTTCGATAAACCCAGCTACTTTGTTCTTGTTTGGAGGACGGATGGTACCCTTACATACAACCAGAGAACGCCGTGCATTTGATACTTTTGTAACCTCTCCTTCAGAATTACCAACATAAACTTTGTTGGAAATCAAACATTTGATTTTTTTTCCAGTGTTTCCCAACCATTCTCGGGGATATCGAGATCTTGTTACCCAGCGTCCATATTTCCGTAGTTCCTCTTTTAAATTCTGGGCCTCAGACAGGCATTCAGGGTTGCCATTCCCCAATTCTGTGCCAAATCCAATGATGCTTGTGAGAACAAATAGACTGAACTTCGACATTGGTGAACTTAGCATCGAATGCCACTTTCTCACCTGGCTGAGGACAGTTTCTAAACTGTAGTCCACTGAAAGGCTGTCATGTCTGATTGCATTTAACCATTCCTGGAAATCAATATCAAGTGTTTTCCTATTTTCCACGCCTCTGTTGAATGCATCTTCAAAAATATCTTCAAAAGAAGCAACAATTTCTTTAATGTCTGCTTCGGATCGGATGCTGTCAAGTTGTGCATGTCCACCATGTTTCAACTTTATGGCAGCAGTTTTGAACCTTTTACTGCCAATAGTATCAGGTAAGTGTAATGCCTCTAAGCTTTGACCATATTTTCCAAGCAAACTTTGATGCCAGGTGACAGCATCATTGAAAGAACTATCAATGTCAGCTGGATCGACAACTGTCGAGCATTCAATGATAAGGTCATCAATGGCTGTGATACTTTTCTCTATGAAGATGGCAATTTGGGAACCATTTTCTGAGTTTATTTCTTCAGCAATGTATTCATGCATATTTTCATAACCACTGTGCCGAATTACAAAGTCACACACCCGTAACCTGACCTTAATCTCCCCTACATATCCAAAGCTGTCTTCATGGCCTGGTGGCTTTGCTTCTCTGCATTTGATAAATAAATTACAAGCTAACTCAGCTAGTTGTAATAAATCTGAAGCTTTCTCGTCAAAGCTCTTGCTTGAAATTTGCTTGCTTTTAAATCTGTGAACCTGTTGTCCATATATCATACCATACATATGATAGATATGGGAAAGTGTTATTTTCAATCTTTCATTTTGTTCTTCTGGGTTTTTTCCTTCCATTTTCTTCTCACAAAGTTTCAAAGCTGTTTCGAAAGCATTTATTGCTTTATCCTCTTCATTTGGCCTGCACATTGCATAAAACCGTCCTAAGTGGGCATGTACATTTGGTTCCTTGGGAAATGCTTTAGTTAGCTTTTGCAACACCTGAAGTCGCTCAGTGTATGGTGGTTTAGAAGTAATGTCCACCAGCAATTTCGCTAATGAAGGACGTTTCTTGGACTGTGTTTCACTTTCGCCAGTGTCTTTGATGTCTCGGGAGATGAAGGTTCGAACAAGCATATGCATTACTGCCTGTGGGGATACAGCTAATTTCACTCTTTTCAGACTTGCATCATCAATGAACGAGACTGCAAACTTGCCCAACTTGCTACACGCCTTTGCGGAAAGTGTCTCACTCCGCTCACTTCTGGTGGTGTGTCCCCCAGTAAGGAGTTGTTCTAATATTTCCTTTGCTATGATGTAATGACATGCCCTCATTTCATTTGATTTGCCATTTGAAGTATCAATGACAACAAATTGTCTAACTTCATATGGAAAATCATCAATGGACACAACATAGTTAGAAGGTTTTCCAAGCATATGAGCAAAGAACTGGCAAGGAATTGAGGTTTGTCCATAATAATAGACAAGGGAAAAGTAACCCAACATTTTCTGCCATGGCAGAAGTTCTTTTGGGGCGTTCTTGTCTAAACGGAGATATCCATGCACATAGGACTGAATGCCATTAAATTCATGTAGATATGCAGTGAGTCCAAACTCATATAATTGATGCTCAACTCCTTCCCTCACCCCCTTGCTCAGAGATTTAAGTGCATCACGTCTCTGTTCTTCTTTGCAAAAGCTTCCAAATTTTGTGGCAAGATTTCTTGCTTCGTTTTGGCTGACATTTCCCTGAAGCCAGAAATTCTTAGATGTATTCTCTTTCTCAGACATGCTATATGGATATCTCTTCACATGGAGTACAACCAAACATATCTGCCTCACACTTCGCCTCAGATAGCGGACAATGTGCTCATCCTCACCATCAATCAATGCAATGATTGGTAGGTGTGTTCTCTCATACAGATACTCAAGGCGGCTTACTATGTCCCCAACTGATACGCCTGGGTGGAAGTGTATTTGGACACAAGGTGATGTGTCCCGTAATTCCCATAGAACACGTTGTGCCAAAGTAGATCCACCCGATCCGGGTGCATGATGAAGAGTATATAACCCAGATTTAAATGACAGGACCAAGTTCTTTATTTTCTCAACGATTTGGCCCAATGCATCTCTTTCAACATCCAAGTATTCTGATCCACAAAGAAACCTTGTCGCCCATTTCAGTGTTCCACCTTGAAAGAAAACACGTGCTTCTTCCTCGATGAGCTCAACATCTGATGAAGAGTCCTCAGGAAACTTCCTGCAGATTACCTGGATGTATTCATGTAGCCATGCAAATCCTTGCTTGTCAACCGAGTTCCCACAATCATTTGCAGTTGGTATTTCAAACAAGTCATAGTTTCTCTTTGAACTGACACCTTTATGAATGTGATCACATATACCCAGAAAGAGATTAGGTGCTGAAATATTGATAACGGCTATGTTTTCTTCAACTTGATGACACATGTGTGTGAAATCATTTTGGGAATTATCACTGGATTTGTCATCTCTGCATATGATGATCTTTATACTCTGTTGTATGTTTTCATCTAACTTGCAAACAATGTAGTCAAGGTACTTAGAAATGTCATCATTCCAAATCACTACAACTTTCAGGACAGTTGTGTCTTGGACAAAACCTGCAAGTTCTTCAGCAAGAGTTGTAACAGGAGAATTAACCTGCTTGAACCAGTCCCGGTATCCCTTTTCAAATCTCGTTTCTGGAATTTCTCGATAACCTCGGATGAAATACCAAGTCGTAGCCATTTCAGATATCTTGACCTGTTCTCTCCAGCTGCAAATATGCAAGGAGCTTGCAATTTTAAGCGGTTCCTCTACCCTTGCCAGGAGACCTTGATCACGGCTTTTTTCATCAAAATCAAATACCAACATCCATGGAATGGCTGTTAGAACTTCAACCGATTTTGAAAGAGTGTTGCCAGACAGATCCCCAGTCACCAGAACAAAGTGACCTTTTTTGAAATTGTCAACTTCTTTCATGAATGTTTCAAAAGCTGACTGCGTTTGCTCTACCTGGTGCCTGTCCACTGACTGTTGAAATGGAGAAGATGGTAGGCACATTGTATTACATTTGGCTTGAGTTGGGTTCACTGAAACCCTTTTTGTTCTCTTGCTTCCTTGCTTGGGTGGACCTGAGAGTACACTTGCATATGTATTTCTTTCCATTTTCTTTCCTGTTTTTTTTGTAGATGCAGGGTCGATGACATGTTTCGCCTTAGTTCCTTTCTTCCCCCCAACAATTGTCCATTCACCATCTGTTTCTTCTTCGCTTGTGTCATCTGAGCTAGTTACAGAAGTGGCAGCTGCTTCGATTGCCTTTGTGCTTCTCTGTAAAAACCTTGCTTCATTTTCAGACACATGTGATTGCTGTGGTCCTTGAATCACCTTGAGTGGGACTGCCTGTACGAACCAGTTTGAGTTTTTCAAACTTAGATTGAACTTATCAGGGATACGTCTTAAGAATGGTAGTAAATTCAAACCTGTGATTTCCTTGAATCTCTGTTTACGTTCAACATTTCCATAAAGTTTGTTGAAAGAGTCTTCTAGCTTTTGCAAACATACTGGTGGTGCATCTGCACTATGTGTTGGATTGAGGATGCTTGTCAACATTGCCACAACAACCTGATCAGTTGTAAACCCGTTAGTGGATGCCTCTGAAATAAATACATATAACTGTCACCAATAATATATACCTGACAACCCATAATTATTCATGAATTTTTGTGAATAATCCATGTTCTGAGGTGTATACCTGAGTCGTAGGTGACTTGGTGTCATCACTTGAAATGTTAGTGGTCAAAGTCATTATTTTTTGCTTTTCTGTTAACGCCACAAACCACATTTCCAAAATCATAAGGATATTCTAATAAAAGAAGAGTCCATTGTACGATTCCGACTTTGTCATGAGCATGACTGTGTTTATGAATCACCATCAGATAGCGATGATACCAGGTGTTCGCCAAAAGAAATATGTCCACAATCTGATGGGGGCCTGTAAATAATGGTGACGAGACAAACCATAAGGCCAGTGTTTGTTATTATGAGTGAGTGAGTGAGTTTTGGCTTTACGCCGCTTTTAGCAATATTCCAGCAATATCACGGCGAGGGACACCAGAAATGGGCTTCACACATTGAACCCATGTCGGGAATCGAACCCGGGTCTTCGGCGTGACGAGCGAACGCTTTAACCACTGGGCTACCGGACCGCCCCTTGTTATGATGAGCAACATCCACTGAGTGATACATGTGTATATAGGTATATTTACCAAGTGGTTGCTCCAGCAGCTGAACACCATCGTCAAACACGGCAAACTGTTGATTCTGATTTCCAATCTGCACCCCAGAGCAGTCATTCAAGTAATAATTCTGGACGTTCGTGTACTTCGGACCTGTTTTTGAACCATTCGTAAAATCGTAAGATTTAACATAAAAACATTGAAGCACTATTAAAATATTTCTCAAAACTGTGAATAGAGTCTCCTTTTTTAAAATACACCTTGTGTGTCTCATCTCCAGCACCTCCCAATACCTTCCCGCTAAAAAACAATGTTTTACATGTTTGCCCATTCGTCCGCTAAATAATTCCCTTTCTGAGAAAAAAATGAACCAGTTTCATTATCTGAGCCTGGCTGCATTTTCAAAAAAAGGAAATGTAGCGACGTTTCTTCTGTTTCGTAATCTCAACACTGACACAGCAACAGTTGTACTATGAATACAGAATAATGAGCAGATGACGAGCACACACACTTTTGAAAAAAATGTTAGAAAACTCTTCAGAATTCATAGCATCAACCATTTCTGCACAAATATACAGACAACGTGCCAACTGTATTCTCAACCAAAGGAAAAGAGTGTACATTAAGTATACCCTTTTCGGTCGTGCAGTTGACAGCTTTCGTTCCTTTCCGCGGCGCCGCCATTGCTGATAATATCCGTCACCACCAGGAGGTACTGTTGAACAACTGAAACACATCACTGACAACATTCAAAGGAAATATCATCAAATATCACTGACATATCGTTTAGGTAAAAATGTTAAATTCGTTTTCTACAATAATGTGTATGTTTATAATGCGCCAAATACAAGGGGTACATCATTAACCAGGCCAATAGATCAGTGTGCACTTGCATTTTATTCTGTGAAGGTGAAGGTGTAAAGATGATAAATGTCTGTAAAATTAATTTCGGGCGTGTGGATCAATATCTGGTGTGTCCCCCATGTTGGGCGATACATAAACGACACCTTGATGTCATTCTGTTGATTAACGTGCCTATGGTTGCCCTTAATATTGACCGCCATTCCGCCTGAAGATCTACCCCAAGATGGTCCACGCTGGCGGGTGCTGGGACTCTGACGTACACTCCCTGCCCGAGAACATCCCACAGATGCTCTATTGGGGGCATGACAGGGGACAAAGCGGGCCACTCCAATGTCCGTATACTTCTCGTCGGAGATAATCAGTTTTGACCTGGGCACGATGTGGCCTGGCATTGTCATCTTGCAGTTCAAAATTTCTGCCGATAATTCCAGTGGATAGAACAACGACAGGACGCATAATTTCGTAAATATATCGCAGGCTAGTCAAATGTACATTCAAAATAACCAAATCAGTTACGTGTGATACCGCCCCACACCATGGCACAGGACGCCGTGCTTTCAGACGGACTACACAGAGCCGGTTTATAACAGTATACTACCACTGCTACTCAGAGTTGTGTCCCTTAGGCATACGAAAACCTATGATCGTAGGTTCGAACCTCTGATTTTACCTTATGTAAGCCTGGGTACCTGTCTATTTTTATTTATTATCAGGGGCGGTGGGGTAGCCTAGTGGTTAAAGCGTTCGCTCGTCACGCCGAAGACCCGGGTTCGATTCCCCACATGGGTACAATGTGTAAAACCCATTTCTGGTGTCCCCCGCAGTGATATTGCTGGAATGTTGCTAAAAGCAGCGTAAAACCAGTAGCAGTAGTAGTAATACAGGCAGTAGTAGTAGCAGTAATACAGGCAGTAGCAGTAGTAGTAATACAGGCAGTAGCAGTAGTAGTAATACAGGCAGTAGCAGTAGTAGTAACACAGGCAGTAGTAGTAATACAGGCAGTAGTAGTAGTAGTAATACAGGCAGTAGTAGTAATACAGGCAGTAGCAGTAGTAGTAACACAGGCAGAAGTAGTAATACAGGCAGTAGCAGTAGTAGTAATACAGGCAGTAGCAGTAGTAGTAATAAAGGCAGTAGTAGTAATACAGGCAGTAGCAGTAGTAGTAATACAGGCAGTAGCAGTAGTAGTAATAAAGGCAGTAGTAGTAATACAGGCAGTAGCAGTAGCAGTAATACAGGCAGTAGCAGTAGCAGTAATACAGGCAGTAGCAGTAGCAGTAATACAGGCAGTAGCAGTAGCAGTAATACAGGCAGTAGCAGTAGCAGTAATACAGGCAGTAGCAGTAGTAGTAATACAGGCAGTAGCAGTAGTAGTAACACAGGCAGTAGTAGTAATACAGGCAGTAGTAGTAGTAGTAATACAGGCAGTAGTACTAATACAGGCAGTAGCAGTAGTAGTAACACAGGCAGAAGTAGTAATACAGGCAGTAGCAGTAGTAGTAATACAGGCAGTAGCAGTAGTAGTAATAAAGGCAGTAGCAGTTATACAGGCAGTAGCAGTAGTAGTAATACAGGCAGTAGCAGTAGTAGTAATACAGGCAGTAGTAGTAATACAGGCAGTAGCAGTAGTAGTAATACAGGCAGTAGCAGTAGTAGTAATACAGGCAGTAGCAGTAGTAGTAATACAGGCAGTAGCAGTAGTAGTAATACAGGCAGTAGCAGTAGTAGTAATACAGGCAGTAGCAGTAGCAGTAAAACAGGCAGTAGCAGTAGTAGTAATACAGGCAGTAGCAGTAGCAGTAATACAAGCAGTAGCAGTAGTAGTAATACAGGCAGTAGCAGTAGTAGTAATACAGGCAGTAGCAGTAGTAGTAATACAGGCAGTAGCAGTAGTAGTAATACAGGCAGTAGCAGTAGCAGTAATACAAGCAGTAGCAGTAGCAGTAATACAGGCAGTAGCAGTTATACAGGCAGTAGCAGTAGTAGTAATATAGGCAGTAGCAGTAGTAGTAATACAGGCAGTAGCAGTAGTAGTAATACAGGCAGTAGCAGTAGTAGTAATACAAGCAGTAGCAGTAGTAGTAATACAGGCAGTAGCAGTAGTAGTAATACAGGCAGTAGCAGTAGCAGTAATACAGGCAGTAGCAGTAGCAGTAATACAGGCAGTAGCAGTAGCAGTAATACAGGCAGTAGCAGTAGCAGTAATACAGGCAGTAGCAGTAGCAGTAATACAGGCAGTAGCAGTAGTAGTAATACAGGCAGTAGCAGTAGTAGTAATACAGGCAGTAGCAGTAGCAGTAATACAGGCAGTAGCAGTAGTAGTAATATAGGCAGTAGCAGTAGTAGTAATATAGGCAGTAGCAGTAGTAGTAATACAGGCAGTAGCAGTAGTAGAAATATAAACGGCAGTAGCAGTAGTAGTAATACAGGCAGGAGCAGTAGTAGTAATACAGGCAGTAGCAGTAGCAGTTATACAGGCAGTAGCATTAGTAGTAATACAGGCAGTAGCAGTAGTAGTAATACAGGCAGAAGCAGTAGTAGTTATACACGCAGTAGCAGTAGCAGTCATACAGGCAGTAGCAGTAGCAGTAATACAGGCAGTAGCAGTAATACAGGCAGTAGCAGTAGTAGTAATACACGCAGTAGCAGTAGCAGTAATACAGGCAGTAGCAGTAGCAGTAATACAGGCAGTAGCAGTAGTAGTAATACAGGCAGTAGCAGTAGTAGTAATACAGGCAGTAGCAGTAGCAGTAAAACAGGCAGTAGCAGTAGTAGTAATACAGGCAGTTACAGTAGCAGTAATACAGGCAGTAGCAGTAGTAGTAATACAGGCAGTAGCAGTAGCAGTAATACAGGCAGTTACAGTAGTAGTAATACAGGCAGTAGCAGTTATACAGGCAGTAGCAGTAATACAGGCAGTAGCAGTAGTAGTAATACAGGCAGTAGCAGTAGTAGTAATACAGGCAGTAGCAGTAGCAGTAATACAGGCTGTTACAGTAGTAGTAATACAGGCAGTAGCAGTAATACAGGCAGTAGCAGTAATACAGGCAGTAGCAGTAGTAGTAATACAGGCAGTAGCAGTAGTAGTAATACAGGCAGTAGCAGTAGCAGTAATAAAGGCAGTAGCAGTAGTAGTAATACAGGCAGTAGCAGTAGTAGTAATACAGGCAGTAGCAGTAGTAGTAATAAAGGCAGTAGTAGTAATACAGGCAGTAGCAGTAGCAGTAATACAGGCAGTAGCAGTAGCAGTAATACAGGCAGTAGTAGTAGTAGTAATACAGGCAGTAGCAGTAGTAGTAATACAGGCAGTAGTAGTAGTAGTAATACAGGCAGTAGCAGTAGTAGTAATACAGGCAGGAGTAGTAATACAGGCAGTAGCAGTAGTAGTAATACAGGCAGTAGCAGTAGCAGTAATACAGGCAGTAGCAGTAGCAGTAATACAGGCAGTAGCAGTAGCAGTAATACAGGCAGTAGCAGTAGCAGTAATACAGGCAGTAGCAGTAGCAGTAATACAAGCAGTAGCAGTAGTAGTAATACAGGCAGTAGCAGTAGTAGTAATACAGGCAGTAGCAGTTATACAGGCAGTAGCAGTAGCAGTAATACAGGCAGTAGCAGTAGCAGTAATACAGGCAGTAGCAGTAGCAGTAATACAAGCAGTAGCAGTAGTAGTAATACAGGCAGTAGCAGTAGTAGTTATACAGGCAGTAGCAGTAGCAGTAATACAGGCAGTTACAGTAGTAGTAATACAGGCAGTAGCAGTTATACAGGCAGTAGCAGTAGTAGTAATATAGGCAGTAGCAGTAGTAGTAATACAGGCAGTAGCAGTAGTAGTTATACAGGCAGTAGCAGTAGCAGTAATACAGGCAGTTACAGTAGTAGTAATACAGGCAGTAGCAGTTATACAGGCAGTAGCAGTAGTAGTAATATAGGCAGTAGCAGTAGCAGTAATACAGGCAGTAGCAGTAGTAGTTATACAGGCAGAAGCAGTAGTAGTAATATAGGCAGTAGCAGTAGTAGTAATACAGGCAGTAGCAGTAGCAGTAATACAGGCAGTAGTAGTAGTAGTAATACAGGCAGTAGCAGTAGTAGTAATACAGGCAGTAGTAGTAGTAGTAATACAGGCAGTAGCAGTAGTAGTAATACAGGCAGGAGTAGTAATACAGGCAGTAGCAGTAGTAGTAATACAGGCAGTAGCAGTAGCAGTAATACAGGCAGTAGCAGTAGCAGTAATACAGGCAGTTACAGTAGTAGTAATACAGGCAGTAGCAGTTATACAGGCAGTAGCAGTAGTAGTAATATAGGCAGTAGCAGTAGTAGTAATACAGGCAGTAGCAGTAGTAGTTATACAGGCAGTTACAGTAGCAGTAATACAGGCAGAAGCAGTAGTAGTAATACAGGCAGAAGCAGTAGTAGTAATATAGGCAGAAGCAGTAGTAGTTATACAGGCAGTAGCAGTAGTAGTAATATAGGCAGTAGCAGTAGTAGTTATACACGCAGTAGCAGTAGTAGTAATATAGGCAGTAGCAGTAGTAGTAATACAGGCAGTAGCAGTAGTAGTAATACAGGCAGTTACAGTAGCAGTAATACAGGCAGTAGCAGTTATACAGGCAGTAGCAGTAGTAGTAATATAGGCAGTAGCAGTAGTAGTAATACAGGCAGTAGCAGTAGCAGTAATACAGGCAGTAGCATTAGTAGTAATACAGGCAGTAGCAGTAGTAGTAATACAGGCAGAAGCAGTAGTAGTTATACACGCAGTAGCAGTAGCAGTCATACAGGCAGTAGCAGTAGCAGTAATACAGGCAGTAGCAGTAGCAGTAATACAGGCAGAAGCAGTAGTAGTAATACACGCAGTAGCAGTAGCA